CACTGTCCTCATAAATCAAAGTGTGTGACCACAAATACCACTGGCTCGCTCACTGAGGCTCGTGCCTGCTGAACACAGAGCAGAATCTCCCACTGTGCTGTGCTGAAAGAGACAGAGCTCATGATTCTATTGGGTAACTCTCGCCTTGGCAACTGTTCTAAACGTCTCTGCTCTAAACTAAATAGCCTCTATCCAAAACCCCACATTCCCTTACACTTCCATATAAAGCCTCCTACCAGCACGCGCTGCTAGCAGACTTGGTAGCTAAGATGTGATTAATGCCGGACATTACACTCAACATTAGCTTCTCTATGAGGAAACATTTCATTCAGACACTCTGACTTACTGAAACGCAGAGATCAACACGGCACCTGATCCACCTGCATCCACCACACACTCACACACACAAACACACATCAGTGAGTGTCCAGTGTGTGTCCATTCAGAAAAAATGCTGTTGAAACACTCATACACTCACCTCCCGCTGTGGTATTAGTGGCAGAAGAATTTCCACAACCCATACTGGCATCCCACTCTGACAGAACAGCACGCTGGAAGGAAAGATCCAGAGCACGAGTGGCCAAAAGGCAGAAAGAAAGGGGGAGGCAAAGAAAAAAAAAGGATGACTGGAGATGGCACTTCTCCACTGCACTGATTCCCTCACTCAATCCCTCTCCAGTGCAGCCTGGGATGGTCTGCAGTGGAACAGTGAGAGAGAGAGAGAGAGAGAGAGAGAGAGTGAGAGAGAGAGGGAGAGAGAGAGGGAGAGAGAGAGAGAGGGAGAGAGAGAGAGAGAGAGAGAGAGAGAGAGAGAGGGAGGGAAAGTGAGATGCTCTGCACTCACATGATTTGCTGGTCTCCTCCACCCTGACAGGGTTGCCATGGAAACAGGGGGTGATGGGGAGGGAGATTAGCGAATAGCAAAAGGCCTTCAGCATTACACTGAACAATAAAGAGCAGTGCAGGAAAACGTAACGGTCAGGTTACATATGTCACACTAATAACCTCTGACCTGAATACAGCACTGGACAAGGAAAAAAAAGACAAAACTATACTGTGTCCTGCAATATCTCACCCAGCCTGATACACACTCTCACCACACAAACAGGCTTTTCATTCAAAACAGTTAACACTAGCCCACTCTCTCAAATGGGCATCTGATTGGTGTTTGGAACTACTCTCTTAAAAACAAAGGTTCCTAAACAGTTCGGCTTGAACACACTGTTCTAGGAAAGAACTTTAACTGCTACAGAAGCTTTACATCATGTGGCGGTTCATTAAAGGGGAATTCCACCTTTTTTTCAAAACTATAAGATGCAAAGTTAAGATGTACACAAGATAATTCTGAGTGTTCTGATGTGAAATGCTACATTCTAGAGAAACTCAGTGAGTCAGAATTGTTCACAGTGGTGGTGATAGGAACCAGACGTCTGAAGAGTTTAATGCCTCTAAAAGCTCCCTCACAAAGTTATTACGTGTAATGATTATGAATATGCTGCCTGATGTCTGAGATGATAGTTTTAAGATATGAAAGAATTTTTTTTTCAAAATACGTTCATGGTGGAAAGATACATGTGGCTTAATTTGAGACAAATTAGTCTCCAAAAACGTATTTCAGATTGATAACTATTTCACATCATCAGCATTATATTATATAAGATTTGTGGGTTCACCTGTGGTTTTTAGATAATAAAATATATTATATTTATAGCTATATTTGTGTTGCAGACATTGTGACACCTGGTTCCTATCACCACCACTGTAAAGAAATAAGAGCCAGTAAGTCTTCACAATGAACTATTTGACACCAAACCACTCTCAATAACTTTGTTTACCTCTAAACAATTGAAAAATGGTGGAAAAAACTGTAACATTCATCACACTCACACGTCTCATATACAAATAGTGTTTTTTAAAGAACCATCCACTGAAAACCAGAAGTGGTTCTTCTATATCATTGCTACCCCTTTTTGGCACTTTTATTTTGAAGAGTGTACTTACCCTTGGAGAAGATACTGAAAACAACTCCATCAATGTTGTAAAGCACAGACCTGTGGATCCTCTTTTGTCAACTCTGTCCAATGAAGAAGCATCTGCCGTGTAAGAAAAGTGCAGTATGAGTTTTTCTCATGTTTACAGCAGCAGTTATCCATAAATGACAACTGCAAAAAGAATAATTTATAGTGGCACTAACAGTTTTACAGGACATTACAAACGCCACATGCAAGACATACGTCATTCAGAGCGAGTAGAACACAAAGAGAGGTGATTTCACACTCTTATTGAAGAGGATATTTGGGTCCCACATTATAACAGCAGCATTCAAATGAATTACTTGGATCAGATCACGAGTAGTGGAGATTCAGGTGTAGACAAAGAGCCACTTGTTGATGTAGTCACACTGAGGACATATGACATGAGACGGCCAACTTGGAAGTGACCAACATTATACCATTATCTGCAGTCCTACTGCGCTCACATAGTGGTGCAGTGTGGAGCTGGAGATTATATATCATTGATAGCTTACTTTCTAAACATGGAATACTTAGGATGTCAAGCTATAGACATTTTATTTTCAAATTAATAATTTTTATAATTTATGAAGGTTTTCAGCAGGTTAACTTAAACTGAACGCTACATTTAAGAGAGTAACTAACACAGCTAGATTTTTGGGGTAACAGATAGATTAGGCATGAAAACAGACTAGGAGCTTAATCCCAACTAAACTTATTTCCCAGTGTGATGCATAAAATTAGAGTCAGGGTGGTGTTCTCAATCGATCCTTACTCCAGAAATAGTGTACTTGTACTGTGTCAATGATAAATTGAACTCCTTAGCTCAAAGACTCACAAAGCACTGCAACGTGTGGAGCACACATGCTGCAGTTTCCAGTCTTACTAAAGAAAGCTTTCATGGAGTCAAAAAAGGGTCAAAAAGATTTTGAGCTTGTAAAACAATATTCACACATGTACTGAAATTTGCAGTTGTGTTTGAGCAACTATACACGTAAAATACACATTAACAAATAATTTGGAATCTGCAAATACGAAACCAAAAAAAACATAAATAAATAAATCAAATTCACAAATGCGTAAAAATATTTTGAATATATAGAAAGGATTTTTGAATGTGTAAAAAAGATTGGATTTGTGAATGAAATGTTGTGAATGTGTGAATCAGTACTACTCAAATGATTTACATTGTGCCAGACCATAAAAATACATTTAAAAAGTTTTAAGTTCCAAGTGTGACAGTACAAATCCACGAACACGTCTCTCTTTCTGTTTGTGTGAAGCTCTTTTTACAGCTGCGGATTTTTGACCCTGTTTTGACGGCAAATTGAAGGACCAATAGGAAACTTGAACTGGTCCAATCAGTAAGTTTGACTTATCCAACCACAACCCTGACTTGTTGCTGTCAGTCAAAGCTTTGGTAAGCTGTTGGTACCCGCCTCTAATGGCGCTTCGACCGAGGGCATATGTGGACATATCGGTATCTGATTCTAGCGGTATGTGTACATGTTAGGTAACAGAACAAAAAACTATGGAGATTTGACTTTGCAGTCCGGTCCCGCAGTGAGGCCACTTTAATTTGCTCTCGTTCGACACGGACGGCCGAGCTCGGGAGTCATTTCCCGCCTTCGGGCCTCTCATGGCTGTCATCGTCGTCCTCCTCTCTCTGGCAGTGATGTCCTCCTCCCACCGTCACTCGCGTCCCTTGGCGGTGTTCGGTACTCGCGTGCCGCCCCCCACTCACTCGCAGTTCTCCTCTCCCCGCACATTCACAACGTTTCATTTACAATTGCCAATTTTTTAAACATTCAAAAATCCTTCCTATATATTCAAAATGTTTTTATGCATTAGTGAATTTGATCTATGTTTTTTTTGGTTGTGAATATAGTTTACAAGTTGAAAATCATTTTGACCCATTATTGACTCCATAAGCTTTCATCTGCTAAGTGGCCTGAAGATGGTACAAGAGAGCATTTTCACATACAAACGTAAGCTGTGAACTTAAATTTTATTGTACAGCTTTGCCAATGCCTACTTTTGCAATTACACAGGCCTCTTTTTAAAAAAGTTCAGAGATCAGAAATCTTTCACTTTGTGTAGCTAGACTCCTAGCTAACCGATACTTGCTCACCAAGAGCAAAACATATTAGCTAGCTAGAGAGGAACTGGTAGGATCGCTAACTCTATTTGTTAATTGAGCAGGGACAACACACATTAATCAGCGTAATTTTTTCATAATGTGGTGCCAGATTTGGTCAAATGGCAAAGTTTCATCTGCAATTGCCGCCTCAGTCAGCTGGCAGACTGGACAGATTTGTGTCTAGCAGACTGTGTGGGTTTTAATTTAGAGGGCTCATATGAGTGTAGGAGTGAATGAGTGACTGTTTAGGACAGAGCCTCTGTCTGTGTTTCCTCCAGTTCTCAATCCCCACCGCACGCTTTCACGTTTTCTGCACCACCGATTAGCTAATGTTGTTTTCTTGAGCTGAATCAGGGGTGTCGGTGTGACTGTATGATCCAGTGTGACTGCATGGTCCAGTGTGACTATATCATCCAGTCACACTCTATACTCCAATGTAACTGTATTATCCAGTGCGACTGTATCATCCAGTGAGACTATAATCCAATGTGACTGTATTATCCAATGTGACTGTATTATCCAGTGTGACTGTATGATCTAATGTGACTGTTTTATTTAGCATGGCTGTATTATTCAGTGTGACTGTTATTCAGCGAGACTGTATTATCCAGTGTAACTGTATTATCCAGTGTAACTGTATTATTCAGTGTAACCATATTATACAGTGTGACTTTATTATTCAGTGTGACTGTATCCTCCATTGTGACTGAATGATCTAGTGTGACTGCATCGTCCACTGTGACTGTATCGTCCAGTGTGGGGCGCTGCTGGATCACATTCAGAATGGACGAGAGAAACTCGGTGTCAGTCTGTGTAAGTCCAGAGTTCAGAATCAGTACTGGTGCCGATGGAGCTCCGTTAATGGAGTCTGAGATACTTTCACTTGTGTGTTCATTAAACGATCGAGGTTTTCTGATGTTACTATAACCTTAAAAATGTTCACGTTAAATCATCATGACCGGTCTGGAGGCGGGTCTTTTCGCTGACCGGTCGCGCACTGCTCTCTGGGTAACCGAGTCCACATCTTCAGTAATTCAAGCACCATCACTTGTTAGCAAGATGCCGGCCGTCCATAAATTACTGCTAGAAGAAGCTCTACAAGACAGTCCGCAGGTAGGACAGACGCTTCTCTGCTGCAGTGTCTGCTGTACTACAGGCTGTGTTCGCAGTTTGTGGGTAATTTAGCTGCGGACTTCGTGAACTGTTGGTCCCGTTTGTCCAGACAGCGCTGATGGAGCTCACTGAGGTCGGTTAGTGTTTCATTCTGGTCTTACAGAGCGATCAGAACAGGCTGCTGTTGGTACAGAGTACAGGACACGACTGGGTGATCTCGATAGAGTATTAAACAGCAGCTTCTGCTTGTTTTCCTGGAGTAAAGGCCACGGAGGAGGAGGCGAGTGAGGGAGTGAGTGGACGCATCCTGCATCTCAGTTGTTTACGACTTTCCAGCGAGCTACGAATGAGCAGATCCGTGCAGAGCAGAGTGCTGCGTTTTCCATAACGGCCATGTTGAGTCGTTTCCAAGACATTTCGGCTAGAAATGTATTATTTTCATGCGATCAGTCTAAAAGCGCAGGGCCTGCAGCCCCGTCTGGCAGTCTGGGAGGGGCCTGATTAGCTGGACTAGCTGAATGTTATTCTGTGTGACGGACAGGGAACGACTGACTGTCAAACACTGTCTGATCCAGACTGGAGACAGACCACCGCACACTTACGCTATACTGCACTGAGAAACCATCACCCAGCTGACTGTCCCTGCTGAAATGATTATGTAAAACTGTTTTGATCAGCAGTAAGCGCATGGTGAAACTATAAAATATAGAAATAAACTATAAAAATATAGAAATAAACTATAAAAACTAGAATAAAAACAAATAAAATTGTCAGAAATGCATAAGAAGAATGTTTGTATATTGAGTTAGAAGAGTATAGTTACAAGAGCTTTGAAACTTTGGAAATGGTTACACTAACACACTCATGCACATACAGTCACAATGTATGTATTTGTGTTTATTCTTATTCTTGTTGGTGGTTTGTAACCAATAAACTGCCCAGATAAATAGCTTTACATGCAGTTATCTCAGATGCCTGAGACTTTGGCACAGTACTGTATACAGTGGACCTATAAGGTAGATGGACCTCATAAAGCAAGCAGTGAATGGAAGTGAGTGGAAGGTAAAGTGGATGGTGAGTAAATTCACTGGAGGTTTCCAAAGTCAGTTGTGGAGACCCCACACTATTCCCGTTTCTGTGATCTCCTGGTGTGCAGGGTCAAGTGTGTCAGAGTAGAACTGCTGCTACACACTGTTGTCGGAGGGGTTTGGTAAATCAAACAGCTGTTCAAAAATGTCCACGTGAAGCCCTGACTTGGCCTCTTACACTCAGTTGGCATTTCAAATGTCATTGAAATGTTGTATCTTGTGGCTTGGATAAGCCAATCATAATGTAATATCTGCTCACAATGTAATAAAGCAAAAACTAACCGTTTAGATCGCTTTAAAAATAGCTGAGAACGAAATAATGATTCTGTTTAGTTTAGACCAAACTCTTCTTTATCCATATCTGCAGATGCTGAAAAGTAATGCATTTAAACGTGTATGTTGTGAAGTCAAGACATATTTGGTGTTTGAACTTTGCCTCTTTAGCTCTTCATTTGGCTTCCGTTGTGGCGTGATGGTGAACTTCAAGTGGAGTCTTATCATTCAGGAGTTTCCAGACTCTTTCTCTGTCTTTCATTCTGTATCCAGTGAACAGTGGCTTTTTGTTCTCATAGACGACACCTGTCTCACTAGCAGCATATTTGAGAGTAGGCAATAGGGATCAACATGTGAAACTTTATGTGCCAGACATGTTAACATGTCTATTACATGTTTCATGATGGTGAGCAGTTGGGTGAGGGTTTGGATTTGAAGAAGTAGACTTAGATTTAGACCTTCAGTCCAGGGTCAGCTGATGAGTTGTGGCCCTTTCTAGGGGGAAAGTTCTTCTTTTAGGGCAAGATATTTCACACATGTGGTGACAGTAACCTACCCACCACTGTACCACTTTAAAATAGTTACATCACTGGCCAGTACATTATTCCTACTGTTTGTCTACTGTAGATAAGCTACAAATGGAAAACTAGAGAAAGTAAACTATGATAAGTAGCCTACTAGATCAGTCTATTTTAGGTTGTGTTTTAGCTTTAAAACTGTAGATGCAGATGTCTGGACTAGTATACACTCATCAATTTAGTTAGCTGACCGAACTGATTTGTTTTTGCAGATTTGACCTCCGCAAAAAGTTCAGAACTATGAAAGTCTACATCAAGCATTGCATAATACAGCACAATCAGCTGCTCCTAGTTATTGCTACAGACCCTTCAGTGTGCAGAGAGCACGCTGACTAAACTTGTTCACGAGTGTTCTGGTGATTCACAGGAACTCAGGCCTGCTGATGAATTGCAAGCTATCTTGAATATTTGTGACACTGAAATAAGATCCAGATAGTCAAACTAATCCAGATATCTCTAAGTCCAATTATGGTTAAAAATGAGACTCCTTAAAATGAGAACTTTCTTTCTAACAGCGCTGTAATTTATAGTCTGAGTTCATTTGAATAACTGCTGCTGTCATGTGTGTGTAATCTTGCAGTTCTAAGTAATTAAAAGAGTGGCCATAATTAGTCAGGTTTGGCAAGTTTGAAGTGTCATGTCTTCCACCTTGAGCTCTACGCTTATTATTCTATGCTTATTATTCTGTTATTAGTCTGAAGACTTAAGACACAACTACAGAGCCAATTCCAAAAAACAGTATGTGAAATGCAAATAAAAACAGAAAGCAATGATTAGTAAGTCCTTTTTGACCTGTATTAAACTGAAAACGGTACATAAACAGTATGTGTGAATGTGATATTTGTTGTTTTACTTTATATGATATGATAGCTCCAAAAAAATTATGACAGGAGCATTTTTACCCCTGTGCTATGTCACCTTTCCTTTTAACAACACTGAAGCATCATTTGGGGACTGAAGATACCGATTGATTCAGTTTTGAAAGTGGATTTTTTGCCATTCTTCTAAGTCTTTAGTTGTGCAACTGTACAGTGTTTTTGTTGTCTTATTTTGCACTTCATAACATGTGCCCTATGTTTTCAATTTTGAGGCAGGCAGGCCAGTCCAGCATCTGCAACTTCTGATTACCCAGTCATGCTGTTAAAACACTTGCAAAATGTGTCTTGGCATTGTCCTGGTGAAAGAAGCATTGATATCCCTGAAAGGCAGCTTATGTTGCTCTAAAATGTGATGCCCCCCCTTGATACAATGACAGACACTGGCTTTTGAACTTTATGCTGGTAGCAACCTGAATAAAAGTCCTTTTCGTCTTTGGCTCAGAGAACATCATGTCCATTATTTCTATAAACAGTCTGAAAGGTTGAATCGTGAGACTGCAATACATGTTTCCACTGTTCATCTGTCCATTTCAGATGAGCTTGAGCCCAGAGAAGTTGGCAGCGTTTCTGGAAGTCATTGACTAATGGCTTCCACTGTACAGAGTGCAGTCTTAATTTGCATTTGTGGATGCAGGGATGAACAACGTTTACCGACAAGTTTAGCAAAGTATTGTCAAGCCCATGTGGTGATGTACATCACAGAAATGCAAGTTTTTAGTGCATTGCTGTCTGAAGGATTGAAGGTCATGGGAATTCAGTTGTATCACTTTTGATAATATTATGCGCAGTAAAGAGTGAAATAGCTTCAGTGCTTTTTGAAGAACGTTGGGCCTCATTCACCAACTCTTCTTAAGATGAAATTTCTTCTTCAAACCCACTTACATGGTTTTCACAAAGATTCCGACATTCACCAATGCTTTCTTATTTGGGATTTTTTCTTGGGTAAGAACAGAATCTACACTCATTCAAAGGCACAAAGGTGTGAACAATTCTGCGGTATAAGAACACGTAATAAATCTGATCTAGACTTTTTTCTTAGGACCTTAATCAAGAACAAATCTAAGAAAACACTTGGATATTGGTGAATGAGGCCCATTGCTCTTAAAGTTGGAATATTTTTGGAAAAGTGGTAAATGTATGTTTACAAAAAACAATGAAATTCATAACACACTAAATATCTTGTTGTTTTGCTACCTATTTAAATACAGATCAAAGTGGATTTACAAATCACGGCTTGCTGGTTTTATTTGCATGTCATGTACTATCATAACCTCTTTGGAGTTGGAGCTTTGTACTAGGAATTGTTCTGTAATATGTAAATCATGTCTTGAGAGTGAGGAACTGAGGTGTGGGCCCACATGCAGGCCCTTAGGGTTTAAATGGTTAACCACATTACATGCAGTTCTGCAGAAGCCTAATTATATTCTCCTTTTGTTTGTGCTTGAACCACACCCACACCTGCAGGTATTAAAGACATTTCACCCATGTCTGTAGTCTTTCACTGAGCTGTCTGCATGACTGCTCTGCTTGATTTTGTGTGTCTTATTTGCTCTGTGTTGTGTGTTTCAGACTCGCTCACTGCTCAGTGTGTTTGAAGAGGATGCAGGGACTCTCACAGACTACACCAACCAGCTCCTGCAGTCTATGCAGAGAGTGTTTGGGGCACAGGTACACAAACACACTGTACACATACTCACAGTGCCTCGACAGAGGATCCTATGGACCTACAGTATATACCAGAAATATACCATGTACTGGCAGCATTATTGAGTAGGGCTGCAAATTGTTACAGGTCTGACAGTGCAATAGTATCACAACACTTGATACGATGATATGATTTAGTTGCAGTAGTTAAAAATTCGCAATATATAAGTATTGCAATATGACATACTGTTATGTTACTATTTTTTACTTTTGACTACAAATTATTCCTCCAAAGAAAGATCACACTTTGTTCACCTTACGTTAATCTTTTTATCAAAATCCTTTTATCAAAGCAGAACGGACCTATGCAGTATATAAGTCAACAACAACAACAAAAAAATGTTAGTCTTGTATCATATTTGGCTGATGGTGTCTTTTTGTTTGTAGACAAACAACATTTCGAATATAGTTTCTGATTTCTGTCTGCTTTCAGGTGTGGAGCGACTGTGTTATCCACTAATCTGTCCAACCACATCACATCACAATTTCATCACAATACATCCACTGACAGTAGACTTGGTCTCACCAAAAAGATCATAGGAATTAAGGCAGAAATGCATTTTGGTAGTCTGTCAGTCTAATAGTGAGATTAATACACATCAAAAATATTAATAATAAAATATTAATACTTGGGTTTCCATGTAGCATTACAGTTTTTAAACCCAAGATGATTTAATATTACACTCTATTGAGTTTTCTCCCACATCAATTAAAACTTTACAATTTGCTGAAGGTGGATATAAATGTGGCCTGTGCAAAAGTTGTGGCACATTTTAGATTTTATTTAAACTTAGCAAATACATAGAAATTGTGCACTAAAGTGTGCAAACTTTTGCATACGACTGTATGACAGTTCTATGTATTCACTTATACTCAAGACTGGAATAATCACATTGTCAAGTTGCAAAAATCATATCTAGTTCACCTCTCTCTCTCTCTCTCTCTCTCTTTTAGAATGAGATGGCTTTGGCCACAGAACAGCTCTCCAAACAGTTACTTGAGTATGAGAAACAGGTAACACGTCTTTGTGTTCTATAATGTAACCAGTAACAGATGAAAATCGAGTGTGTGTTGCTCTTTGTCATAGTCAGAATAATGCTGAATCAGCCATTTCAAATCGTAATGTAGCAGTGATGCCTTGTTTTAAATTTTAACTGTGACTGTAAAAGATTTCTTTATGACCCAGAGATGTCACGAATGACTGTGGGCTGACAGATGAGCACTGAATTATTCAGTGTTTTGGACTTTGAGTAATTTTAGGGTTTCTTTGATGTTGCAGAACTTTGCTCTGGGGAGGGGAGATGAGGAGGTGATCAGCACACTTCAGCACTTTGCCAGAACCGTGGAAGAGGTGAGGGCTCTGCCTGCTGAGTCTGTATGTGCATCTGACTCTGAGATTGCATCTATCTGAATGTGTGTTGGGTATATATAAACGTGTGTTTGTAGGTCTAGCATATCATAGCTGTCATGCCAAAACCTCGTAACTACAGTTTTGTAAAAATTTGAAATGCCAGCTACTGATTAGATGGTGTGAACATTTCATGATGAATGGAGCAACAGAAATAGTTAAAAAAATATCTGGAAAAAAACTCTTGCTAAATGAATGTACAATAAAGAAGAATGATTTTTCCTTCCCCAGTACAGTTAGTAGTTTGGAGTTATGAGGTTGTGTTATGATGGTGATGATATATTTGAGTGTAATTAGTTGCGGGCGGTGAGTAAGCTCAGCTGGGTGGAGGCGTCCAGCAGCAGTGCAGGTGGAGAAAGTGTGGGGTTCCAGCAGGGGGGCACAGTAACAGATGGCATGTGTTTTCCCAGCCACCAAGGTCAAGGTTTTAGATACTGTGGGCTAGAAACTACTGCACTGAACACAGAGTCCTCTCACCTGTTGTTAAAAACCATACTGTATTTCTTTAGGTAAGGGTTTGAGGGACATTGTGTATATTCAGGCTTATAGCTTAGGCAGGGGTCCTGTATTATTGGTTGTCTTAGATAATAGCAGAACGAACTGTGCATTGTTTTGTTTCTGCTGAGCTTTTCATATCGCAGTGTTGTCAGTAAGGCTTGTAGTCATTATTTTATTTTCTATAGTTCTCATCTCTCTCTTTCTCTCTTCGTCTCTCAGCTGAATGCTCTGCATGCTGACCTGGCCTCTCAGATTGCTGACAGGATGGTGTTTCCCATGGTGCAGTTCAGAGAGAAGGACCTGACTGGTATGGCAGTGTTAATGCTAAAACTAATCAAATGTGCTTCTCTGTTGTGTTTTAATCTAAGTTGCATTTCTGCCTATGTACACTAAAGCTTTCTGAGACGAAATGTAAAATAACTAAATATTGACAACAAATATTTCCTTATTTTGGAACTTTTCTGTTGTACTGTCTCTTACAGAGATAAGCACACTGAAAGAGATATTTGGAATTGCCACTGATGGTAAGGACAAATCATCTTAAAAAGAGGATGGGGACATTTTTCTGTGATTGTAAGGTGTCCTATTTTTACAGTTACTGCAGAATTTCTGCGATGAGCACATCATTAAGGGCTGTGATAACAAAATAGATCAAATTACATTACATATACCCAGTGAGAGTGATTGGCTGGAATGAAGTGTTAGAAGTCTAATATTAGTTATACGATCTCCTGAGCCGGCTCTGAATTCAGGTGTCATGCATACAGAGTGAGTGACTTAACCACTTTACAGTGAACAAAATGACCATATCATCTGAAGTGATATCTTTCCCCTTCCTCCTTAGAGCACGAGGCAGCCATGGTTAAATACAGTAGACTCCCCAAGAAGAGGGAGAATGAAAAGGTGGGTAACTCAAACAGGTTTCATCATATTTTTTCTGCTTGATGTTAAGTGGGGATGAAGACTACATATATATGACAGTTACACAACAGAAACTGATATTTATATAATATTTGTGCTTGTATGTATGTGTGTCTCTGTGTGTATCTTTTGCCCCCAGCTGAAAGCAGAGGTGGTGCGGGAGGTGGCATTTTGCCGGAGGAAGCAGCACCAGGCCTCTATGCAGTATTACTGTGCTCTCAATGCCTTACAGTACAGGAAGAGAGTAGCCATGCTGGAACCCTTGCTGGGATACACACAAGCACAGGTCTGAGAGCAGTTTTAGTTTTTTCCTCTGTATCTGCAGATAATACAGTGTAGGGGCTGATGATCCTAGGTCTTACGTGGGTGACTTCATCTGAGGAACAGAAAGAACATGGCATAAATTCATGATAGCCAAACATTTATAAATTTATCATGACACACGCTCAAATATTATTACATTCTCAGCTGCATATGCTGTTCTGTCTTCATTCTTACCTCCCTCACACAGATAAACTTCTTTAAGAAAGGGATGGAGCTGGTTTCCAAGAAAATGGACAGTTTCTTGGCTTCTGTGAGCAGCATGACTCAAAGGTAAACAGTCAGGTTTCTAAATAGAGTGTTTTATATATGCAAGATATTTATATGCAGTACTGGGCAAAAGTCAGAGAACAGCCTTCATTAATTTTATTTCCAGTCAAAACATTTCACTTACATTTTGGGGAATATTTATGAGGAAGTAGATATAAGACAAAATCCACTTGCATAAGGGAGGGAAAAGTTAAAGATAAGTACAAGAAGTAGGAGTTTTCCACTGGAGTTCAAAGATATGGAGAAAACGAGACTCCTAACAACCATGCGAGACCTAGTGGACCACCAAAACTGTCACCATCAGCACTTAAAGCTTTCATCTCTGAGAGGGAGGAGAAAATCAAGCTCCACTCTTGATCCAGAGCGGAAAAAATCCAGAGGATTTTCTGTCCATCCTTCCACTGTGAGAAAACTCAACACTATGAGTCTGACTGGATGTGCACCTGTGAAGAAACTGTTACTGAGAAAAGGAAATAGACAAAAAAAGAAGAAAATATGCAGATCAAACAAATAAGCTGCTGGTGTTCTCAGAACAATGTACTGACCACCCCTGAGTCCAGACCTCAACATCACTGAATGTGTTTGGGATTATTTGGATAGTAAGAAAATGCATCCAACTTCTAAGACTGAACTTCAGAGGTGTAGAAAAGGATCCCTGTAGATTTATTGAAAAACTGAAAGCAAGTATAGTACCCATTAGGGGTGGGAATCTTTAGGCACCTCACGATTCGATTCGATTACGATTCAGAGGGCTGCGATGCGATTATAAAACGATTATCGATGCATCTCGATACATCTTTTTTCTCTATACAGGATTTCCATCTTCCTACTGTCTGAGGACTTGGTAGTTTTAAAGCAAAGTATTTGTAATGATCCATAATATAAATGCATTATGGATCATTACAAATACTTTGCTTTAAATATCTAAAATATCTTTTATAAATAAATCAAATGGTAGTGATGTGGTAAGTGAACTAGAAGGCTCTCACTCAGAGACACTGCTGCCACTCACCTGCGATAAAATGCGCTGCTGCCCTGAAATAAGATCCAGTGGTGATGGGTGTCCACGCAGCACGTTACAGCCGTCCTTCCCGTTTTCTTTAGTGATTTTAGAACTTCGGTTTTCGTCTCGTTGTAGAGAGTGTGTGTGTGTGTGTGTGTGTGTGTGTGGTGTGGGGAGGGGGGGGGGTGTATTTTCGAGACTGGACGCTGAATCTCGGCTCCAAAGTGTGCAGCATAGCGCGAAAGCCCTGGTTCTCAACGACTGAGAACAGACAGCAGACAGCAGGTCACATAGGCCCGAAGTCTGGCCTCTCCAGTAGCGAACGAAAAAACAGATTAAGACGAACATTTGGAGGACTTATTCGCATTTATAAGCAGCGCGGTTGGTTAAATCTGCTGAGAGACTGTCTTTCTCTAAAAAGTTGCGAAAATGAACTCTCTGAGCTTCTCTTTCAGATCTTCCCGTTCCACCTTAAATGGTGCAGCAGTTACATTCGGCGCCTAAGGCAGAATTTAAGGTGGAACAGGAAAATTAGAACGAGAAGTGAATGAGAAGCGACTTCAGCCTCGTAAAACAGCCGGATGCTGAGACATTTTACAAGAAACTCTTCTAGTTTTGAAGAAAAGTTTTCTGGCGGAGATGGAAGAAAAGCGGCTAAAGCTAAAGCTTAAAGTAGAGCGAAGTAAATCTGCGCTCTCGTTTATATTGTTTAGTCTATACTAGGGACATTAACACATACTGAGACATACTGGACATTAAATGTTGCGGCTTCCAAGGTGGTTCGATTTTTGTTGAAAGGACAAAATGTCTCTTCTTAACTTTTGCGTTGTGACTCCTGACCTGACCTGGCTTTAATGCAGAGGGAGCCGGTCGGATTTCTCGATCATCCAGTGGTGTTTTTGTTATGTGCCTCCTCAGACTGTCCAGGCGCTGCACTTACCCACTTCCAGTTCCGCCCTTTGCGTTCCGTCAACATTACGTTATAAATTAAATATTTAGAAAATCGATTTTTGACATTAGTGAATCGATTCAGAATCGTTCACGTCCGCATCGCGATGCGTCTAAGAATCAAGTTTTTCCTGCACCCCTAGTATCTATAGTACTTGAAAATTTAGATATTTAGTTGTTAAGGTTTCTGTGTATTTTTTTAAATGTGTTTTCAGCTTCTTTTTTTCCCCAGACACTGAAAAACAATCATTTCTGACCATAAATTAGAAAAATGATTGTTGGTCTCCAATTTTGCACAGTACTGAAAATTTTAGCTTTGTTATTGTGACATTTATACAGAGGAGCTTTGTTTCATGTGTCTCTCTTTCTCTCTGAAGCATCCAGGCTCAGTTAGATGCAGAGGCAGAGAGTATGCGTTTGACTCAGAGAGAGCTGCTGTCAGTGGAGGACACAGTCTACATGCCTGACCACGACCTGGAGCCGGTCAACCGCACGCTCATACAGAAAGCAGGCTACCTCAACATTAGAAAGTAAACAGCTTTTACATTGTGTGTTTTATTTAACACTGTAATCTTTTGTGCGTGTGCATGGGTGTGTGTGTGTATGTGGGTGTGTGTGTGTGTATGTGGGTGTGTGTATGTGGAGGGGGTGTGCGTGTGTGGAGGGGGTGTGTGTGCGTGCATGTTTTCCTTAAAAAAACTTACCTGACAAAAAGTTACCTGTTTGCTGCTTTGCTGGCGACATGGCTTTTAACAAGGGAAGTATCCACTGTTTCTCTGACTCCAACAAGAGGGACATTTCCTAGCTCACATACCACCATACATATCACCATATAACATCCCATAATAGTATTTGTTATCATTAACCCTATCAAACCTAACCTCTCATCAGCAATACATTACGAAACTTTGGCAGTATCCCCTCTTAAAGAGATTAAAATCTGCCCCCAGTGTAGGGGTGTATGCCTGCCTATACTAAGCATGGTGAAATGTCGTATCAGCATATGGAGTGGGAGCTCTCTGTGTGCTACTATGAGATATTTTCTGCACATTGAGAACAGAATTAAGATCACTGAAGGTTTAATATTGATTGGTTTAATCAATTAACAATAAAAAATGACTGAAATGTGAAGTGTACATCTCTGCATTTGTTTTCTTGCTCATAAAGGTACTTTTTGACAGAAAATAAAAAGGATGAGAAATCACATTCCTAATATGGGAAACCAAAGAGTTAAAAAGCATTTTTTCAGAAACGTACACTACCATTTAAAAGTTAGGAATCGCTTGTCATATTAATAATTGCTGTTATTTATTCAGAAAACCATGTAAATACAATACAATAAGACACCAGAATGTGTTTGATTTAGGATGTTTTGTTCATTTCAAGTTTTTAGGGAAACACCAAGACCTTATTAAGTGATACATAAAATATTGTAATGATCTACTTACAGTTTCATTGATAACATTGTCTGCCTAGGATTTGATGACTATGCTTCAAATAAGATGCATTCTGTACATTCATTTTAGTATAACTTCATTCTCAATGTTTTAGAACTTTCTCAGTCATTATGGGATAATCTGCAGCTCTGTATATCAGACATTTCTTTATTTTTTTATGCCGTCATACAAATGAAGTTCCATTGTAGGAGGATCATAATTGAATCATTTTATACATTTTAAAAATGTATATCCCCAAGATAATTGGTAAATAAAAGCATCAAACTACAAATATCCAAACTTTTTATTGCAAGTTAAATTATTTCAGACTTTTTTAGTGTCCCTACATCCTTCCCTTTATTAATTCTTGCTCTGTATCTTTGTATTCTTCTGCAGTAAGACTGGGCTGGTGACCACAGCCTGGGACCGGCTGTATTTCTTCACGCAAGGAGGCAACCTGATGTGCCAGCCACGTGGTGCTGTGGCAGGGGGCATGGTGCTGGACCTGGACAACAGCTCTGTCATGGCCGTGGAGTGCGAGGACAGACGTTACTGCTTTCAGATCACATCGCCTACTGGGAAAACGTATGGCAATAAGCTGTTTGTGCATACATTAAAACCTGTAATACACTGTGGGGCACACCTCTGAAAGTGTTGTTAGGCAGTGTAGAGGTGTCTTGCAGTGGGTATCACAGCTTTAAGCCAACACCGAACCATTTGCCACCTTCAGAGCTGAGAATATAACTGCCTACATTTGCATGAGAAAAGAATAGAGCTGTGTCCGTCTCCTGTCTGCGCCATATAGCAGCCAGTAAAGAATGTTCATGGTAGTGTTCTTGTTGTTCTCTGAGCATGTAAAAGTGCTCGTGAGTGATGATGATGGTGTAAATGGCCGTTTAAAAAGATAGGCTTTATTCAGATCAGCATGTGTTGCTTTTAGTGGCGCTGGAATTTTTGACTTGATTACATTTGCGAGTTGAAATACGTCACAGGTACTGCATGCTTTTAGTGGCATGTCATTCATGGCAAGTTGCATAGAGTTAAAAAGATCAAAGTGCAAAAGCCATGTGGGAACATTTTACTTGCTCATGTTTTGATGAAAGGTGACTAGCTTACATAGTCAAAACACTGACACTGCAGAATATTAATATATATAGTATATAGTTCCACATTTCAGATGTTTAAAGTGCTTGTTAACTTTAAACATGCTTTGTAAAGCAGTATAAAGAATTGTAAAGATCGCTAGGGTTCATTTCCATCAGTGAACGTGTGTGCTTGCTCTTAGTGGCACAGATATTTATGACTTTATTGCAACACTTAAGTTCTGAAAAAGATGAGACACTATATATAAGTAAAACCAGAAAGCAGTGATTAGTAAATTTACTTTGTCCTGCATTTAAATGAAACAGTACAAAGACAAGATATTTACTGTTTTTTGATTATCAACTTCATTCTGAAACTGATGCCAGCAACTTGTTCCAAAAAAGTTGAGACAGGGGAACTTTAAGTATAGGAACGTTGTAAAATGTTCAAAAACATCTTAAACGGGTGATGTCATCATGCTTTGGTGTAAAAGGAGGATCCAGGAAAGGCTTAGTCTGCATTAGCAAACAAGCCAATGGTTTAAGAACATTGGGCCTCATTCACCAACTCTTTGTAAGAAGAAATTTCTTCTTAAAACCCACTTAAGCAGTTTTCACAAAGATTCTGACATTCACCAGTGTTTTCTTATTTGGGATTTCTTCTCAGTTAAGAACAGAATCTACACACACTCAAGAGAACAAAGGTGCAAACAGTTCTGAGGTTTAAGAACACGTCATGAATCTGACAGACTTTTTCTTAGGACTTTGTCAAGAACAAATTTAAGAAAAACTTAGAAAGATATTGGTGAATGAGGCCCAATGTGTCAAAACTCTGCAGTGCAAAATATCATGAAAAGATTTAGGAATTGTGGAGAAATCTCTTGCATTAAAAAGTAAGGCCAAAAACCACAAGCTGTAGAATGCCTGTGACCTTCGATCCCTCAGACAGCACTGCATTAAAAACCGGCATGCTACTGTGATGGTTATCAGGATGTGGGTTCAGAAATACTTTGACAAACCAATTGCCAGTAAACATGCTTGCTGCTGCATATGCAAATTAAAACTGTGCTATGTACAGCAGAAGCTGTATACCAACAGCGTTCAGAAACGCCTCTGATTTCTCTGAGCTTGAACTCTGAACTCTGAAATGGATTGATGCACAGTGTAATGTGGTCTGACGGGTCAAACTTTATGGAAATAATGGATGTTGAAAAAGTTGAAAAGCCAGTGTCTGTCATGGTATGGGGGGATATTAATGGGATAACGTCTACATCTGTGAAGGCACCATTAATACTGAAAAATATATACACATTTTAGAGCAACACAAGCTCTTTACTAGATGACGTCTTTTTTCAGGGACTTCCCTGCTAATTGAATCATGACAGCAGTCACGTACTGGATGTTACAACAGTATGGCTGCATAGTCAGAGAGTGTGAGCGCTAGACTGACCTGTCTGCTTTCAAATTGTGTTTTCCAAACCGGATCAATTGTTGTCTGCAGTGCCCAAATGATTATGAAGTGTCTTGTACTGTAATTTAATACAGGCTGAACAGAATTTACTAATCACTGCTTTCTGTTTTTATTAGCATTTCACAGACTGTCCCAACTTTTAGAACTGAGGTTTGCATACTCACAAGTGAGTGTTCATTATTTAGCTTCCAAATTAAGACAACTATATTTTACTTAAAAATGTAAATAAATTCCACTCTTTGTTTTCAAACAGACTGAGGTGGCCGGAATGGAGAAAAACCTTATGTGTAGATGTTCCTGTGAAATGGCTTTCTATGTAACTTAAACTTTAAGCTGGTTACCATATGAGATTACAGTGCAGGATATAGATTTAGAGTACACTCAGGTAGAAAGAAGATGCATACTTGAAAGAAAAAAAAACTTCATCCAGTCGTAGGCCTCTCTTTGCTGCTGTCCTTTTATTTTTTGCTGCACACCACACTTTCACAGTCTCTTTCTACTCCTCTCCTGAAGCGTACCTTTCTCTTTCTGTCCTTCCATCTATAATTTATTGGCTGACTGAATACTCAAGAGTCGGGTGCTCGGCTGCTAGAGCTTGTCAAAGTGCAAGATACTCAACATTCTTATCCAGAGCAGTTTTACATCTATATATATGAATAATATGCTAATGTCAGATGGTTACTAAGGTATAATATGACGAAGTAGTTGAATAAGAGAGCTTGTTAAATGTGTGATGGATCATCAGGTGTTTTTGGTAACCTTTTCATTGACTTGCTATTTTTGATCTGCTTTTCACACAACTGCTTATCTCCAGCATCCGTCCTGTGAGAGCAACACCCCCAAAATCAATTTCCTGTCACTATATTAGTGTCTTGCTAACTGTGAGGACAAGTGAGATGCGCAGTGGGCTTCAGCATGCTGGCTGCGTGCCAAGGAGAGGGAGAGGGAGAGATAGAGAGACCTCCTCAGAGCTTGTTTAATCTAAGAGGAAATAATTATACAGACATTTCCTGTGATATCCACTCTGCTTTGTTACAAGCTGTACAAGCAGTGAACACAGAACAGTGGCTGACAGATGCTACTGAATGCAGCTCCAGTTCAAAGAAGACTCTGAAAAGACAGACTGATATTCCAGTGATGGTCTTTTCTCTTTGGTATTTATAAGTATTGACAGGACACAATTGCTGTCACAAATCTGGCGCCGGCAAACGTCCTTCAGCGTTAGCCATGTCTTAATTAATTGCAGCTTTGCAGTCTTTTATTGTTTTCATAGATTATTACTGTGATGAAATTAGTTAATTTCTGCTTTCTACTTCCAGGTCTATGATTCTTCAAGCAGAGAGCAAAAGGGAATATGAAGAGGTGTGTTACTTTAACATTTTCTACTACTTCATGCCATATTTTGAACTCTACAGTTGAAGTCGGCTTAGAAAAATAGTTCAGCAAAAAATCTAATTTACATGATTTTCCGCTTACCCCAAATCAGTCGATCAGCCAAGACATGTTTGTTGTCCAAGTTTTGTTTATTTAATTTAGAACTGGAGCTACAAGGCTAATGGTGCTAACAAACACTGGAAGTCAATAGTCACCCAAACTGTTTAAGCAAATACATGCCCAAAAACTGCTCTCAGCTTGAATAAACACACAATCAGGTTTTAAATTGTGCAGACAATTCAATGTGCTTTAGAGCAGAATATGACTCACTGTGAACTATAATAACAGAAAAATGTCTATGTGGAGTCATTTAGGATAATCAGAATCACCATTTCCATGCAAAGTTACTTGAGACGGTGCTGAAGGAATCCACAACACTGACGGACCATATGGTAATATAGGTAGAGAAGCTCAGCGAGTGTACTCAGAAAATCAATGTCTGATTACGAGTTTGAGGACTAATTTTTCTGCACAAATAACTCACATAAATACACATGAAGAAATGCATCAGTCGGATGCTAAATCCAAAAGTGACTTTCTGGACCACCTTGTAGCTTGAAGCTGAAATTAGCTTACTATTCAAATTTTCTTTTCCACCTTAAATGGTGCATTGTTACATTGTGGCACCTCAAGCACCAGAACATTACTGCTGCAACATTTAAGGTGGAATGGAAAACTGGAATAAGAAGCTGCCACAGAGGAAGCCAACTTCAGCCTTGTCCTCTTAGCCGCCGGTGGCATGACAGTAAGTGAGAACAACACAGACGGAGATAAAGTAAACAGTGCCTACCTCAGATTTCCTTTATTAAGCTGTCATCTGTAAAAATGTACTTGGTACAGCTGTATATTTTATATCTTGCTGAAGATCTTCCTTGTAATCATCAGCTGAAAAATTGTCACCTCATACACAGAGATTTTGCTGAGTAACTTGAACATCTCTTTTGATAGTTTGTGCTTCATTGTCAAGGGCCAAAAGTTTGCTTGTGTCTGCATTAAAAGGAAATCAGTAGTAAAATATCAGACTGCCTGTAGATTTCTTTGGTCTGTTTTTGCAAAATAGCATTTTTATAGGTTTATCATTATACAATGTGCAACTAACTCTCTTACAGTAAGTAAGCTTTAGGTATTACTGTGCTAATACTACATAGCTGCGTAGAGACATTTTACAACACACCAGAGTTTGTAGTATCAGAAGGCGGGACGTTCTGTGGGTTGATAATGTGGCACCAATTTTAGCTTAAAGGTGTAAATATGGTCTATCCATGACATTTTACCTAATTCTTTGTTTCTATACATGTTTTCATAGCTTATCAATGTAAGTTCAAGCAAATATATTAAGATTTTAGACATGTATTACTGGAAAAGGTTTAGGTGACTATTTACTTCTAGCGTTAGCACTGTTAGCCTGGCAGCTCCAGTTCTAAATTAAGGAGCAAAACTTGGACCCCAAACATGTCTTGGCTGATCTGTGTTTAAGGTTAGTAGAAAATCATGCAAATCTGATTTTCTGCCAAACTGTTTCTTGAAGTAAATGAACTATATTGTCTGTTTCCTCTTCACAGTGGATTTGCACCATCAACAACATTTCTAGGCAGATCTACCTGACGGACAACCCTGAGGTACTGCCTCTCTTCACACGGTCCCTTAGGCACATTGATCAGCACAGATGTGGACAGACATGCCTGCTGTGCTAAGCGTAGATAAGGATAAGGATGGATATTTCCTCTAAAAATACACCTTTGCTAACTTTGCTAATTTGCATACTTCACTAATTTGACCACATAAACTGGTGGAAAGTAGAGCTGGTGTCCCTCAGTTTGCACTGATGGGCAAGGTTTTTAGTGAAGGAGGGCCTTAAGTTTAGACCTCAAAGCCTGAGCTGTGGTCCAGTCTGTGAGAGAGGGTGTGTGAATGTTCTAAAGCAAATATACAAATGGACTTTGATCATCATTTTCCAGCTGCTAGTGATTGTCCTGGATCACTGCTTAATTAGTCCACAGATCAGTGTGCCTTAAAGCAGAATGTGCCCAGTCTTATCCACAAAGGGCTGCTGTGGCTGCAGGTTTTCATTCCAACCAAGCAGGAGCTCAAATAACTACTCAGTGCTTCTGCTTGATTGGAATGAATACCATAAAAACCTGCAGCCACACTGGCCCTTTGTGGATAAGGTTGGTGACCCCTGTCTTAACACGTATGGACACTGATTAATGGACCCTCCCTCATTTACCTGTGCTATCAGTGTTGTAATAATGTTCTTACCATGTAGTTACAGAGATTCTAAAAAAACTGATTCCCTTTGGATGAAACTGTTTACCTCTCAGTATAAGGTCTGTTCAGTTATTCTGTTACTTAAGTCTTTTCCTTTGAGTCTTATTTTGAGCCTTTATATGTTTTGTTGTTTTTTTTCTTTTTTTTTCTTTTACAGTGTTTATTTTAGTTTCTTTAGATACTTTATTGCTTTTGATTTTACTGCATTTTACCGTTTCAGCTCGCATGTATGTTTTGGGTCAGTGTTGTTCTGTACTGTCTTGTTGTGTGGGTTGTCTTATTTTATCATTATTTCATTGAATGAATGTACTTTCCCTTTTTCATTTTAATCTGATTTTCAGCACTTAGTTCAGTATGTTGTGTTTTGAATGTGCTTTTTTTTTATTATTTGACCTGATGTGAATAGATTCTGTTCTTTGTTCTCAGGCAGTGGCCATCAGGCTGAATCAGACAGCCATCCAGGCGGTCACTCCCATCACCAGCTTTGAAAAGAGAGCAGAGGGCTCCCCCAACCCTGACAGGTCAGAATGATACTACGATAACGTCTATTTACACTTTTATATTTCAGTGCTTTATTCATGAAATAAACTCTTCAAGAGAGTCAGATCGCAGAAGATTTTCCTGATTTAACACAACTGAGTCAACTCCCAGGATAGACCGTTCAGATTTAGGGGCAGAAATTCTTGTGATCATTGTCATGATTTGTTAATGGGTCTTTGCATACAGCCTGTGTAGTTTTACAGAAAAAAGTTGTATGATGAAAATTCTGAACAAACATGCACTTCTGTGTCAATAACAGGTCTTTTTAAGAAGCTTTTGTTTGTGTTAGCATCCTAACAGGAATGCCACAGTTACATTAGCACCAAGATACTGTAGAACTATTTTACATTCTGTAAGAGCTCTCTAGCTTAAACACAGACGCTTGATGCTTGTAACAGACATTGAGGTGACATATTCCATTTGTATGGTGCAGTTTGAATGTTGATTCCTTCAGTGAAAGTTTTAAGCCTCTCACTGAATATTACTGGAGCCTGTTAGCTTAGAGTAAAAAGAGTAAAAGGAGTGAAAGGAGTCTACTGTATTTGTCATGAACACAGATATTTAATGTTGGCGATATGTGACTTTACGTTGCTGTCCTGTCCTTCAGAGACATCTGTTTGTAAAACTGCAGCTGTGACAGTGAAAGTATGAAGGCTGGGTTAGTGTGAATGTTTTTTCGAGTGGAGGGACGTTTGTTCGATGTTAGCAGCAAATCTGTACAGTCTGTAGAATTACATGCTTTCTGGAAGAGGTGAATGCACCAAAACACAGCGTGTAGAGAATCTGGACACTTCACATTTCAGTTTCTTGGACTGTAGATACAATGACATATAGCATACATGTGAACTGGCTAGGAATATGCAGTTTTGTTTACTACGCCCTCATTAAAATACAACCCAAGTTCAATTTTAGCCTTTTTTTTTGCAGTTGCTAAAAACTGGCTCAGCTCATACTCACATGTTGCTAAATAAGCTTTAGCCTAGGTAGGTGTATGTATGCTTTGCAAAATTAAGACAGTTGCAAACTTATAACTGCTGGAAATTCACCACTTTGCATTTACATTTTCTTTTTTAATATAGAAAAATGGATTATTCTGAATTAAATCTCAAAATGTCGTTGTAGGGCTAAACCAGGTGGAGTAGCTCACAGCAGTGTTAAGAAGGCCCCTACTGTCCCAGAGCCTGAAGACCTGATCGCCCCCGGAACGCCCATCCAGTTTGATATAGTGCTGCCTGCATCTGAGTTCCAGGACCAGAACAGAGCTGGAGGGAGGTCAGAAGATACTGCGGCCAATATGTGAAACATATTGTTTTCTCAAACTCTAGATTAAGGAATTTAGCCTAGACCAAAAGGATTTCCAATAGTGACTCACTACAGGCATTATAGTTCAGTCCAGAGCTGAGGTTAATGCACCTTTAGGGATCCATGTTTGTTCATTGTTTAGACAGTATCAGCCCTTAATCATTCTGTTTGTATATTACACATTTCTTACGGTCTCTGTTTATGTAGTTTATAGAGCTAAATTAGAGCTCGTATTATCTACTGTCACTACTTACCGTCATATGTGCTTTATTAACATTGCCTGACTTTTTTTTTCATGACCCTACTGCACAGACGCACAAACCCTTTTGGCGAGACAGAAGAGGAGAGCTCTTCAGGTGCTGATGGTGAGACATCACAGCTGCCTCTTTCTTTTCAGCTGTTCATTTGTTGCTGATAGATAAGGTCAGAAAGGGCCACGTAACGCCATAATGGAACTCAAAGACCTCAATTCAGCTGTGCTTTGGCTCCCTTTATGAAGATTGGTTGAATGTCGTGTTGTGTCTTGATCCTCTCGCTCTCTTTGTGTGTGTGCAGACTCTTTGCTACAGCAGGTGTTCGCTGTGCGGTTTCTGGGCTCTATGGCCGTGCGCTCAGGCCACACACAGGAAGTGATCTATGAGGCAATGAGGCAGGTGCTTGCGGCTCGAGCGATACACAACATCTTCAAAACCAGCGAGTCCCACCTGATGGTCACCAGCAGCTGCCTCCGGTGAGTTTGGAATTCAGAGCAAGTCTGACACAGAGACACTGTCACACCTTAGATTTAAAATCAACATGGAAATATACTGACAATAGAAAGGCAGAAAACATTTAATTTTTTTTTTTTGTCCAACAGCTTGATCGATCCTCAGACACAGGTCACTAAAATAAGTGTAAGTGAGTCTCCCTTACACTTAAATGTCATTGAGGATAGATTGCATCTCTGAAGTCTCTGACCTGACTGAGTTATGTGATCCAGGGTCAGCAAAAATGTCCAAGTCTAATTTATTTATTCTGTATCTCCCTGTCTGCATTCTCTTTTCTTTCCATCCTTTTCATCAGTTCCAGCTGAAGGATGTTACTCAGTTTGCAGCACACCAGGAGAACAGCAGGCTGATGGGCTTCGTGGTGGAGGGGAGAGACTGGAGTGAAGGAGCGGAGGAGGGACAGCCCTCCTTCAGCGCCTTCATCTTTGAGAGCAACACTGAGGGAGAGAAGGTAGCTGTTCAGTTCTGCTGAAATTTTACTTAATTGCAGAAAATATGTTTCGATAGTGACAGTATTTAAAAATCACACTCATGATTAATCACAATATTTCAACCTTAAAAGAAATCAAAGAAGATCTTTTAAAAGAAAAAACATTGTAAACAATACTGTTTTCACAAGCCGAAGTTGTTTTAGGGTTTAGGACAGTTGCACAAAAAAAAACCCTATAAATGATGTTTGTATATATATTTATCTTATTACTGTCTCAAATAATGCATTGGGTTTAAATAGATCAAAACACAATCCTTGTAAATATCTAATGTCTGAATATTAGAATATTGTTTTTTTTTGTTGTTGTTTTCTGTTTTTTGTGTAGGATGTGTTCATCATTAGATTTGCTTTTTATGCTGTTTCCCTCTCTTCCATAGATCTGCTACACAATAAACTTAGGAAAGGAGATTACAGAAGCAAAGAAGGTAATTAACGTCTTAATGTTTATGTTAGGATAATCACACTGCATTATACCTACATTATTGGTTTAACCTTTAAACTTTCACCACCTGCATTAGGACCCAGAGGCTCTAGCTCAGCTGATGAAGTCTATGCCTCTGACCAATGATGGGAAGTTCCTGTTGTTGGAGAGTGAGACGGGCGAGGCAGCTAATGGAGGAGGACAAGAGGATCTGGAGTCTGAGGCCTGAACACTCCCCACCTGCAGTTAGATTTATTAGCCCTCTCAAAGGAAGAGTGCTGATCCAGGCTCATCTTTTACCTCTCATATCTTAATGAAGACTGTGGGAGGAGACCCTAGATCAGCACTCTGCAGAGTCAGATTCAAACTGACTCTCTGCTCTACTTTAATCCATAAGCCTGGATTCAACACACCAATTTTGCTCTTAAACAACAATTAGCAGCGTTGAATGAAATTTCACACCTAACAAAGAGTTTAGAGATTTGGGTATACAGTGAATTTACATTAGTTTATGCAGAACAGACCAATTAAATACTTCTGCTGAAGAACACATGGATCTCCTATGGTAATATACAGAAAAATCAGTAAGTTTAGATGGGAATCCTGCAAATTATTGTTGTTGGTATTTACAGTGTGCCCTGATTATCAAATTAAACTGGCAGCTGATCAGCTGAGGTGCATGTTATTAACATGCCACTGCAAGAAACTTAACCACAGATTGACTTGTCTAGGCCTTAAAGCAGCTTTTACACTGTAGCTGCTCTTCTTCATTAGAGCTGATCGTACAGGACAGTGGGACAGTAAATGGTCTTAATGGCTGCTGTCCAGTCTTCAATAAGAACTGAGATTACAAGGGCGAAGAAAGGAGGGGGGCTTCTTAAGAGCACTGAGGTCTGACCTTTCACAAGACCTCTTCACTCAGTATCTCATCTTATGTCTGTACTGAGGAGCATGATTTAAAAGGATGCCGTTTCTAGTTTATCATCTTAGTTTGGTTCAGTGTTTTTGGCTGCTGAGTCATTGAGACTGTTTCTTTCTGTAAAGAGGTACAGGAGTCCTCTTATATACATTTAATAGGCTGGTCTTTGTTCACCAGGGCTTTTAGGTTCATAGTTTCAATTCATCTGCTAAGTAGCAGTAAAAGGAAGCCTATGCAGATGTTATTAATCACTAGGCATCAAGGCATCAGTTTAGACCTTCCAGCTTAGCTAGACTTGCTCTCTTCATTTTCTACTGGTATTAAAATATGTAACATATGTTTTAAGCACAGAGTATAACTGCACTTTCCAGAGTTGTCTTGCAAGACAGCATTTCGTAAGAGTTTGGTAAATTGCACTAATGTAAGTAGATTGTAATTTTGAAGAAAGAATTCATCATAACGGTACTGTAACGTGAAACTAAAAAATACCGTACTGTAATCCAGCTAAATTCCATGCTATGGGTGGTTATTATGCAGATGCTGAATCAGGGTCTGCATCCCCTTCTCAGAGTCCAGTGCTGTTAGAGCAGAGGTGAGCTGCAAGTTGTTAAACAGACTTTCCCTGTAAGTAAGAACTGTCCCCTGTTGGCTGTATGGATGTGTGTATATGGGTGTGCATTTTGGGTGACAGTTTGCTGCAAGACAGCTTCTTGACCAAAAGGATTTGAAGGTGGTTGAACCTGTGCTGAATTACTTTTCTCTGACATGAAGGAATAACAAGTGTATTTTTACTCATTAATCTCATTGTGTACATTCTCCTCAGGTCATTTTAAGTAAAACATCTTTTACATTCCTTTGTTAAAAAAACAACAAAAAAAAACAATTCCAGAACACTAAATAGGTGTTAATATTAATCCACATTTAATTTCGTATGTAGGACTGTGCGCAGTGCTCTGTTTACAGTGAATGGCATGCACATTTAGGTTGAAAGTGCAGTTTACAATCACTTTATAAGGGGTTTAAAATACTCCACAAACACTAAATAACAGTGAGTTGGGTTTATGACACTCCTGGTAATTAGTTTAGTATCAAATGCAGATTTAGTGCACAAAACCTCCTGGTTCAAAAGCTGTCCATGTTAAACTTTGCAACACTCAATGATAAAGTCAATAAGATGTTTTCTGGTGGCGGTGAATACTAAAAATACTGTAGCTGTATTTTTAAGATGGATGATCTAGTGAATATAGATCCGTTAGCTCATTTCAGAATCACTTCTCTCCAAGCGAGCGCATCATTGAGGTTTTTTTTGTGGCTCCCTGACTACGCTGTTTCTCCTAAAGGGCTTTTTCTTCTTAAATATTCTTGTTTAATCTGCTTGTTTGGCTGAATTGAAAGATGCGTGCCTATGGGCATGTTTTTTCCTGCTGTAATCTGCAATATATAAGGAAAATTAGTTTGGTGCACTTCAGTATTGTACATAAAAGCAGAATATACATGAGATTTTGTTTTCCCAAACAGTAATTACTGGCTTATGTAAGAATGGTGGCAGTTATATGCTTGAACCAAAAGCAAGCTGTTAAGAGAGGGCTCAGTGGGTGGACAGGAACTGGCTCATTTTCAGTGTTGTTTATTGGAGCCTGGAGAAGACTAGAACAGACTGAAGTGCATGTAAACATGTCTGTTTCTCAAAAAACAGCATCTTTTGTTTTGTCTGTTGATAGACTGTACCATCAGGAGGTTAAAAAGGCAAATAATAGCATTTGAATAAACTCTGAAAAAAAGCTCTCAGAGCAGAACTGCTTTCGGTGGAAGAACACTTTTGGTGAAGTTTAATTTGGCAATGTCTATTGCCTTGAAGGCTTTGCACGTATGTCTTTGTCTTTTCTTAAAAACAACTGTAATAACATCTTTAATAAAGCTATGTGACGATTTCTAACTTTTCTGAAAGTTTTTGTTTCGGCTCATCGTCTGCTCATATGAATGTGAGATGCAACGTGAAACTCAGCATTTTATTTTAATTCACATATAACACCACAGCAGTGAGACATGTTGGACTCAATGTAGATTGACAGTGATACTGATTTGGCAATAGAAGTGTAAGCAATTGCTCTGAAAATGAGAGGAGAACGCTATGACCAGAACAGGAGACGGCAGTTTACAGACATGAAACAAAATGAAGAAATTTTAGAACTTAATTCTGTTGCTAAGAAAGCAAACTGTAAAATGCATTACAGTTTGCTCAGAATCCAGTTGAATTCCACATTTCTTCAGTTGACTGTACAGACATTAACTAGTGTTACCTTTGTAACTTGCACTTAGCTTGGTATAGAATAGCCACAAAATATCTTAGAGCAGCACCATGGACTCACATTGCAGAGCAACTACAATGTTGATAAGCACATTATTTGCATATAGAGAGCCTTACTGATGTCAACACTGGTGCCAAAGCAGCTAGAGGAAAAGCCCATTTCATCAGCAGTTCACAAAGACAGCCAAAACGTCATGAGTCTTTGTAGTAGTTGTTGAAGTTGATGCGCAGCAGAAAGTCTTCTAAATGTGGCTGGTAGCCTTTGTCAACCAGCTTGGAGACCACTGCAGACACACAAACATCCAGACTGAGCACAGACATTTACTTTATGCTGCTCTTCAGATGTGTGCAGAATTTTCCAAAGGTAAATCTCTTTTCTTATCAGCTTTACCTTTATATTAACAACCAAAGAGAGCTTAACATATGTTTGTTTTGTGTGATAACAGCAATGGGGTGTGTCTACTTACCTTTGAACAGAAAGCGTGAGTAGTATTTGAAGGTGTTGTAAGACTGCTGCATGGCGATGAAGCTGGGGTGCACCGTCTCCCCCTGCTGGCTCTCCCAGGACTGTGCGATCAGCTGCCCACGGAACTTCAGGATCAAACTGAAGATGCTGTGGATGATGTTCATCACTGGAGCAGCCTTCTCTGTCAGCAGAGCCCTGTAATGCAGCACGGACAAGAGAATGTTTTAAAAGCAAAGTAAAGCAATATATTTCTCTATAGAGCATCTGAGAGAGGAAAGGAAATTTAATCACTAGCTTACAATAAATATTACAATCGATCTCCTCTCATGAACTTGCTTCTGAGTATTTTTAACTCAAAACAATACAGCGTACACTCTCTTTTTCTGTATTACGACCCAACCAATATGCATGGCCAATAAAGTCAGCATTATTTAAAAGGGAATTCCACAGATTTTTCAAAACTTGCACATAACTGAATGTTAAAGATATAAAGAGTCATTCAGAGTGGTCTGATGTGAAATGCTCAGAGTGAAATACTCAAAACTGTTCACAGTAGTGGTGGTAAGAACCAGACGTCTGAAAAGTAATACCTCTCAAACCTCTCTTACAGAAAGTTATTACATGAATATGCTGATGCCTGATTTATGATATTTATGATGTTTTGACATAAGCATTTTTTAAATACATCCATGGCTGAGCGGTACATTCAGGGCATCACAAAGCAAAATAGTCCCCAACATTATGTTTTAAAACCTCGAAGACACGTGTAGGTACACTGGCTGTTTTGGATAGTAAATAAAATGGCTACATTTGTGTTGTAGACACTGACACGTGGTTCCTACTAACACTGCAGAGAGAGATGAGCTGCTAAGCGTTTGCAAGCACTGCTAATCCAGTGGTCACCAGTTGTTTACCTTTATTTCAGCAAAACAAGCAGGAATTAGAACTTAAACCATCATGATAAAATGCATCCAAACATAACATTTAGCATATGTCAAAACTTTATGTGAAGAGAACTGAAAATAAGAGCTCAATAACAGAAATCAACAAAACTGCTAAAATTCTGAGAAGCTCCACCCCAGAGCTACAATATTTACATTATTAAAGTACTTTGTATGCTGTTGTTGTAGATTTAAAGATATTTGACCACTATGACTTGATACTAAAGCACTGTTTAACTAAAACCCTTAGATTAACTCCTCAAGTTCTTAAAGTCAGTAACGGAGACAATTTCATATCAATCAAGCCCTTTTACACACCACATGCATCTCAGATGATGAAAATGGTACAAACTGCAGAAATGCAGCACATAATTCTGACCTGAAGATGGCCCCATTTGGGTACTTCACATGTGCATAAATGAGTCTGTGTGTGTGCGCGTGTTTGTGTGTGTGTGTGTGTAGTGTAGTGTGTTGTTCCCACCTGAAGATGGCCCTGTTGAGGTACTCTGCGTGTGTGCGGTGGATGGTGTCGAGGTCGCTGGCACTGCTGAGTTTCTGAGTGAACTCGCTCCAAGACACCTGCAGGATCTGGTTAGCGATGTAGCCCTGAATCACCTTCACAAAATGCTGCATCTCATGCCTGTACAGCTGCAGCTGCCGGAACTGCACTGACCTGCCTGCTCCCTTGACCAGGGCTGAGAGAGAAATACAGATATATAGAGAGATAGAGACACGCACGCACGCACGCACACACATTTAGATTAGAGAGAGAGAGAGAGAGAGAGAGAGAGAGAGAGAGACAGAGAGAATAAACTCTCAGCTGTGATGTTCTGGGGAGCAGGATCTCTAAAGCAAACATCCAGATCTTCTCAGTGAGTGATAAAGTGAGAGCCTGTCTAACTGTTCATCACTGGAGACAAAATGAAAAAATGGAATAGATCTCACCAACAACTGTCAGAATCCTACAATACAGCAAATAATAAGAGTCAGTATGTTTACAGATGCTCACCTGTTCGTTTGAGATGAAACCAGACATCGCTCAGAGACCACACCATGTGTTTGAGCTGCAGCAGGAAGGAGAAGAGCCGGTTGTACTTATTCATACAGCTATCTGTTATTATTATATTTAATGGCCAGTCCACCTGGAGCAGAAAGAGCAAGAGAGAGTGAGTGAGAGAGAACAAACAAGTGCAAAAGAGACAGAGAACAATTCTTTTTCAGTATTCAAGGTGCTGAAATCAAAACATCCATTATAACACGTCTTATCATATGATTCCCGTTTTCATAAAAGCAGGTTAAACACAAAGAAAGGGTTCATCCATTCTTCTCTGACTCTATAGCCTATAACGGAGGCATTTCAGGAACCTTAACAACGGAGAAAAGTGGAGGAATGAGAGACAGAGACGCTAATGAAGAGAGTTAGCAGGGGACCTGTATCAGTCTGACCTTGTAGCGGAGCTCGAGGCAGTTGAGCGAGTCAGGGGCGTGCGGGTGGAAAACCTCGGGCAGGTAGCGCAGTGCAAACGTGAAGTTAGCGGCCAGCTCACTGTCGCCATGGAGACTGTACTGCATGGCCTTGTTCAGAATGGAGTTCAACACCAGAGGAGTCAACAGCTCACCGGGGGTCTGACCGCTGCCCAGCTATAAAGCACACACACACACACACACACACACACACACACACACACACACACACAAAACACAATACATGAGTAACCTTTTCAAAAGCGCACATATTTGACTGGTGCACTTATCAAGCAATACTCATAGCTCTGTGCAGTCATAACTGTAACTGCTTGAAACAGAACAATTATAGCTCTCAGCAGCACTTTTGCTGCCACTGCGTATCTGCTTAATGGAAACCTCACAAGTTCCATTACTGAAGTAAGCACGGCGCACGCGAATTTAAGCAGAAAGACACGGCATCCTACGAGCTGCACACATCAGTTCCCTCCCCAGGCTAATTCTCTAAAGAGGAGTCTGACAGGCTGCCGGCCCACTGATGTTCTGTGCGAATCCTCACTTTCTCAAAGAGGCGGTCAGTGAGCGAGAGAGCAAACTCGCCATCCTCCATCAGCAAGAAGTGCCTCAAAGCCTCAAAGTGCTTCTCCACTCTCAACTCCACAAAGAAGTAATCCACCACCGCCTTATTCACCAGAGACAAACTGAAAGAGGAGAGAGAGGGAAAATTGCTCAGCACTCAAGAGTCACCACTCAAATTCATTTATTTTGGCACACAAAGCCCTTGAGGAGGAGGTAAGTCTAGACACATGCAAAAACATAATAAAATCAGTCAGGAGGGTTACAGTTTTCGCTAAACCTGATGCTTAAGACAGGCTTCTGGAACAGTTAAGACTTCAATAATAGCCTTTTTGTTCATGATTACACGTACTAGTATTACTTGTTAAAAAAAATGTTTCAGCACGAACAATAACTTCTATGTAAATGTAACAAAGCTACTCTAATTTAGAGGAATTTCACTCATTTTTCAATGTTTCTGTGCAATCATTAATCATCGAACAGTCATTCAGAGCGATTTAACATGATATTGTTCACAGTTTCATATGTCCTCTTGATAATGGTTAAATAGTGGCAAAACAAGCCTCTGAAGCATCAAACAGCATATTGCTGATATTTCATTTAATAACTTTCTGTGAAGTAGCTATTAGAAGCATTAAACGTCATCAACACTGAACAATTCTGAGTGGATACATTTCATGTGAAACTACTGTGAATGACTTTGCATCTTAATGATTTATGTATGCAGAAATCTTGAAATTCTGTGCAATTCCCCTTTAACCTAAACCATTAAGGGAAAGAGAGTTAATATATTGCTTTTCTTTATTGTTTTCTACAGCAAACGCAAGCAAAAGGTTTAAAAAAATAACATGTTGGAACTTTACTACACTTATGAAGATCTCTGACATTCGATTACACTTACTGTGTAATGAGTGGGGTTGTGACTGAGTGTTTCATAAGCACAGGAAGAGGCATCATCTCGCTGAGCTGGACCGCAGTGGAGTCTGTGGCACAGTGCAGGGAGGCGTCCACTGGCAAACCATTCGGGCCACGCGTTACCTGTTGCAGGAGCTGTGCATCAGGGGCAGACACTGACCACGCGCACACACACACACACACACACACACAGTCAGAAATGTTTATGAGTGAAACATTCGACAGCAGATATAAGATTTTGTGTAGGTATTTCATTCCTCTGCTCACCAACTGCATTTCATAAGCTCATCTCTGTCTTAAATTCTTTGCGAACTCTCACCATTCAGCTACAATGGACATTTCCAATACACAAAGGACAGAACAGGCAGAGGGGAGGAAACACAGCATTCAATGTGTGCAGCAGGCTGTGCTGAACTTTCTACTAGACAGAGACAGCCAGAGCATTACTCAGCATTGTGGTTTGCGAGTATGAAAGCTGGGGATACTGGCTGACTAAACAAACTGATAAGGAAGGCCAGCTCAGTGGTGGGGCAGTGACCGGACAATCTGGAGAGAGTGAGTGAGAGGAGGGTGATGGACAGAATGCTGCATGATAAATAGCATTTTTTTTTTTTCTTACTGGCATCATGTTATGAGTTTCCATGATACAACATTAAAAGCTTGAACCTGGCTCTCCCATAGGAAAAGCCAGTAATGTAAGCTTTTGGCTAAACAGCCAAGTGCAAAAAGAAAAACAGACATGCACAGCTCAAAAATTACCACATCCTGAACTACTAGTCTGTAAAAACAAAAAAGCATCAAATATTACCATTATTCTCATGCCCAATTTTGTGCTTTGAATGTGTGAAGCAATAATGACATTGTCACAAACCTGCATCTCCATAAAGAGCTTTTTAATGAGTTAAATATATATTCATTGTTTTTTGTGTGCGTACATAAAGATGAATGAATAAAGAAAAATGGTTTTTGTTGCTTTTATATGTATCAAAAAAAACAAAACACATTTCAAGCCCATATTATACAGCCCTACTGAACAAAATCTATGCCATCTTACACAACCCTGCACACCCTTTCAATGATAAACTGTGGAAAATCCAGGGATCCCCCTTTCTCTTACTAAGAACAAATGAAACACAAGCCTGATATTAAAATAGATAAACTACTTACACCTAAAACTCATTTGCTACCTGGAGTGTTTTGTTACGCCTCTTTACACAATAGGTTAACAGAATGCAAAGCAGCTTAAGTTCATCACTGTCACAACAGCACAGAGACAATGATTACAAACAACTGTTTACTGCAGAGCATTAGCTAGCAACCCCTTTGACTTCACTTCATTAGAATGATCACATACAATCACATACATTCTTAATGTTCATCCATTTCTTTAGTTATTACCTATTTAACATTTAGCCTGTCTTTATCTCATTTGTTAGAAGCTTTGAAGAGCACCTGTAAATGAAAGTTACTCACTCATCAGGCTGTAAGAATCCTCATACTGCTCAGCCTCATACTGAGAGGCCAGATTCAGGAGGTAGTCATCCTCTGGGCTCTCTCCAGGGGACAGACCCAGCCCCTGAGCCCAGGCAGCAAGACCCTCATCCAGAGTGAGCAGCTCTGGAGGTGCTGCTGTGGAGCCTATAAAGCCCACAAACATTTTAGAGGCAACTACTGAAAAATACAGTATGCATCTACATGAGTTCCACACAACATTTTTTAAGCCATTATATACAGCTCTGTCTACTAAAGTCAACTAATATGAAACACAGCTATGGATATAGCTACGGTATATGGCTTCTGTTGTTTTGTTGCAACTGAACAAGCCATAATGGATAGATTAGTTCATTAATCGAACAGTAGTTGATATGTTAATCAATTACAGAAATAATCATAAGCTACAGGCGTACTGTAAACTCACAAACAGCTCCATCACATGGCTGACTTGAAACCAGTTGTATTAAATAACATGACTACAACAGAGATCTGAATATTTAGTCCAACTTCCTTCAAAACAAAGTTAACAGCTTAAACAATACATTCATGTTCTTACCTTGGGTCTCTATGCTCTCTTGTTTGTCCTTTCCTTCTGTGGTCAAGTTTGATCTTGTCTGAAGGACTTCGCCATATGAGCTTCCAGGCAAGACCCCCCGTACCACACAGCCCATGCCCAGTGTGGAGTCAGAGGAATGACCATGAGTACTGCCTGGGAGAGGGGGGTGTCTAGGGGGTTCTGCCCCTTTCACTACACAACCTACCCCGAGTGTTGAGTCCGATGAATGTCCGTATGCACTACCGGGCAGTGGGGATGGAAGAGGATCTGATCCAGACACAATACAACCAACCTTTAGTGTGGAGTCTGAGCTGTGACCGTGTGTGTTGGCTGGCAATCGGGGGTTGGGCTGCTCACTGCCTGTAACCACACACCCTATACCCAGTCTAGAGTCTGAAGAGTGACCGTAAGCACTGCCCGGCAAGGGGGAATGAAAGGGTTCAGTCTCTGGCATCACACAGCCCACTTTTAGTGTGCTGTCTGAAGAGTGGCCATGCTTGCTCCAACGAGGACGAGAAGGAACAACTTCTGATACAAACTCGCCAACTTTTATATGGGCATCAGAGGCATGGCCATAGATGTTAGGGGAAGGGGTCAAGGTTGTTACCTCCGAAACAAGCTCTCCAATTTTAATATGGGCATCAGAGGCGTGGCCATGGACATTGGGGGACGGTCTTGGGGCAGTTACCTCAGAAACTAGCTGTCCAATTTTTATATGAGCATCAGAGGCGTGGCCATGGACATTAGGGGAGGGGGTAGGCGTGGTTACATCAGACACATGCTCACCAATCCTAATATGAGCATCAGAGGCATGGCCATGTACATTAGGAGATGGACTAGGTATAGACACTTCTGAAACAAGCTGACCAATTTTAATATGAGCATCTGAAGCATGGCCATGAATATTGGGCGTGGGGAGATTAGCGGTAACCTCAGAGACAAGCTCTCCAATCCTTATATGGGCATCAGAAGCATGGCCTTGGACAGAAGTGGTGGGAGGAAGACTAGTTAGCCCTGAGACGCTGTTCTTATTTTTGCTTGGAGCACCTAAGTCTTGGCTGCAGACACTGGTGAGAGGCAGCTCAGTTGGAGTTTCCTTAGCTGTCATATGAGGGGGCTGAGCAAGCTGCTCACTCTGTTTGGCCTCGTCTGCTGTGTCATCTGTTGCTTGTTTTGGCTCTGAATGTGCACTGCATGCTGAAGGCTCTTTCCCTTCTCCATCCAAGTTCCTTTCTCTGGCCTCTTCGTCTGCCTCCTGCCTTTGGTTCGCGGCCACATTTTTCTGTTGTGTCTCTCCTGCTGGCTCTGCTTCAGTCAAGCTGGTTTGTGACAGGACGTCTGGGCTTCTATGCCCTGAGGCGGCACTGTTCTCCAGCGGCAGTGAGCTGAGTGAGGGGTGGCCATATTCACTTGCCCTAGGCTTTGCTAATGGCACCGAACTTTGGGCTTCAGACACATTTTCCCCAATCTCAGTGTGGGACACGGAGGGGTGCGCAGGACGAGGGCGAGGCTTAAGGTATTCATGAGGATAGGGGGAGGAGAAGTCATAGTCTGAATTCTGTGGCAGGGATTGTGGAAGGTCGGAGCCGATGTCTTGAAGAGCCTGCGTTATAGCTTTACTGTCCGGGACACGCGGTGGCTTAGGGAGGAAGTCTGTAATGTCGATCTCATCAGAGATGAGCACGTCAGCAGCTGCAGAGGAGGAAATGGAAGGTCCACGTGGTGGCGATGGGCAGAGAGGAGGTGGGATTGACTCCGAACCAACAGTGGGTTTCACAGTCACATTTAGGGTTTTCATCGGTGGTTCAGAAGTATGCGGTTCCTATAGTGCAAGAGGGGAGAATTCATTGGAGCAGTAGTTCCCAACCCCAGTCCTAGTCAACTTACAGTTTTTCCTGCTCCGACACACCAACGTTAACTCTTGATGGGCTGTGTTAATTAGCCGATTAGTTGGATCAGATATGTTGGAGCAAGAAAATGTACTGTATAATATCAAAATATGGATGACCATCAGGACTAACATTAAAAAACACTGCATGCAGGCCATGCAGACATACAGAAAGACATATTAACTGAAATGTCTAGCATCTCTCAAACCTGCTCATGTTGATGTGGTTCCTGAGTAGGGCGTTGCTGCCCTAAAGGATACTTCTTCAGCAAAGCCTGGAAAGCAAGCAGAGTCACAAAAAACACTGCACTGTCATTAGGTCTGAAACATTTAAGTCTGGTTTTCTGAGCAGGGATTAAGCCTATTCATGGACTGCATTTTTTTCTGAATAAAAAATCTTTTCAAAAGAACAATATGTAGCAGAGGGGTGTTCAGCATAGTTTGGTGATCTCCTTGCTCAAACAAACTAGATTCAACGCCGTTATTAGCTAGCAGGTTTAGTAGGCATTTTTGGGAATGCACCAAACTGTGCTGGACCCTACAGGAACTGGAATTGGATGCCCCTGTTAAAGAAGTTCTGACCTGTATGGCCTGTTGGTCCTGCTGTAGAAAGCTCACTCTGGCTTCATCCAGCCTCATTCTCTGAACCTTCCACATAGCTCTCCGTTCTCTCTTTGCAGCCTCTTCAGACAGGCGACTATACTGTGCTATCAGGTCCATGCTGAACACACACAGACAGACACAGTGTGATAACTGCACCATACTGGTTATCTGATTCTTAATCTTAATGAGTGCTTTTCATTCTGTGCAATGACTGAATATTGTAAACTGAGAAAGGCATATAATTGCACAGTGAGAATTTAAAGCCAAGTTCACATGACAAATCTTATCATTCAAATTTTTTGCCCCCTCTCTGATCTGACTGGTCTCATTACAGTTGCATGGACATACGGGCAGGGGGCACAAATGATTCAAATCTGGTTCACGAAGATCAGATGTGTGTGTTGACACAGCTTGGATAAAAATCTGATCTTTGTCAAATTTAGACAAAACTCAGACTTTTGCCACTTCAAAAGTGAATGTGAACATGACCTGTATGCAGAGCGTTCCTGCTGGCCTTACCGTGCCCTGCGCTCCAGCTGCTCCTCAAGGGCCTGCAGCCTCTGCTCTCTATCTCTGAGCTCGCGAGCAAAGCTGAAGTCATCCTCCTGCTCCTTCCTTTTAGCAGCACTGCGCCACTGGAAACACAATCACCATTCTCGCCATTATTTAGAGCTTATGTATATGCTCACCGAATAAGACATTTGCTTACCTACGTTTAACTTCTAATACTATTTATGTCACTGTCAGTATTAAAAGCCTCCACTTTAACAGTGGGAGAAAACAGAGCAAAGTGATTGAAACCTACTAATCTGCAAGTTCAAAAAAATGTAGAATGCACAGTGTCCCCTGAGAGCAAGCAGGCCTATTTATCACAGCTGGAGGTGTGGTGTCTTTGAAGTGGGCGCATTATGAATATTCCAATAGCACGATGTTACACAGTCATCATTAGTAAGAACTGAAGGGAGCAAGAACTACTCTTAAAAAAATAATAAATAAATAAATAAATTATTATATATATATATATATATATATATATATATATATATATTTTAAACTTATCTCACCATATAAAACTATGCACTTAACGGTGCGATCTGTTCAGCACACTCAAATATCACCACTTGAAATTTTGTGCAAATTGACATGGTGCCTGCTGTTACTTTCAAAGGGGAAAATGGGGTGATTCTAATTGGTCAGGGATTTCAGACAAAATTACCCAGACAGGAGTAACTACCCTGCAGTTTGGAAGTTAGAGCTGCTGGTAAATCCAGCACATTACCATAACACACAGAAAACCACAGTACAATGAGAAATAAAATATGAAAAACTGGAGATGTGTACATTGCAGCTCCACCAAGCTTATACACATATTTACAGAAACATTCTTTTTTTCCACAGTTTGTAAAAATTTCATATATGAATATATTTGACTTATAGAGAAATGAGGTAGACATAGGACAGGATCTGGTTTGGCTAACAATTAATGAATGCTGTAATGAGCATGCTTTTTGCGCACAACATGGTCTTCCTTTCTTTCATATCCTCATAAAGCAAAGCATTCACACTCTCTCGAAACTCTGTGTGTGTGTGTGTCTCTCACCTCTTGGTCGAGCTCCAGCTGCTGTCTCAACTCCTCAAAGCGTTCTCTCTTTTTCACCTCCTCAGCCAGACGCTGTGACACCTGGCGGCCTGCAGGGGGCAAGAGAGAGCGCAGCAGGAGCTCAGCCACTAGCCCATTAATTCACATTTCTTTTCATTTCACTTCATTCTGGGTTGTTTGGTTCCTGCTGCTTTTCTGCTTCATGTGATTATTAGTGCCTGATTTCTACCAGTGGAAAGTGTGATCTAATCAGTGCAATATCACAGACTGGTCTTAAGCTATAATTGTGCTTTTGGAGTGATGGAAAGTGGAGCTTCAGATTTTAGTATGAATTTTTGCACTCGACAAACCGTAATAGAACTGTAGAGCTCTTTCAACAAATTAACTTCTGGGCACACATTTGGCTCGTGGCCATAACTTCCCATCTCCACTGTCTCATACTTCTGCCTGAGGTACAAAAGATCCGACGGCATATTTTACCGGGAGAGCAAAATCCGTTATAAGAACTGCCTATACCTCATTTTGCTGGAGTGTAGGAGAGATGAGGTGTTGTGATAAATATGATGCAGGTGACTTTTTCTGACCTCGGATGCTCTCCAGCGTCTTGGCTGCCGACTCTCTGACCTGATTGATGAGCTCTTGGCGTGCCAACTCTGTACGCAATACCTAATACACAAGACAGAAGGCAAAAAATATGCAGTAAAGAGGAAGAGAGAGATAGATTGGTAGGAAGAGAGCAAAAAAAAAGAAATGAGAGACAGTGAGACAGAAAGAAGGGTGAGAGAGAAATGAGTGAGTGAGAGACAGGAAAAGGAGAGGAAAAGAGAATAGGACAATGAGAGTCATAAAGAGAAAAGAGAACATTTCAGCCCTCTGGCTTACAATGTCCTGCATTTCTGCTGAAAATGTGTTAATGGATCATAGTCTTCATTTCTCCTGAAGCTACGATATCAATATTACTGAGAGCTTTAACAGAGAAGTGGTACATTTAGCCCCATCTGGAGCTCCCCAACATAAGCTTTATGAATAGAACAAAGACAAACAAGGCCCAGGAGAATATGTGCACAGAAACATTCACTTTAATATAAACAACTTCACATGACTACACTTCCACAGAGTGGACTGATATCACTTCACTCATAAATATCTGCAACTTACATCAAATTCAGAAACATGTTTAGCTTTGGAAACAGGAAATACTAATACTATAGCTGCTGCAATGAGTGTAAGTGCTGTACCTGCTCCTCTCTGCTGACAGCACTGTGTTTGGCGATGGTCTCCATGCGGCCTCGGTACACAGCACAGTCTCTCTCTATCTCCTCCACCTCACGCAGAGAGAATGTTACTGCGATCCGCGGCACCGGCAACTCCGACCAGAAGATGTAATGCTGTCAGACACTGCATGGTCAGTCCTTTAGGCTTCAGATTTAATGTTACATGCATTCTAACAATATAGGTTATGGAAACAGTGTTCCAAATACTGTTTTCCTCTCTGTAACTGTTATATACCATTTTATATATATATATATATATATATATATATATATATATATATATATATATATATATATATATATATACACACACACACACACACACACACACACACACACACACAGGACTAACTATGCTCTTTTTGTAATAAATTTCAGTTCAATACAAAAATGTTAAAGTCCTGATGATATCCACAATATGTGCAGAAAAGCTTACCATTGTATTGTGACATAAAAATAATCATAACAACCTCTGCTAATTGTTCCTACATTTACAGAAAAAAAAAACAACCAGCTTCTCTACTTTGTCCCATGCTACACCATGATAAGCACCGACACTCAAAAAGGAGAGAACTCAATGATTTGTGATCGTAATAATTATGATATAACATCCTGATAATGTTTTGTGGAATTAGCAGAGCCTCTTTCCTGCAGCCACATGCTCCTAAAACAGATTTCGGTTATAAATAGCTGACCTGGGGGCAGCAGATCTTGAGCAGGTTGATGGTCTTTCCACAAACATAAACGTCGTTAGCAATGTGTCGGAGGAACACAGGCACGCAGTCCTCCGCATCCCTTGAGATCAGAGTGTAGCCCTGCACCCAGAAATGTTTATCTACAGGGAGACAGAGGGAGAGACCGACGCTGAGAATTGGTAATGAACTCCAACCATTGTTTGTGCCTGGTATGAACAAAAAATGAGTATAGAAAGAGAGCTATAGGCATTTGTATCAGAGCTCTTTGTAGATAAAAAAATATATATTTTTGCCATCAAAGCAAAAAAACAAAACCACACAAACTACTTATATTTATGCTGCTTTCATGGCTAAATGGGAACTGAGAATTTTTCAACTTCCAAGTAGGAAAAATCCATTTCCACAGCAATCCGACTCATACTTCCCGCTCCAAAGGTCTGAGTTTCTCAAGAGCTCTGACTTAACCAAGTCGCAATCCTGTGACATCATTGCAACACTATCGCCCACAAAACAAGAAGTAATTTTTTATGCAGTTTTTTTTTGTGTATGATATTGCTAAGTGCAGGTGTTGCAGGATAATCCGAAGGTTATGTGATTCTCTAGAATCTTTTTAATCAAAGTGTAATTTTGCAGTTTGATGCCCTGGAAAGAAAATTCTTGGCCAAAAACCAAAACTTACATTTTTTTTGCTTTGTTTATTTGTTTTTGTCAAACATACTAAATGTAAATTTACAAGGTAAAATATAAAATACATGTAAAAATACACTATTATTATTGATCATGTCTGCTTTAAATAGGACAAAACTGAGCTGACAACAAATAAACATTTTCACATAAAACAAATTTACTAAAATCATTGCTGAATGTAGACTACACTATTTGCAACAAAATACAGCGTCCTTGACAACTGACATCGGTTGACAATATATTCAAGGCAAGGAATTCCATTATTTTTCATTTTAGTTGTCATTTTAGTTGTTGTACTGTAGCTACAAATGTGGTAGTAGCAGAGACTTTCCCTTGTGAAGCCTGAGTTCCCAGCTGTCATGAACACAGCATAAGATGATTCCTCCACACACACTCACTCACCTCTGTAGCTGAGGAAGTCTTCATTAACCTGGATCATGAACTCTTTATACACATCTCTGAACACTCCCACTGTACACCCAGTCTGACACAAACCTACACACACCAACAAAATTATTATGGAATATAGTGACTCTTTGGAAGTTTGCACAGAACACTTGATGGAAATGGCTGACAACAAATTGAACTGGTTCAGCAGTTTTGCTATGAAAACAAATATTAAGTCTTCTCTTTGCCACAAAGTTTAGCAGAGGTCAGAAAGGCATTCTGTGCACAGCCACAAGCAAGTCTGCTCATCTAGAACAAGTGTTCAGTAATGTGCCATCACAACAACAAGAACAAGAAAGGCTTAGAATTCATAATGAAGTCCAATCAATGTGCGGTCGTGTTTAGCATCAACATAAGGTGGTGCTACAAACAGCTATATACATTTGTTTCAGAGCTGTTTGTGCTTAATGAGGTCTGTTTCAAACTTCACTAATAGAAGTGGCAAGTTACCTAGTAAAGGACGGTGACAAAATGTTTCTTTAATGATTTCTTTGTGTTTAAACTAAGAACAATGGCTTTGTACCAAATGGATCTTATGGAGGGCAGTCGTTACATAATTAATGTGGCTGAGGGAATGTTACCAGTTAAGCTAAGAATAATTCTTTTCAGCAAGGGGTTAACTAACACTCTAAATCAACTCTAGCATTTCCTAACAAGTTGATATTACACACACCATCTTGGAAATATTTTGGCTTAGTCTGAGCAAAATCAATAACTCTCTAAGAGCAGGTCATAGCACTGTAGAAGAAAATAATTCAAAGTAATACAGTGCATGAGAAATTTGTATTTTAGACTTCACTTAACTATTCAAGGATTAAGTCTGTAACTAGAGCTGGGCGATAAAACGATAACGATAATTACTGTGATATAACTTTTCCTCGATAGAGCGATACGACAGGTTTGATAAATGTTCGATATAATACACCACTCTCACACTTCCACGTTCAGCAAAAGCCTTGGTGGCGCTTTCTATTGCAAGGAAAGCGACACTACTCTGCTGTCGCCAGGAGAGGGCGCAATTCCTCTCCTGTTTTTCTACATGATTAGTGAGGGAGGGGGCCACGAGGAAGATGAGTCTTTAGCAACGGCTGAAACGCGGAGTTATACATTCCCTGTTTGAGCGGAACGACCGGCGATCTGTTCTCCTGTGACCGAGTGTGAGTGACGAGGTCAGTGGTGTAACTGTACTGTCCTACAGCGAACTCAACTCTTTCTGTACATCCTAACCAGCTTTAGCAGCGTTAAATCACAATCACAATCCTAAGAACTAAAGCGCTGTTGCAGCGCTCGGACAGTCATATTTAAGTACGAGTGCATTCCCAACGAAAGTGAAAGAAAGAAGTGGGTTCATGTTCATTACAGCCCTGATTTAAACGAAAAGTAAACTGGGGAAGCTGTGAGGCACTGGAGAGCGGGAGAGCGCTGTCTTTCCAGGCTAGCTGTTTTTAGCAACTTGAAGCGGCGCTTCGTCACTCGCACAACACGGAGAACTGATGATACTGTGGATCAAACACGACACAAAAGCACTGCTTTCAGTTTAAACGTACCTAAAAGGAGGACTCTGATTATCTGGTGTTGATATTTTGCGGTTCACCACTTAAACTACTACGACAGTATAGAGAAATCCAGTCCTCGCTAGCTGGTGTCTGAATACTGTGATGTCGTTTGTAACGGGGTAGCTGAGCGCTCGGCACCAGCTAAAAATAATCTGTTTTCTTTCTTAAATTATGAGTTACAAAATAGCCATGCTTTTACAGCTGGTAAAAACAGCTCACCAGACACTTTCTCCCACTCTCCTGTGACAGATTTGTGAAATGTTCCACTGTTTGAGTGTTTGTTGTGTTCTGACCATAAAGGATAGTTTAAAACCACAGTTAACCCCCCAGCAGCAAAAATCAGCCTTCAAACTTGAAAGAAATAATGTTTTGACATTTATCGCGATATGTATCGATATCGAACGATGTGAATTTTGTTTATCGTGATAACATTTTTGGCCATATCGCCCAGCTCTATCTGTAACTAGCTCAATTTATACCATAGTCTGGAAAACTGTCCCTAAAGGTTTTCATGGCGCTTTGAAAAGACTGATTTGAAAGTAAAGAGAAACAGAATCAGTTACCGCAGCGTGTTCACAAACCGCCCCAAAGGAGCCTCTACATTATTGAAACAGAATACTGATCAAAAGATACCAAAGTGCGATTGAGGTGAATTCCCAGGGTGTCATTTAGACACTGAGGACAGAAATGTCACCTGAAGAGATGAGGGAGAGATAGAGAGAGAGATGTTCTAACCGTGTGTAGGGCTCACAGCTGCTCTTCAGCAGAGACAGCAGGACAGGGTAGTTCTCATTACTGCAGTTACTCTGCGCTTCATTATACAGGTAGGAAAGAAGCTTCACACCCTGTAGAAACAAAAACACATCTGTAAACAGCACTACAGCTCATGCATGCAGTAATGACTGCACTTGCTCTGAACTACTCAAGTGTGTTACTTACCACAGGGAAGGTAGCCTGCTTTGCACCCGCAGCTCCATCCACACAGCACAGCTCAGATAGATACCTGATAAACACAGTGAGGGCATGAATACTGAATAAGCATCATCTCTCACAGGTTTTTCATTTATGACAACAACGTTTTTGCGGGATTCACAGATCTAACCAAAAGTTTTGAATAAAGGCTTAAACCTGAATCTTAACATTGCAGGACCGTCACTACTGTACGTTACATTAGTAACTGAGCTATTTACCTATTATTCAATGTATCTATTAGCAGGATTGAGGGCTGTATAAAAGACACAAAAGGCTGGATGTCAAGTAACTTTCTTCTACTTAACTCAGATAAAACAGAGGTTCTGCTTCTTGGTCCAAAAGCTGCTACAAACAAACTGTCTATTTTAACACTTAAACTTAAATAGTTTCACAGTTGCGTCAGGTTCATCTGTAAAAAATCTTGGTGTCATGATAGATCCCGATCTTCAACGCACATATAATGAATATTACTAGAACAGCCTTCCTGCATCTCCGTAATATTGCTAAATTAAGAAATGCATTATCTCTACAGGATGCAGAAAAGCTAGTTTATGCATTTATTACCTCAAGGCTGGATTACTGTAATGCCCTGCTGTCTGGACGTTCCAGCAAAAGCCTTAACAAGCTTCAGCTAGTCCAGAACGCTGCAGCCAGAGTCCTCACAAGAACCAGAAAGTTTGACCATATCAGCCCAGTTTTATCAAACCTACACTGGTTGCCAGTGAAATTTCGCATTGATTAAAAAATTCTTTTCCTGACATATAAAGCTCTAAAGGGACTCGCCCCTCAGTATCAGAGTGAACTTCTCTCATACTATGAACCATCACGCCTACTTAGGTCACAAGGTGCTGGCTTACTACTAGTACCTAGAATTAATAAAATTTCATCAGGGGGGAGAGCCTTCTCATACAAAGCCCCCCAACTTTGGAATAATCTTCCAGTCAGTGTTTGGGACTCTGACACAGCCTCAGTCTTTAAGTCTAGGCTAAAAACTTACTTGTTTCAGTCGAGCCTTTGGTAATTAGTTTTCCCTGTTAGATAAAAGGTGCAGATCTGGGGGTTCAGGGTCATAGAGTATTGTGGCAAACCGGTAGTGTTGGTGCTGTCGTCCCACCGCTCTCATGCGTTTTTAGTTAGGCTGTAATAACCAGACGTGCTGCTGTTAATACTGTAATCTGTGATAAGTCACTCTTTACAGAACTAACTCTCTGTGTGTTTTCCTTTTCTTTGCCAAGCTGAACAGCTGCCCATCCTATGTGTCTGATACTGTTGCTTCTTCTACCTTGATCGGGTGCCACTGTTCGCCAGCCTTCTGGACCGGTTTGACCACCATTGAGCTTCATGCTGTACAATGCTGTGCAAACCTCACCCTCATGAACTGACCCTCCCAATGATGCTGCTGCATAAACTAAAACTAATCTAATTAACCATTGCTCTGCCTTTTTTCCCCTGTTCTGTATTACAATATTTTATACTAATGCTTTAAGACTTTAAGGTGATGGCTATTCTTGCTGAAAAGGAGCATTTAAGATGTTATTTCTTGAGTTACGTAGGATTCCGTAGCCCAGCACTGCACCTCTCAGGCTTCAACTTGACAAACCTGTGTCATTTTCATGTTTTTGCTCATCACTGTTACTCTTACTATGATACTCAGCATGCTTTACGCAAATATACCATACAACCAAAAAACCCTGAACAAACCCTGACTGTTAGCCACTGATCTAGAGGCTAATGCTGCATTTGACTGAAGTTGTCAAATCACACCATCAACAGTAACCAAAAAAAAACAGCTTTTACTTTTAAATGTGATTTGCTTTAAATCAGCTGACATAAAGTAATAACTGATTAAATCATATGACACATCATATGTATCTATAACATGTTTTTCCCACTTTGCAGCTCAAATGCACAAAGGTAAAAAAACAACAATTTCAAGCTCTGACTTCCTACTTCCAAGCCAAGTCGAATGCAGCATAATAAATACCTCACTTGGTGTTATAGCACTAACCTAAACTGACGGTCAAACGGTTCTCCTTGTTAAGGGAATAAACAGCCCACCCAGAAGTAACCACCCCAAAGCATCTGTAGTCTTTCAAATTTTATTTCCAGCTTCAAGATGCAACATCAAAAGGTTTTTTTTAAAAAAGGAAATCTCGCTTTAGAGACCACTGTGGCACCACTCTAGCAGGTGAGCAGGCATGACCACAAGAGATGTAGTACTAGTTATGTTTTTCCACTTTAAGCTCTTTTTCTTACTCCAAGAGAGATCAGTAAAAATTGAAATATACATGGCTAACTAACCACTGCCAGATCTTCATGTCCCATCAGTATGACTGAAATGGAAGCAATGCTGTTAAAACGGTACAAGAGATTCCAACCTGAGCTGGCGTCCCAGCTTGCGGAAATGGAAGCCGATGGTGAGGAGACTGAGTGAGGCGGGTGTGCTCAGTACACATGCTCTGTAGTAGTGCAGATAGCGTCTCAGACCACCCGTGAAGGCCTGTTACATAAACACACACACACACACACACACACACACACACACACACACACACACACACACACACACACACAATAAATACAGTGAGATTAGATTTCCCATTTCTCTTAAAAAGCTTTCGATACAAATTGGGATTGTGAGGAAAAGTGGTCTCCGGAACAGCGGTAAACGGCAACTTGTCCTTGAAGCAAACCAAGGTTATAAATGCTGATTGGGAAGCCATTACCTGAAACACCAGGCCTTTCTTATCAGCAGTGCCCAGAGAGAAACGGCTCAGACGAAGGTAATGTGTGCCGTACTGCGCCAGCTCTGCTAACAGCCGCGACACACTCTCCGGGGACGTTCCCGACACACATACATCCGGACGCACATCAAACTGCACGCTCACCTAGAATAGAGTGGGCAGAAAGGAACATAAAACATACACTCAGAAGTCCACTGTTACCAACATACAGATACATTCATTATCTCCATAATCATCTCCAGGGACATAAACAGTGAGATAAATGACATTTTCCAGAATGTGCAAGTGATTCCATTCCACTTAGGAACACAGTGAAGTTACCTCATTGAGAGGGAAAGTAGCAGAGGCCACCCCTATAAGCACATTGAGGAGGTCTTTAACTAATTGAGTTTGGCAGTCCAGAGGTAGAGGCAGCAGAGGAGAGGGAGTCTGAGACGAGATCATGTTCCTAACTTCTCCTTCCCAGAGCCGGTACAGCTGATCAAACGCCTCCCTGCCTGCTTCCGACAGATAGGGAGGCTCCTTCTGACCTGGGGGACTGCAGGAAAAGAGCAGAAGGGAAAGTGATAGAGTCAGTTAAGGACAAAAGAGGCAAAATGGCTACAGACTCTTTAAATAAAAACACACACACACCACAAAGATTCCACTGGTTACCGAAAAAACATTTTAGAAAACGATATTTTTGAATGTGAAGAAACTTTAAAAGGTTTAAAAGAGGTTGTCCACATTCATCTCATTTTCAAAAAAGTTCTCTGAAGAAACGTACATTGAAAAGCTTTCAGAGAACCAAATGTGGTTATTCTACAGCCTTGCACAAAGGAACCTTTTTAGCACCTTTATTTTTAATAGTGCACCACACTAAAGATTAAGGGTGTAACAATTTAATATGTATCAAAAAATCAAATTTGAAACTTTAAAATTACCACCGACACACCCATCACTTTCATCAGAGGATCTGTCATATATCGTCTTTTGTGGAAACCACTGATAGTGATCAAAATTATATTTTAGGGCGCAGCCTATTAAAGTGGGTGGTGAGGGAGAGGGGTTACGCTACATACACAGCAACACTCAAAAGGCCTGGACTTTTTAATATTTTAAATTATTTGTAATTTTTTTTCATTATTATTCATTTTATTTAAATTTTTTCTTCTTCTTACTATTATTATTATTATTTTGCGTGTAGGGATTCTAGTGGTTTGAGTTTGTTTTTTAGAGGGAGGTGTGACAGGTGTAAAAACAATTTTATTTTACTTTTATTTATCACAGCTCTGTAGAATAATTTTTAACATTTGTAACATACAAAGTACTAAAAACGTAACTGAATCCTGGCTGCAGATTTCAAAACTGTATCAAAACTCAAACTGTGCGCATTATTATGTAGTACAGATGCACGTATGCCTTGCGCATGGTGCAAACATTAACATATTAACATATAAATACATTGTTACTGGGTCTTACCAGCCCACGTTTTCCCAGCAGCGGCGCCTGCCAGGCACAAATGTGCGCAGGGCCTCCCAGATGTCAACCTCAGGACTAGGGCTGGGCTCAGACTGTGAGTCTGGCGTCAGATTGGAGGCAGACTGGAACCCTTCATCCTCTGACTGATCCAAACACTGAGGAACCTACAACCAAAATAGCCGAAAACTATCCAAAAGTATTCAATTTATACACACACACATACATACATACATACATACATACATACATCATCTAAACCGCTTATCCTTCTGGGTCGCGGTGGGGTGCTGGAGCCTATCCCAGCTGTCATTGGGCGGAAGGCAGGATACTCAATTTATTTTTAAATCAATTCATTTATACAACGCTTTTTACAAAGGTCATCACCACAAAGCAGCTTTATAGAAATCTAGGTGCAGCGCCCTATTGAGCAAAGACTGGAGTGGCAAAGGGAAAAGGCAACAGAAGTGGTACCCATCCTCCTCTAGACCACAACAGAGGGAGCTTAGTGTTAGTGTTACAATTCACTAACTGCACTATTCACAGCCTACACAGATTCGCTAGATGTAAAAAGAGCCCACTTGTGGTCCATTTGAGGGCTCAATTTCATCAGTTTAGCACAAATGTAAAAGGGTAATATTAAACATTTGACAGATAAACGCAATTTTTAGGAAAAAATATGCTATCAGTGAAAAGTGAAGGCCTATCAATGAAAGTCAATTATAAATTAAGTGAGTTCAGTTTCAGCTCATCTGTGCATTCGGCAGAATCCAAAAGAATTAACTAATGTGGAATTGGATCTGCCTGACCTTGCAAATTCAACTCTTACTGCCGTACCCGAATAGTGAGTCCAGTGACCTCTGCGTTGCTGGGCACAGGTGGCAAGTCCAGCCGGATGTCCATATCTGATGTCCTCGAGTGCTGCAGAGCTCCAAACAGGGACAGCCTGGTTTCCCTCTCAAACTTCTCTTCTACTTCTGCTCTCCTGCCCAGGCCTGGCAGGCCAGTCCCTGGTGGAGCGTCCATCAGGCTTAACGTCCTACAAACACCCCCAAACGCCCCCCACTCTTCTTCACACACCAGAGCCCAGGCCCTGCTCTCTAGCCTCTGCATCTCCTGGCTCAGGTAGCCACCCAGGGGAGGCCTGCGGAGCACAGGCCGCTCCCGCCGCATGTAGTCCCTGCTGAAGGACACTGCTGGTGGAGGAACAGAACCGGCCAACTGCACCAGCAACTCCAAGACAGAATCCAGCTCAGCCAGACCGGACGAAAGGGCCACCTCATGGAGCTGCGCCAGGAGGACCTCGAGTCTCTCCGCTTCTTCGATGCGGCCAGAGACACGCAGGTCGAAGGAAATCATCAGCATTTTGTTGTGAGCAGGCGTGGTAGCCAATGCATTTGCTGTTGAGTTGGTTTTGAAGGAGCTGTCCTGAAAGAGTTTGGATAGCAGTGCGCCGTAGGCTCTCTTGCGGAGGGTGCGGCGGAACACCTCCCTTGAGGCACCGCCCAAAGAGAGACGCTTCCATGACACGCCTGACAGGCTGCAGTCACACAGTGCCCCTAGAAGCTCTGTAATGCTGTTGCTGCTGGGCCAAGTGGACATTTCAGATGAAGTTCGTCTGCAGTACATGGTAATGTCCTGGTGCTGAGATCAGCGTATGATCTGTCCTGCAAGAGAAAACATAAATATAACTACATTACAACAACTGTATCTTCTCTAGGCCTGTCACAATCATGAAACTGTACCTGACGATTAATTGTCAAATAAATAACTCCAATTAAACTTTATTGTGCTTTTTATGGAGTTATTAAAGCAAAAAACCTAAGACAGACAAACTGGCTGATTAGCTATCTTGGATGCTAGTTAGGTTGAACTGGCATGAAATTATACTCCGCACTGTTCTGTGCACATACACACTCACATAACTACTGTTACATAAAATGGTCTGTAGAGTCAAGCAAAGCTTAAACTTCTCTCTTATTACTGAGATAATGGAATTATTAGCAAGCAAATAGTTAAACAAACATTACTGAGTTCAGGTATTTCAGCCACACTCATTGCTAACAGCTGTATAATATCAAGAAAGAACAGCTATGCCATCTCCATAGACAAACACTGGCAGTAGAATGGGTCTCGAAAGAGCACAATAACTTTAAATTTAGGCCACAAATGAGCTAGTGAAATTTCTGTCTTGCTAGATCTGCCCCTGTCAGCTGTAAGTGCTATTATTGTGAAATGGAAGCACCTAGGAGCTCACTTATGAAACAGCAGGCCACACAACCTCACAGAGCAGCTGCTGAGTGCTAAAGTGTGTACAAATCATCCATCATCTGATGCATCAGTGACTACAGAGTTTCAAACTGCCTCTGGAAGCAACATCAGCACAAGACCTGAGCATCAGGAGCTTCATGAAATGGGTTTCTAAAGCATGCCACCATTAGACTCAGGAAACGTGACGACACATGATCTGGCTGTCTGATCTGGGTTTGGTGGATGCTAGCAGAACACAGACATTTGACCATACAGTGTAGCACCAGTTAGAATGGGTGTTCTTTGTGTTCAATCATATTGTCTACATCTTTTTTTTTTACAATTTACTTTTATTTGTTTCAGCCCAATGCACTTCCAATGACTGAGGAAAACAAATGCCGTTAACCAAAATAACCACAATTAGTTCAAATAACTGCAATCAGGTGACAACATAAGTGTGACAGACCAAATCTTCCCTCATATGGCCATACAGTGAAATATGTATTAAGAGCAACACTCGTTAGTTTACTCTATTACTTACAGTGTAAAAATTTGAATACAACATTGAAAAACAAAAATGGACACGCAAAACAGTATCCCGAAATTTAAACATATATTGCTGATAGACTCATCTGTCTCTTCTAAGAGTTTCTCATTTGCTGTCTTTTGGAGAAACCACGACACATGAAAAAACTGAAATGGTAACTTAGTTATAGCTAATAAACAGAGTCAGATCCAGTGAAGATTTTGCATGTCGCTGTTGTCGGAAAAAAACCTTGTATCTCCATTTTTGTCATTTTTCAGTTTTTGACACAATTTGAAAATGCCTATTACCCTTCACATTGTATGTACATTTCATGATGACTGGACTACAAGACCCAAATTTCCTTCTCCTGTAAAGTTACCATTTTGGAGACACGAGGTTTTTTTCCGACAACAGCGATGTGTTTTAACAGTGCTTTGTAATTCCAATGAATACGGAAACATACTGTATAAGGTTTTATAATAGGCAGCTCAGGTTTTCGCATCATTTTAGAAGATCACTATTTTGCATAAGAGTAAGCTACTTTTTAATGTCTGTTTTGAAATAAAATTGCTATTTTTCTGAGCCAAGCAAATATGTGTAGTATATAACTACTGCTCAGTAGAATCCAAACATTTCAAAACATAAAATATTGAATATCAATATCATTTCTGAATATCAGAAACCTGATGTGCATCATACCACAATAATTTTTGGCTTTGAGCTTTTGCCTTACCTTGAGTGAGCTGCATAAAATCGTGCAACGTGAAAAATCAGTAATTGTAAACTGAGTTTCAGATCCTAACTGTATGCTCCCATGGCTCTATGTCCCAAGGACCCAATGAGCAGCTCTTTACATGGTGTTATACCCTCCACACAAAGAGGAGCAGATTTTCAAGAATGTACTTTGCCTCAACTAGGCTCAGATAAGTGAGCTAGCTAAGCAAACTTTGTAATTATTTTTATTTTTTTTTAGAAGTCAGAGTGTACAGTGCATAAGCTTTTAGAATAACTGCTTTGCCTGGTTTAGGCATGGTGCACCACTCTTCTTTTCTTCTTGTTCCTCGTTGTGTAGGCCTTAGCTTGCTTACTAGTAAGTTAACAGAATACAGTAACAAACATGAGACTGTACTAAAGATTCCCCAACAAGGAAAAGGTGAGGGCATGTTGACAAGGCCATGTTGTAAACGTTACTGGGACAATTTGCACAAATACCAACTTTGACAATGTTTTACAGTGTTGAAATCATTGGGATTCTCAAATAAAATTATACCTTAAAACATTAACTTAAATGCTGCCCATTCTCTTTTCTTTTGCTCACTGCATTGTTCAGTCAGTGTGTTTTAATGAAGGAATCTCTTTGAAAGCAGCATGTACATGTACAGTTTCACATTTTGTTGACTGAACATACACCTTCAGAATATGCAAGTTCTTATCTATATGAGAAGTATAGACGTTACTTTTATTTCACGCTGAGAAAAAAACACGACTGAAGCAACTTGGGAACACAGAGCTAGCCCCATTTCCTTTGAAAATGTCAGTGAGGGATCACGGGACGCTGGGAACATTACAAAACTACACAGGCATCACAGAGCCTGAGGAACACAAGGCCCCGGGCCATTTCCAGAGATGTACATGAGAAACTGAAGGACTCGGGGAACACAGGGATGACCACCTGAAGACGGCTCGTCTTGTCAACAGGGCTACACTGTACAGAGCGGCTTGCCTGTTTGGTGCCTCAGAGAACTCTGTCCACTAACGGCCGCCTCTACCGCAGCTCCTAGCGTGTGTGAGCTCTACGAGTAAACATAAATCAGGAGTAACGGAGCAAACAAAAACAATACCAGTCCCGTATCTCTCCGAGAGCGAAGAGCACGAGCAGCCGTTACTAGGGTTATCCACTAGCCTTGTTTGTTGTGGTTACGAGGCTAGCTGGCCTAAATGCAGCTGATATGCCGAACGCTGACGTTAGCGCCTAGCCAGCTAGCTAAGGATGGCGGCTCGGCCGTGTCTACACTGTGGGGCGCCGTTCAGCGCGCTGACCCGAGAGTCAGTGTGCTCCGGCTGACTGTCTGGAGTGAGAGCTCCTGTCCAGGACGCCAGTGACCGCCCTGACTATCTCAGTACTCACCACACCTGCCCGAGTCTGTTCTGGGGGGCTGCAGCAGCGGCCCCGTCGCTCCTGTCCGTGTCACTGCGGCTCCAGGAGCTCCGTCCGCACCGCTGCAGAACAGACAGCACCGCTCATTATAAACTACTGATAACGGACCGCTCATTTACAGCGGCCTCTCCGCAAGAGTGAATACTGTAAACATCACACACGCTCTGTTATTTCCTGCCATATTTCTTCGGCGACCGCGCTAGTTTTCAAAGACCCTCCTTCACTGAGCGCTGATTGGTTGGAATTCACTGTGTTGCGTTGTGCTTGGATAACACGGGGTTCACTTTACAGTGACCACATCCGGTAAGAAAGCGCGCCAACTGGCGGAGGATTCCTCAACTACCAGTGATTTCTCAGGTGACTAAAATATAATAATAATAATAATAATAATAATGTTAGATTATTCTTCTCATTATCATTATTGTTACTATTATTATTAACAATAATACATGAGTAAACAAACTTTTGTGCAATAGTGATGCATTATATATATAATGCATCAGTATTGCACAAAAGTTTTGTCCACCTGAGAAAATTAGATTTAAAACTCTATTTAATTGGCCAGTAAATTTATTTTTTCAGAAAAACTAGAATAAATACAAATAACATTAGTACAATGAGAAGTGGATTTTATGTATGTTAATGTGTGCACTTAACCGTTTCCAAGCTTCTCCTGTCGCAGCTCAGTATTATTTGCCTTTATTTTGTATGAATACCTGGTTTGGTTAATCAGTACTTCATTAAATTAAATCATGAGTGCTTTTTTTTACTGCATTCATTATTATTATCGTTGTTGTTGTTGGCCTATTTTGTGTCATTTATTCATATTAAGATATAAACATTGAAAAAGCCAGTAGGAGATGATAAACAACTTGACACTTTGTTACCCGAGCCGAGAATAACTGACACATATTACTTTCACTGTGACCAATTCAGTTTTAGCTTGAGGGAAACACTGATCTTGTGCACCAAACTGATATCAGGTCAATACAGGACTAGGCCAGGGTATGAGTCAAATGGTGAGAGGGAGAGGGGAAAGATAGATGCAGAGAGCAATACAGAGCGAGAGACAGAGAGGGAGAGAGAGTGAAAGAGAGGGCAATAAAGAAAGAGAGAGAGAGGGAGAGAGATGTTGGAGTGGAGTCAGTGTACAAGCTGGCTTCAAACGCACTCACACACCTATGGGACGCGCTGACGCGTTGAACACACACACACACCCACAGCATCTGTTTGTGGTCAACCGATGTAATATTAATCACGACAACTGTCACGTTGCTTTTTCTGCTTCTCTAGTTTAATTAGGGTCTCTGCTGCTGCTTGTAGCATGTGCGTGGGCGTGTGCTCCCTTTAAGGAAGAGGAGGAAGAAAAGACTAAATCTGATCAGAATGAGGTATGAGGCCTTAGACACGACTGCAGTTAACACACACACACATTCACCTGCTGAGTCTGAGTCTCCGGTGAGAGACGCTTCTCAGTGAGAGGAAAAAAGCGTACAAGTGTTTAAATCACTCAGCATGAGAAAGTCAAGTTATTTTCTAGATTTTTTTGGATTGTATTTATATTCGTTTCATTTGCTAAACTGAGCAGTCATGTGAAACGCGGTAGAGCATGAGAGTTGATCAAGTGAGACGTTTCTGGTGGCAGTAGTAAACCTCCTTTCTTCATACAGTACTGTGCAAAAGTCAGAGACCACCCTCTCATGTCTTTCATTTCCAAATTGCCCCTGGAAGCAACATCAGCAAAAGAACAGTGCGTTAGGAGTTTCACAAAATGAGTTTCCATGGCCGAGCAGCTACACACAAAACTAAGATCACAATGCCAGCGTTGAGGGGGAGTGGTGTAGAGCACGGCGCCACTGGACTCTGGAGCAGTGTAAACGTATTTTGTGGAGTGATCAATCACACTTCTTTATCTGGCAGTCTGTTGGAGGAGTCTGGGTTTGCCCAATGTCAGGAGAACGTTACCTGTCTGACTGCATTGTGCCAACTGTAAAGTTTGGTAGAGGAGGGAAAATGATATGGGGTTGTTTTTCAGGGGTTGGCCTGGACCCCTTAGTTCCAGCTAATGGAAATCTTAATGCTTCAGCAAACAAAGACATTTTAGACAATTGTACACTTCCAACTTTGTGGGAACAGTTGGCCCTTTTCTGTTCCAGCATGACTGAGCCCCAGTGCACAAAGTAAGGTCCATGGTCATGGCTGGGTGAGTTTGGTGAACTTGACTGGCCCGCACAGAGTCCTGACCACAACCCCATCAAACACCTTTAGGATGAACTATGCTCTTGTGAATAATGCTCTTGAATGAATGGGTAACAGTTCCCATAGACACACTCCAAAATCTTGTAGAAAGCTTCCCAGAACAGTGGAAGCTTTTGTAGCTGGAAATGGGGACCAACTCCATATTAATGCCTACGGATTTAGAACGGAATGTTAAAAAAGCTCCTGTAGCTGTCCCAATACTTTTGTCCATACAGTGTATTTCCTGAGGCCATTTTATGCACGTGGGAAAGGGATCCACAGGGCAGCTTAGATGTGTTTGGGTAGTTTGGGCAGCTGTACTTTGTTCATTTTAAGATTGGAAGCATGGAAGAGGTAAAGCAGTAAGATGCCAAAAAAAGAAGAGTGAACTAATTAAATACTAACAGGTTTGAAATTATACTTATATTGTGTTGCCAATTTTGTGTATATATATACATTATATATATATATACACACACACACACACACACACATCAGAATATATATCAGAATATATATCAGAATATTTTCTGTCAGAATATATAAATATATTCTGACATAAATATGTATATATATTGACAGAAAAATAAATAACTTGTTCTTAATGGCCACTTTGACTGGAAGTTAAATAAAGGGTGGTCTCTGACTTCTGCCGAGTACAATACATATTAACTAACATTCAATGCATTATCAAAGTTCTTTTGATGGATTTTGACTGTGAGATTGCCACATTCTTCTAATTACAAACTACAATCACATGATCAGGCTTGAAACTACATTTCTGACACCAGATGTCTGTCTACAATGATACACACAAGGGATTCCGAGTAACAGAACGTAATTATTCTGGCCCTTGAAGATTTCCTTTTTTCCTCTTCACTTTTGTAGGGTGGGGGTGGATGGTGGGTGTATATCTTGTGTTGTATCGCTCCGTTGGTTTCATGGGAGTCAGCCTTCTCTTTGATATTTCTCTCATCTGCTCCAAGGTTTATTAGAGAACGAAGCACCAGGCATTGCCTTCTTTCATCTTTTTGGATTTATTTATTTATTTCTCCCCTTTTTCCAGTGATTTAATTAATTTCTCTTTAGACAAACTTTTCCGGGCCATCGCTGGGGGTCTCACAATTGGGTAACACCCAATTGTTTATTCTCTACATAACTCTTACTGCTTTAGATGCAGATTCTCTTCATTTTAGGAATCTAATAATGTAACATTCTGACTAGAATTTTTAATGCAGCAAAGAAGCCTGTGGTGGCGTACAGTACTAGCAGGAGTATTTGCACAGGGCTTTTAAGCATTCTGTATGTTATATTACTGCACATATTCAAATATGCACCAATATATTGATTATATACTTTATATTACTGCACACATTCACCAAGCTCTTGAATACAAAATCAAAATTGGAATTTATGGCAAGGCATGATAGGCAGAAATGGTGATTTTGGTCCCATCAATCATTTTTCAAATTTTTAGATAAATTGTATCCATCACATGTCCAAACTCAACAGAAAATAATTTATTTTGGCATCTTTTGTGACTTTGTGTCCACTCTTGTCTAACTATATTTTATAAAACTAGGCTTGCCAGAATTACGACATCATCGCCTGACCGCTATTATTTATTTATTATGTACAATTATTTATGCTATTTGCAATTATTTTTCACATTTGTCATCTTTAACAATCCTAAGTTTATGTCACAACAAAGAGAATGTGAACTGGGTTGAGTAAAGACAAATGCATATAAATAAAACATATGTATTGAGGTTTATGGGGCGGTATGGTGTCACCTCACAGCAAGAAGAGCCTGGGTTCGGTTCCTTGGCCGGGAGCCACAGTCCCTTCTGTGTGGAGTTGGTATGTTCTCCCCATGTCTGTGTGGGTTTCCTCCAGGTGCTCCAGGTTCCTCCCAAAGTCCAAAGACATGCAGTCAGGCCAACTGGACTTGCTAAATTGCCCCTAGGTGTGAGTGTGTGTGGATGTATATGTCTGTCTGTCTGTCTGTCCTGCGATGGACTAGTGACCTGTCCAGGGTGTATTCTGCCTTCCACCCAATGACTGCTGGGATAGGCTCCATGACCAAGAAGGATAAGCGGCTTAGAAAATGTGTGTGTGTGTGTGTATATTGAAATTTTTTACTGACTAATCAGCCAATTTGGCCACTTTAGTCTTATATTTTAATAGTTCCGTACAATGATCAACAAAAAAAGGACAAATTGTTAATCACAATCATTTATATAACAATTCATCATCAGCTGAAGTTCCACTTTTGTGACTGGCCTTTTAGCAACTTTAATGAAGGATTAGCTCTGCATTGTTTCGCACAACCATGTCATGTCATTTGTCACTGAAAAGCTTGTTTCATGTAGAGTCTAAATAGATCATCCTATCACAAAATAAAAATCACAGCTTTTAGAATACCTCCAAGTTAATGCTTAAGCCCAAGGTTATTGAAGACTGATTTTCTTACATATTGCTCATAGCTAGATTTACACTAGATTCTGTACAACAAAATGACCTACAAAATGTTTATCAAACAATAAAACAATGAGATTTCAATAATCTTATGTAAAATTCTTTCTCTGTGATGCCTATTGTTTGAAAAATGATCCTATTCACTTGTAGTGTCTCGCCTCAGCTGAATGAGATTGTAACAAATTGTCACTGGCACATTTCCTATAATGAAATGTGGGCTATTTGAAAGGTTATTAGAGGTAAGCAGTGACATTATGTGTCCAAAACCCCCCCAAGTGACAGCTTCTGATGACATCTTAATAAGAAAAGCAACTCATTTACAGGTCACATAACAGCTCGATGGCAACTGAACCGTCTTGAAGATTGTGAAGGTGGCAAATGTTCGTTCAGCGAGAAAGGGACGAGAGCAAGAGGCGATGAAATGGAAGTGTCTCTTTATTGACGTAAGGGTGCAAGGTGTTTTCGAGCCTTGCCCCCCACTGAGTGGTGAGCACTTCAGTACAAACAGATTAGGCATGTAAGAGCTGTTCTCAGCTGCCGGGCCTGGAATAGCCACGGCTAGTCTATAGTCTCCCGCCTTTACTGTACCTTGTACAGTCCCAACTATCTTACTTCACTACACATTCACAAGGAAGATAAAGGACAAACCAAAAAAACATCTCGATAACACCACAACATACTGGCATTTCTTTTCCTGGACTTCAAAATGCATAGGATTATTACACAAGAAATACAGTGTTGACAGATTTGCTTCTTTAATACAAAGGCATATATTATTATCATAAGGACATGAAGGAATAAAAATAACTGCACAGCAGTAAGAAGGTCATTGTCGAGTATAGATATTTTTCATACATACTATGGGATAGCATAGAAATTATAGGTCTATGGGAAAAAACACAATAGTGGGACACACTAGCGCTAGTCAACACTTCTGTTGCACATCCTCCTCTTAAAAATTTTAGGAATAAAAGCGGAATGGCAGATGCTTTGGGGGCAGGGGGAATGGTTTTACATTCACCACGGCTTCGTTTAGTTCAGAGCTTGTTCCCAATATAACGTCTACAAAAGTGCACACGCACACACACATACACACACAAACCACGGACGCCCAAAAGATATGCACGTTATAAAAACTGCCTCGTCCTCCCTTACTCAAGATCAACCTAATTGGCACATTGTGGCTACAGCACAAATGATCCTAGCATGACGACTGCACTTACTCACGGTCAACACCACAGCTGCAAAGACACTGCAAGCACCCTAGCTCTAAAACTTTGCCATTTTGCCACTCGATATTATCGATATAATTAACGATAGTAGTAACACTTAATATCATTAAGGCACGTTTTGGTGAAAGAAAGGCTAAAGAAGCTTTACATCGAGCTGTAGGGGCTTGGGTCACGGCTTCCTAATTCAAATGAAAAAAAAGGAATATTGTGAGCGTATTTAAAAGCACGGTGTCAGCAGCTTGCATGCAATTAAGATCAAACGCGTCTCCCGCTGGTTTCATTAAAGCAGAGGGGAATCGAGTGGGCAGTGCCAACCGCTGCAAGGCTTCTTCATACCGCTCAGCGACAGAGAGACCACGAGCAGACCACCACTGCTTTAAGGAGGAATCCCACCATTCGAAGGCCAGAATCCAGCCATCTGGCAGTCAAATCAAGGGCAGCTCAAGCCCTGAGAGATACAGCTCAATAAGAGGCTCAAAAAAGGATTCGTGGTGATCTAGGACCAGTTTTTTCCTGACCTGAATCCTAACCTCAATCGCTATAAGAGAGCAAAAGAACTGCTTTTGGATCAACAGCAAAAAGCAATATTCACCAGCTTCAAAAAGGCTACCTAAACACCTGTAATACTCAAAACTGAGAAGGATTGCTGTGTATTGCAGTATTTGGTACATACATTATGAACTTTAGTAGTATGAACAAACATTGAAAAAGAAAAAGAAAAAAAAGGACAGCAGGTTTTATAAACTGGACACGCTCTTTTGCAGTTAAAATTCTGTAACGCAGCTCAGTTCAGAAGTACCATATTGTTTAGCTGTTTAGTACCAAAGCAGCTGCTTATTTAAGAGTGCTATGAAATGCTACTTACACAGTTGGAAAATTCATTTGAATACACACTGCAGTATGAAATGTTATTCGTGTTTAAAGCTGCCTATCAGAGTTTTTGTGCATCAAAGGCTAAAGGAGCTTGTCACTTAATAAAGGGTCCCTAAAAATACCGTACTAGGTAAAACATCACCAGTGATAACATACTGGTTGGAGCTCAGAGCTTTTGAAAAATGTGCGACCGACTGACTCTGAGCCTTAGTAGCTGACTTATGCCACCTGCTGGACAAAAACCCAAATGGGCAGCTTTAAGGTAACAGGACAACTTCTATTAAAGGGCCCATATCCTATATTTTTCTTCAATCCAGTCATGACATTTGTGTGCTTTTATGTACTGAAAAACAGTCATAATTCATTTTACATGGCCATTTTTTTCAACCTCTCTTTCTCCCTTAGAATTAAACAGGCTGATTTTGTTATTGTGCCTTTAAGAATCATATGTAAATGAGCTCTGTTCTGACTGGCTATCCTGTATTGTGCTTTATTCATAAAGCAGTCCAGGCTGAACTTCAGCATGAGCTAAACTGCTGTAGGTGGATAAATGTAAATGTGCTGATTTTCATGACAACACAAAAACAATGAATCCAAAATGGGCAGCTTAGTTTATATATATGACCGTATAGGCTGAGGAGTGAATGATACATTTTAAAACTTTAACAAATGTTTACATGCTGTGTGCTACATCTTTTACAACAAAAGTGTGAGGCAAATTTATGATGATGAGATATGGGCCCTTTAAAGTGCCGTCTGATTCAGCAGTATCGTACCTATTCTCGTAGGAAAAACAAGGCTGCTGCAGTTATCTATGAAATGATTTGTCATCAACATTACATTTTGGTACCATGAACCATAAAATATAACCATTCATTTATGAGATGCATAAGACATTATCATAAGTGAAATTTTCATTGCACAATATAATAATAACCATAATTCTGAAATGAACCATAACAAAAAGGTTGTACAAATATGACACATAAATCTATGTATAAAAATGACATGCCTCGTATCAATGGACACTTTTTTTGTTCTGTTTTTTTTTTTTTTTTTTTGTTGAAATGCTATTGCCTAAACAGAATCTCTTTGTGCTCAGGTTGGTCCATGTTGTTATGGTGAGTTAAGAGCATGTAAAAGAAATGTGCTATTAATCATATTATTGGCTTTTCCAGTGTTTCTTCTGATGGAAGCTGACCCCATCAGACCAGCAGGTCCGCTCAGAGAATCAACAGAAAAATATAATCACCACCTGCTGGAAAACACCTCTCCTTCCTGCCAGTCAGGGTCCATCAGATGATGTTTGGTTGGACAACACGTAAGTTATGACCCCAAAGTGAGCTTACGTAAAACCAAATGCGCTCACACGCATGCACGCACACAAAACAGGGTCATACAGATGAGTGGGCAACTCCCTTTGGGTCAGAATTTAGGCATCCTGTGTGTGAGCAATTAGCAGTCAATTCACACTCAACCACCCACCCACATACACACACCCACTCCCACAGAACCCCCCCACATATACACAGAGGCTTTATAAACACAATTAACACAAGGCTGTCCATTTAAAAAGTTATTTTCTCCTTATAAAGCTTTCCGCATAAAGACTGCACAATAAAAAAAATATATAATACAATTCTTAAAACTTTTTCTCTCTACACAGGAAGAAATTGAACATCTGATTATAGTTATAATGCTAATTACACTCTGAGGGCTTCATTCATTAAATTGTTCTTTTTTTTCTTTCTTGTATCCTCTTTTCATACCCCAGAGACTTGAGCCCGACATGACCTCTGGCGGTTTGATTCCATTCCAGCCTCTCTCTTTCTCTCTCTCTCTCTCTCTCTCTCTCTCTCTCTGTCTGTTTCTCTCTCTATCTCCGTACGGCAGGGTTACAGATCTGTCACTTTGTTCTCGAGTGCAGCAGCGATCTGCTGGAGTCGCAGTGTCAGCTGCTTACTCTGTGCTGCAGGGTCCTCATCCAGAGACAGGACAATCTAGGATGGAAACAGAAAGAGAGCTGAATGAGTCAGTGTATGAGAAAAGGTGTCACATTACACCACCTGCACAGTAAAGATGTAGAAGTATTGCTGCGCTTTCTTATGTCGCTGGGTACTAGGCAGTAGACTTTGAAAACTGTACTTACATGATGTACACTCATGGTGTTTTTCCAAAGGGCAGTACAGTGCAGTAAGGTACAGTTACAAACCCATGACCAAGCGTTTTGTCATCATTTCTACTGCCAAGCGAACCGTACTGTACCTGAGTACCCGTGCCGAATTTGGTTACCCTTCTTTCTGGGCTAAGAGTACTGATCCAAAATGTATGGGTGGAGATAGAAATAGACCACTACTGCAGACCACTGACTGGTCAAATCCAATAGTCACATACATGATCAGTCAAGTCAAACAGAAACCATTTTAAAAATAAATAAGTAAATAAAAACCATGAGCGAACTAGCCAGAATCACTGTCTGTGACGCTCATGTAAAACCAAATGTGGACTAAAAGGTACATCTGAAACTTCTCAGTTGTTGCCGCTGTTGATTGTGTTTACTGTTAACACTAGCGCTGCATGAGAAATCTTGTGAATCACACAACCTCCAGAGATCTCACCTTATTTCATAGTTTTGTTGTGTGATGGTAAACAAACACAGGTACTCGACCAGAGTATGGACAGTTCTGGGTTCAGATTAGTAACCACAGTGCGCTGTCCTGCACTGCCCAGAGGAAAAATGCATTTCGAGAATACTTCTGCACGGTATGGACAAAATAGTAGTATTCTGATGCTGTGCAAAATACACTATCTGGCCAAAAGTTTTTAGACACTCCTCCTGATCCTGATCATTCCATCTCCATACACAAACACTGGCAACAGAGTCGCTCATAAAGAAGAGCTCAGTGACTTTAAACTGTGGCACTGTCAGAGGATGCCACCTTTGCCACAGGTCAATATGTGAAATTGCCCTGCTAGATCTGCCCTGGTCCACTGTAAGTGCACCTAGTAGCAACAACAGCTCAGCCACGAAGCGGTAGACCACACAAACTCACAGACAGAGGCCACCAAATGCTGAAGCACATAAAATTGCTTGTCCTCTACAGCTGCAAACTGCCTCTGGAAACAACACCAGTACAAGAACTATCCATCAGGAGCTTCATGAAATGGGTTTCCATGGCCTAGCAGCTGCACACAAGCCTAAGATCACTATGCGCAATACTAAGCATCTGATGGAGTGATGTAAAGCACTCTACTACTGAACTCTGGAACAGTGGAAATGTTCTCTGAAGTGATGAATCACACTTCATTATCTGACAGTCTGATGAACAAGGAGAACACTACGTACCGGAATGCATAGTGCCAACAGGAAAGTTTGGTGAAGGAGAAATAATGGTCTGGGGCTGTTTTTCAGGGTTCGGTCTCAGCCTCTTAGTTCCAGTTAGGGGTAAAGTTAATGCCACAGCTTGCTAAGACATTTTAGACAATTATAAGCTTCTAACTGTGTGGCAACTGTTTGGGGAATGCTGTTTCTTGTTTCAGTATGACTGTGCCCCTGCGCACAAAGTGAAGTCCTGTACGGCCCTGACCTCAACCCCACTGAACACCTTTGGGATGAACTGGAATGTCAACTGTGAGCCAGGCCTTCTTGTCCAATGTCAGTGCCTGAACTCACAATTGTTCTTATGGCTGAATGGCATGAAGAGAACTAATGCTTTGTTCAAATGAATGGTTCGCACCTGTGACTGGGGGGTCTACAGATCTTATTCGTCTATAATTAGTCCTGTTTAATCGGATTAAGTGCAACACATTATGTGAAGTGTAGACCATCACTATATTTTTTTCAGCAAACACTACTAGCACATTTTGTCAGTGTGTCAAAATATCATGATGTGTATTGTTTATTGCGAAACATTATTTTGTATTATTTTGATTAATATAATTTACTTTTGTTGTTTGATCATTTGAATACACAGATTCCACAGAAACACTCATCTGGAACTGATGAGTGGTCAAGATGCTCACAGCATGGTCATTTTCACTTTACAGCCTTCTGCGATACCAGTACTGCAAAGGCCAATATCATGATAATGATTATCAAATGATATATTGTGCACAATGTGTAGGCATGTTTACCTCTTTGTAGTATTTGCTCGCATACCGGTACAGCTGATGGAGAGCCACTTGTGTGTTCAGTTTGTCTGTATGAGCCTACGGAACACAAAGGGACATCATTAAGCAGGACCACACTCAGTAACAGAAATTCCCCTTCACTCACTATCCCACAGTATTCAGTTAAGGAGACAGAGTTGAGCAGAAAGAGGGTATTCTCACCCGAGACACCTCAGCTAAGTGAGTGTTCATGTCTTGGTCACTGATTGGCACCATCTGTCGAATTCCTTTGTAGTATCTGCAAGATTTACACAGTCACTTTGTTATCAATGAGTTTTATGAGGTAATGTTTAAAAGGCATATTGTGCTTACAGAAGTGGTGGTCCTGTCATGTGTTATACAGTTAAGCAATGCTTTTCCCTTAAACATCATAGACGAAAGTTTTGGTGCAAGACCTAACAGTCAGCTAAGTGAAGAAACATTTTCTGAAAAACTGCTTACATTATACATCGTACTGAATTCAAAACTCATGTCAGCTCACATTAGCATAAGAATGTTGCTCTGAGGCCATGAGTTGTCTACTTATTTTCAAGAATAAGTGTCATAAATCACCTACCATGAAGTGGATCTAACCAACATGACTTCAATGATCAATCACAAATAATAATTAAGAAATATCAATCTTATAATTACTCTTTATTAGGGATGCACAATCAAAATCATCAAAGATTGGAATCATTGTTGTTATTTTAATTTTAATAATATTACTGTTATTTTATTTAAGCAGATCTCTGTGCATTTTATAAGGTAAATAACATCAGTCGGGTAAGTGCACTCGCTATGCCTGTACCAAACTGTCATGGCATAATTATGCATGACTCATTGTGCTAAATAGCCAGCTGCCTCTTACTTTCAGTGTTACACACTTCTATAACCTAAGAATAGCTCAACCAGCTTGCATTGGAGTCCCTGTAGGTACTAAATAATAAACCTTAGTGTGTGATAAGCCTGGGATTTTAAGGGGTTAAAAAACATTAAATGCCTGTTTGGCCCAATAAAGAGCAAATAATGTTTTTAGTTTGGCTAATAAAAAAAAAACTGGATATATGCTAGTGTGTTTTATGTCTTCATTTACCCTTAACAGTGTGAGCTCCAGATTAAAAAAAAGGCAATAAAAATTGGCTCAAAAAAAAGTTTGAATCAGCCATTAAAAATGATGATTTGTGCATCTCTATTCTTTATTAGTCCTGTCCTTACTGAATACGTGGTCTAATATAGGATAACCACCCATAACAGGTGATCAAAGTAACACAACTTACTCATCGACCATCTTCTTGTATGTGGAGATCTCTTTTGCATAGAGAAGCTTGTTGCTGGGTGAGTCCTAAAATAGAAAAATGTCAATCAAAATGTTTGTCAATCAAAATCTCCATTTTGGCTGAAATCTAAGCACTCTCCATGAACTCTGATTTGTAGACTCCTTTCCCTTTTATATCAATCTAGGCCCAGTACCTTCTTCTCAAATTCTATCCTCAGATAGTTAACAAAAAAAGCAAAAACGGTCTCGGATGAGTGCAAAAAAGAAGCCAATTTGTCTCACCCTGCTGAGTTTGTGCTCAGATTTAGTGCAGGCATCCATGAAGGTCTGAGCAATGACCGATAACGAGGCATCAACCACTTCTGTCACATGCACATCAAAGATGAAATGAGGGTTCTTCAGAATGTTTCACCCAGAACCTTAAAGGGAGACTGGAGAAGAGAACAGAAGAGAAAAGAAGAATAGAAGAGAAGAGAAGAGAAGAGAAGAGGAGACTTAGTAATTGGCACTTTTCCATAGCACATAGCTTTAGATTCTGTGGCCCAAACTAACAGAGCAGGAGGTCCAGAACTGTTTGTAACTCCCCTGATGACCGAGTGTCTTAAAATGGCGAGCTTTTAGAATGAAGAAAGTTGTGAGGAGATTTAATGACTGTGACTCAGCTGAGCATGACGCTGCTTATCAGCTCCTCGGATTCAACGCCCGCAGCCACAAACAGAATTCTGAACACCCCTGCTATTCATCATTGACCTGAGAGTGCATTTCTACTGTACCAGGAAAATTACACATTTTAACCAACACTTTCTTTGAACTCTCACATTGGGAGCAAACAAATGGGCACACGCTGAGCGAAAACCTCACTACACGCTCCAGCACCCACGCAACCACCCCCAAACACACAAACACACACAAACACACTCCGGTGCCCACAGAAAACCTCACACAAAAAACTCCCAACACACAAGAGACTCCACAGCCCATCCACTGTAGCGATGCCAGAGAATTACAAACAGGCCCGAAATAGCTCGTGCCCCTGCGTTCTGTCATGCGTTTTAAAGGCGAACTAATTGAGATGGGCAATTCTGGAATATATACCGGCTAGCCGCATCCCTCTGCGCAGCGAGAGAACAACAACAAAATAAAAAGAGTGTGTAATAACAGCACAATTAAATTAACCAGGGACGTAATTACTATGTTTGTTTGGCTCTTTGGCACATTCATATTTAATAGGAGCGGTCTCTGCTGGTTTAGCGAACAAAACAAGCGTGTGAAGTGAGCGGGTCTGATGATATTGCTCATCATCCTCATTCACGTCTCTCTAACGGCCGTCAATCTTGCTGCGGCCACGACGACTCATCAGTGGGAATAAACAAACACGGAGCTGACGTTAATTGATGCAGCGAGGTCCCATGAGGAGATGAGATACCCTGAATATAAAAGAGCGGGTCAAACTCCTGCAGGACATGAGTGAGGGTGTGAATGCATGAGTGAGTCTAAAACAATCAATCACACACGCACACACAGTGCTGGATGAAATATAATCTATACCAGTACTGGTGTCACATACTAGTATTAATTTTTAGTTTTAGCTAGGGGTGCGTGAAAAAAATCGATTCTTAGATGCATCGCGATGCGGACGTGAACGATTCTGAATCGATTCACAAATGTCAAAAATCGATTTTCTAAATATTTAATTTATACGTAATGTTGACGGAAAGCAAAAGGCGGAACTTGGAAGTGGGTAAGTGCAGCGCCCGGACAGTCTGTGGCGGCACATAACAAAAACACAACTGGATGAGCGAGAAATCCAACCGGCTCCCTCTGCATTAAAAGCCAGGTTAGATCAGGAGTCACAACCCAGAAGTTAAGAAGAGCCATTTTGACCTTTCAAAAATCAAACCACCTTGGGAGCCTCAGCATTTAATGTCCAGTATGTTTCAGTATGTGCTTGATGTCCTAGTATAGACTAAACAATATAAACGAGAGCGCAGATTTACTTTACTCGGCTTTAAGCTTTAACTATAGCCGCTTTCCTCCCATTTCCGCCAGAAAACTTTTCCTCTGAAGTAGATCAGTTAAATGTCTCTCAACGTTCGGCTGTTTTCCGAGGCTGAAGTCGCTTCTTATTCTCCAGCTTCTTGTTCGAATTTACCCGTTCCACCTTAAATTCTAACTGAGGCGACGAATGTAAATGCGGCACCATTTAAGGTGGAACGGGAGAATTCGAAAGAGAAGCTTCGCCACTTTTTAGTGTTTGACAGTCTCTTGTTGCAGATTTAATGTACCAGGAAACCAACTGCACTGCTTATAAATGCGAATAACGCATCGCTGCTATGTGACCTGCAGTCTGCACGGCGGTTCTCAGTCGTTGTGAAACAGGGCTTTCGCGCTATGTTGCACACGACCCGTCTCAAAGATACTTTACTGACACAGCGATCCCCCCGTCTCTACAACGAGACCAAAACCAAAGTTATAAAATCACTAAAGAAAACGGGTAGAATAGCTGTAACATGTGCTGCGTGGACATCCATTACCACTGGATCTTATTTCAATGTAACTGTGCATTTTATCGCAGATGAGTAGCAGCAGCTTCTCGTGCTCCAAACAAGAGCAGTGAATGAGAGCCTTCTGGTTCACTTGCCACATCACTTCCATTTGTTTTATTAAAAAAGATATTGGAAGTAAATTCATTATGGATCTTTACAAATACTTTGCTTTAAAAATACCAAGTCATTTTGAAATAACAACACTGAGTCACTTAGTCACTTTAAAATGTATATTGTCTCTATATTCTGTGCATATTTTGTGTATATTTAATATATTTCAGTTGTTTTTTCTTGTATTTTTATTTTTACTTATTTACTTTCCGTAGAGTGATTAGCAGAGCCTCACCACAAGCATTTCAATGTATAAATGTCCTGACATGTTGTGCAAATGACAAATAAACTTGAACTCGAAACTTGAGCTCACACAGTGAGAAAATATAAATGCTATATAGAAAAAAAGACGCATCGATAATCGTTTTATAATCGCATCGCAGCCCTCCGAATCGTAATCGAATCAAATCGTGAGGTGCCTAGAGATTCCCACCCCTAGTTTTAGCCATACTGATAGATAACAAAACTTAAATGTTAACTGTAATGTGTTTCATTTGCTGGGTGTTGCAATACTTAAAAAATGCAATAAATAATAAGTTTCCTTTCTGGAAATCTGGAGTCTGTTTACCCTCTAGAGTAAGATTCCCTTTGGTATAATTTCAAGGGCAAAAAACAAAGCCAGCAGTGAAAACAAGCACAGTTTTTAAGACATTCTTTTAGCTTAGAGTAACAGTAGGGGAGAGCAGAGTTGGTTAGCAGTTAAGACCCATCAAACAGCAAATGAAAGCTGAATATCTTAGCTAAAACATACTTTCAGTGTCAAAAATATTTCCTGGAATTAGTGCATTCATGACTAAACTCATACTGTGAATCAAACAACTCATAGAAACAATTTAAGCTTTTTAATTGAAACCAAACTACAAACAAAAACAAACATTCAAATGCGGAAACGCTACAGATATTTCATTTATCACTGACTAAAAAACAATAAGAACAATAACCATGTTCATTATACTTATATGATAATAAAATGTTTCTTTTATTAGCCTATAATAAACATTTTATAAACAATCTTTTCTTGTACTTAGTGAACTAAACGTTGTCTTGTTTAATGTTAAGTCTTTTAAATTGTTTTTTAATGCATAAATAGTTTGGGTTTAAAATTATTTTATTTAATTTCAAGATAAATTTGCTTATCATCAAAAGGAGGTAAGAAGTAAGAACAACTTTAATGTAAATTTAATATAAAAAAGTATATCAAGAGTGACACAGCACAGAACTGCACTTTTTTAGTTTTTAGTATGCAATGTAGTATATGCATACAACATAAAATATAAAATGTGCTGTAGCTTTTTTTTTGCCAATACGATAAATTCAGCAAATAAACAGTAATAGTGCTCTAAAATGTGCAGAAATGTGTTGATGTGTTGACTTATTTTCACTTAGAAAAATCAACAAAACATGTCATTTGACCAGGTTCACCCAACCAAACTGTATTTATTTAGCGAGAGATTTTTTTGCTTAACACACAAAAAAACATTATCCCCACCTTAAAAGATCGCAACTTTTATAGCAAAATAACCCCCTACTCGGGACACACAGGATCATTAACTTTATTAATGCAAATCTATACATCATCTGTTACTGTGATAGTGTGAACTATTTAGAACATACTGAGATATTGAATTTTATCAGTACTACATGTATAAAGTGCACAGTGTGTAGTTTCTGCTGTTCTAATATGAAATGCATGAACACTCTGCACTGATGATACTCTCTCTCTTTCACACACTTTTACCTGTTGGTCTTCCAGATGTGGATGGTCTCCTCATCCACGTTCTCGTGTTTTAAGGCCTGCTCATCCAGAAAGTCAAAAAAGTATTTAACAGCAGGCGGCACCACGGTTCCTGAGCAGAGAACACTGCGGAAAAAGTCGTCCACAAACTGCTGCAGCGTGCCCTGAAACCACACACACACACACATAAACAGGAGTGTTATGAGACACACAGACACAAATGCTGAGAAATGCAAAACACATATGATGTCACTTCACGACCAAAGTGTCTTACTTTGTTTCAAGCAGAACATCACAAACTTAAAAGGACTTCTAAATGGACCATACACAGAGCTCACACACACACACAAACACACACAAACACACACACACACAAACACACTGAGGAGGAAAATGAAAACACTTAGTCTGCACAAATTATGCTAGCAAAGACATTCTTCAGGACACAGAGGAAGGGAATAGAGAAAGCACCCCTAAGGGCTGAGTGAAGACAAAGCGAAATACTTATAAACCAGTACAACACATACAAACTGGAAATGCCCTATATATGTATTATTAAATTATAAAACAGGTGCATGCATACTTCTAAAACTGTAGCATTATGATAAAGTAAAAAGCAAACTTCTCTCGCTTTCCTAATTTTGAGATCTCATGTCTCTGAAACAATATTGTTACACATTGGAAAATGATGACATTTTACTGCTTGATTGTCAAGCTGTGAAAATGTCAGATGGCCATAACCCTTGCACACTCAACAGAAGGCCAGGCTAATCTTTATGCCAGAGGTATCCAACATGGTCATGCACAGCTGCCTTGAAAATATATTGATTTACACTGAGAGCCAGACAGACTAGAACACATGCAGTCCCCTTGTTTACTTTGCTGTGCTTCAAATCTTCACGTAATGCTGCCTAAGGTGAAACTTATGCTAATTGCCCAATTTACTGTAGAGGATACATGATTACACATCAGACAGGACTGTATTTCCACAAACTGGGCAGATAAAATTCAGACACATTTCAATTGCTCAAAACAAGCTCTGAAGATTACATATACAAGGAGATGCGGCACTGATGCACGATCCATTTAAAGCAAGCGGAGCCACTGAAGGAGGGTCATAAATTACAAAATACTTGACAGCACTAACCCTCATGAGTCTCAGTTATCAGTGTGTTGAAATTTGATATTAATTATTTCTCATTCATAGTTCATTGAAACAAGTGCAGATTCCATATTTGAGTGTTTGATGGAGTAGGAGGAGGTATTTTACAGAGCCCATATCATGTAAAACAGAATTTCCTCAACTTTTTAAAAAGTATTTATTTATTTAGTCCATATATGGAATTTTAAATTTTGTTTTTGTGATGTCACAAAAAACAACATATTTACATATATCCACCTCTCCAGCCTACAGCAGTTTAGCCCGAAATTATTAGGAGTGTTTCAGCCCAGACTACTTTTTCATTGAGGCAGAAAACAGGGCAGCCAATCAAAACAGAGGCTGTTCACACATAGACATCAGTCTTAAAGGCACAGCAATAAAGTAGCCTGTTTAATACTAAGAAATGAAAGGAGTTTAAAAATGATCATGTAAAAATTTAATTTTATATTATATATAAAAAGTACAATGCAAGAAAATTGCAGGACATGGGCCCTTTAATATGATTTAAATGTGATAAAAGTTGCATAAAGTCTTGTGTGGAAAGAAAAAAAATTTATGCACATTTTTGCCATTTTTTAATCATTGCATGGCATCGATACAAACAGAAAAAAAGCTTAGTGTTCACTCAAAATTGTTGATACAAAATGTAAATCAAATCGAAATGTTATTCACTTTGTAACTCACTACATAATTAAATATATGATTACATCACTACACTTGATAACTCCATCTCGGGGTCTAAGGGTTAAATCTTGCATTTTGTTTCTACCCGGAAAAGAAATGAGATTTCACAGCAGGTTTGATGCAGGTCCTCGTTTGGTTGGAACTTCATTGTAATATCTTCACAGGGTTTGATGTGTGTGATAGTGGGTATCTGGGATAGTGGTGCTGGTGTCTACCTTGACCGAGAGCAGGCGAGTGAGATAGATCTCCGTGATGGCTTTGGTCATGGACTTATCCTTAATGCTGCCTCTCTTCGACTTCATCTCGTCCAGCTCATCTGCTGGCCTGACCAGATGGAACACTTTATCATCCTCCAGCAAGGCATTTCCTAAGAGGGAATAGAAAGGATTTCGTAGGCCTAGTGAGCAGGTGTCCATGTGTTTCATCTGTACGCTACTGAGAGCCACAAAGCAATGTGTACATACCAGAGTGTATGTATGCATGCAAAGTCTGTGCTTCCTAAACCCAAAGTAGTGATCTTAAAAGGAGAATAGTTTCCACTTACTCTCCTCATGGTTGTCGTGGTTTTGGTCATATGACTGCTGTGTGTGCAAAACCCTGGAAAGAACCAGCGTGGCGTTGTCTCGAACCTGAAAGATGGGCACATAAATAGGGACACGTCTTTATGCTGCATTTCAAAGTTATCTCTGAAGCTGAGCAGTTGGAGTGCTACTGAAAGCTGATGTTGTGAGTTTTCAGGAGTGATACTCACATTGTAGTGAGCTAGTGTGTTAAGGCGTCTCCATCTGCCTTCTTTCTGGGAGGTCACATCCAAATCAGACAGAATCTGGCCTGTAGAGCCAGGGCGCCATTCTGTGGGGAAGAAAAAAACCTTTCAGAGTATTGGGCAACACTTTACTGTAGGGCAGTGTTCAGAAGTCTACATGACTCCTACATAAGCCCTTCATGACAACTGACATAAACCTACATAAACATTTATAAACACTTATTCAAATAGGCCTTAGTTATTATAAAAGGTTGAATTCGCCAACTCTGCTGTTTATAACTGACGACGGGTACTGGAAGATGCCTTTATGAATATGTATGAGGGTTTGTCAGTTGTCATGATGTGCTTATGTAGGTGCCATGTAGCCTTATGACTACGACCTACAGCACTGCACAGGCCAAAACAAACATAAAGCCTCTAAAGCTGGGTAAGTTAAAGCTAACATGAACTCCTTAATCTTCATGTATCTGCAGGCAGGCCCATATCTTCATTGACACATCAACACCTCTTTTTTGTTTTCATGTTTTCATGCCATTTGAAAACACTGGTTGTCCTTTACACTGTGTGAACGTTTCATGATGAATGGACCAGTAAAAAATGGTCCAAAAGTACTACCCATTAAACTATTGTGACATTCATGTATATTTAAGCTAAGAACATTTTTAAGATATGAGGTTTTGTTACAAAAGTGACTATATACATTGTTCACTGTTGTTCATTGTTGGCATTATCTTCCATGTAATTACTAAATAATAAGTCTTAGGATGCGGACAAACAAGCTTCGAAAGGTTAACCTTCTTGACCCTACACTTATCATTCAGTTATTAACGTTTAGGCTTATTATTCAGTAAGTACCATAAATTATGTGGTACTATGAAACTATTGTAGCCTATATGTTATGTAGTTATGAAAGACATAACTGAAGTGTAAGCCTACATCTTGCAGTTAAGCAGTCAAGTATAAACTAGTAACTGTTACCTTTTCTCTATGGCACCTCTTAATGCTTTCTTAAATGTATTACTTTTTAAAATTCCTCCTGAGGCACTCGTAACATCCTATGTCCTGCTATATAAGTATGAAAGGTAGACCGAAAGGTCTTAGCTGCCTTTGTGTGAAGCCCGTAGCGGCGTCTACTCAAACAACCAGACATGCAACACTGTCAGAAAAGCAACGCACAGCAGGGAATGCTAATCACCCGACTCTACCATGTGACTAGGAGACACATAAGTGGCCGACACATTGGTGAGCGAGAAGCAATCTGTGAATAACCCTATGTTTCACTGGCGCTCACCTCTGCCCAAGTCATACCTCAATCTGGAGTGTTTTGGGGATGTTTTTACAGCATCGACTAGAGCTGTAATGACTCAGTACATTGCATCATGCAATGTTCCTGCCAACTCAAACGCATCAACCCTTTAACAGAAATACTGGATTGAATTGTGCTGGCATTTGTCCCAAATCAATCTGAAATGGTTTAAATCAAATTAATCGTGCTTTTCATAAACACACACCAAACCAGGATTTGAAAAAAAAACTGTTATATGCGAGACAGAAAACTGGCCTCAAATAGTGAGGCTGCATTTTCTTCTGATTCTGATATATTGACATACCACATGCATTCTCCATTTTTTTTCAGAAGGTAGCAAGAAGCGTGAAATCGCTCTATATTTCTAGCATCAATACCCATTTGAAAAAGTCAGCGATTCATGCCTAAAGCACAAACAAATCACCAGCTGAATCATGGCAAGGCCATTCAACATGGAGCATCAAAGCAAGAAATATCAACAGTACATACAGTCACACAGACAAAACACTGCTCGACTTACCGAGTGTGACACTCTCTACTTTTGGCCTCTGGGAGTACGGCAGGTTTTTGTACACCTGCTCAATGATCTTCTCTTTCACCTGAGAGATGGTGTCACAATCCAGCACTTTCACTGGAGTAATATCAGGACCTTCTCCCTGGACCAACACCTGCAGGGTCTGGAGCAACAAGTCAAGGGTTATGACCCTGAAAGCTAAAGAAGGGGAACCAACCCTGACCCTAAACATTAGGAATGTAGATCTCTGACCTCACAATGATTTGATGATTCCTTAGAAAAAGATTCAATACATAGTCAATCACAATTAACCTCATTTGTCTTTGTGCAAATTTAATTAGCAGTGCATTTGTTATAGCTGCTTGAGTGGATAATATAAGCATCAGAATGTATTTACTACTTTCAATAATCCAGTAACATTGTTTTCAAGAACAAGAACCTGAACATGAAAATAATTTCCACAGAGTGAACGCAGTTGCTAACTTCCGTCACCAGCATCCAGTGAGAGCAATAGTGGCTGCATGTTTTCACCACTGAGAAAACTGCTTTTCGTTGATTTAGGTCCCCAGCAAGCATTGTCAACTATAGTCTGTTAAAGGTCTTGAAAGTACTGCTTTAAAAGGCATTAGAAGCTGTAATTGAAAGAAAGGGCTACAATCATGTATTCTTTCATAGGAACATACAGCGTACAAGCAGCTGGGCTTCAGTCTGCAATACTATGATTTGAAGGGCCAGACTAGAAAAATGCATTAAAAATTAGCAGCGTTAATCATTTCTCTCTTTAAAAACTTATTAGAGTTAACTTTTGGCATATGTAATTTATAGTGGTGTTTAAGTTAGCATTTATAATTCATTAGTGCTATAAATTATTGACTTTCAGGTTCAAGCTGAATTATTGAGGGTAGCACATACATTCTGAAGAAAATATTTTGTTTACTCATAGCTATAACAAAATACACTGCTTTCTAAATGGAAAAATCTCTCTTTAGGGTCAAATATGAGAAAAAAAATGACACGATTAACTGTACAAATGAATGTAATTAATCATGGTTCATTATTTTAATAAGTAAACAACTGATGATCAATGAGATTTTTAATGTTTTTGGCAAAAAAGTTACTCTATACTTAATTAAATATTATTATAGTTGATGATAATCGATTACAATATTCCAAAATCATATTATTGCCCTATGATTTTTCATCACTAATAAACAAGTAAAAACCTTTTATATTGCTTCTTGTACTTTTTAAAGTGATCAGGACTCCTGACCAACACACCCACACACAGACCTTACCAGCATGGAGTACTCCACATCGTCACCAAGCAGGCCCGTGTCATTCAGTGTGTACTTGGCCTTCTTCACTTGAGAGTCCACTGGGCCTTTCTCTATCTGATGCTTTATGGCTCTAAAGAGTTTATACAGTGGTTCCCCTGCAGAGTCCTATAGATACAACAAACAATGCACATACACCCTCTTATAAAAATGGTTTAAGCTTTCTGTCAGCAATCATCTGTTCTTCTCCCACTGACGTCTGGAGGTAGATTATAGCTATCTATTTTATTAATTATAGAACAGGCAGTCTATCTTTCACAGTGTGAAATGCAACTTGACTCAACGGATTCCCAGTTCTATTCAGTTTTTCCCTCACATAAGCTCTGGTATGAATTTAGGTTAGCTTTCCCATCTCTTGTGCTGACTGACATCTAATAATACCTGAGCAGACTCCAGAAATCTTGACATTTATTAAATATGGCAATCATGATTATCAAGATAATAACGGCTAAAAACATGACTCATCAGCCTTTAACAGCCTTTAAGGGTCCAAAGATGATGCACCTGAGACCAAAGCAAATAAGAATAATTTAGCTTGCACACCATGACTGTCTGAAATCCTTTTGTGTGTTTTCTGATGAGGGGTAAAATGCCACATTTACTATCTTTATAATACGCTAATGATCATATTTAAATACAACCTCTCATTTTCTGTAATCAACCTGAAGACATGTAGTTCAGTAAAGTATGGTATACAGTGCTGATCTCAGGCCTTCTAAGTTTGTTAAAAAGTAAGAAATAGGGCAAAAATACATTATCACAACGCAAAGGCTTTTTTAAGATAAATACTATGTATCATTAAATTTTGTTTTTCTGAGGTTTTATAAGTTGGAACAGCTAGAGTGCAACAGCAGTGCCACACTTTAAACTATAAGTACAATCATTTTTATTTACCATTTCACTTACTGCACTGTGCTAAATATAATCAGACACAAACAACTGTGCTCTGTTTGTGTTGAAACATGCAGCTGTTCAGCATTCAAGTAGTGACGATATCCACGTTGCTCAGAAAAAGTGTGCTGTGATGATTTGATAAAATACTGTCATACTGGCCACCTCTAGTAATAGTGGTAGCACACTGTTTTACAGTTCCTTAGGTTCTAGGTATTTACCAGGTAAACGTGAGGTACAAACAACAAAGTGCTAGGTAATTATTTTTGGTAACATGGTAAGTTCCATGGCAGTCTAACTAAATTATACTAAAATGCCAAAAAGGCTGTATGTATTAACTGCGCAAGTATGTGGCACAAACTCCACAGTACTGTGAAATTATTTTGGGTAAAAATATTGGGCAGTAATTTGATGTAAAAAGATTGCACAGGAATAGACAACAGAGTTTTACATAGTAAGTATCTGTTTATTACCAATTAATGAATCTGGACTGTTAAAGAAAGCAATAATTCTTACTGGAGTTTTACTGAGTTCCTTTTTTTCCACTTCAGAACACTATCTTTGTATTTTGTGCCATCATTGTATACCATATAATTTACCAAGTACCTGGAGGCATTTTTTGATTTACTTTCCTGCTTAAACACTTACATGTGACACTACAGTTAATTTTAGTGCATGCTTGCACTCACCACCTTGTAACTCCAAATATTTATTAGGTGTTTTACCATGTCTTTATCAGCTTAATAGCTTAGACAGTTAGGAATTTCACTGTAATTAAGTTAAATTGTCTTGAAACTTTCCATCATGTTAATTACAATTATTATCTATTACCCTGGAATTACCCAGATAATACCTAAAACTTATGGGACTGTAAAAGAGAGTGTTACTGAGATAGTAATCTTAAACCTGACACAACCACATAAAGATAAAAACTACTGATGGTGCACCAGAGTCCGCATTACCTTTAGGAACTGATAGAGGCAGATGGACATCCAGTTACACAGCATCCTCTCAACCACTGTCTCTGACCTTGAGAGGAAAAATGTGCGCACACAGGCACCAAGCACACACACACACACACACACACACACACACACACACACACACACACACACTTGTTTTCTAACCAATTACTGCTCGCTCTTTTACCTCAAAATGCTCCAAATGTTAGCGATTAGTGGCTAATGAACACTTATGGGATAATCAGAGAGGGAGATAATTACTGTGGATCATCAGCTGATTGAGGAGAATTATAATTAAACTAGCAAAGAGTGGCAGATCAACAATTGGCTTAAAATAATGGTGAACATGGCACAGCCAGATCTATTGTTATCCGATCCTAATCTAAGCTCATGAGGGATGTTTGCCAAAGCTGCAGAGGTGCAGAACAGCCAGAAAAGCAAATGCAAGATTCAGTCTCTGAAAAAGAAAATTCAGCATTACCTTATCTTAACAAAGAAGCTTCCTTAGTAGAAAAGGCATAAAGTGACACTACATGTATGCTCAAATAAAATTATTATTATTGTATGATTCAGTGGAATACTCTATACTATAAAATGTGGAATAGGGCAGAAGTTGATCTGAAGCATTTTTGAGGATATAACTGATGTAAAATATTGCTTTAGTTCATTTAAACTAAAATTTTGTTTTACTAAGTCTTTTGAAACCAGTTAAATTGCTTGAAACATGAAATATTTTTTTACATTGACCTGACAAAACATTTTTTACAATTTAATAGGTTTCTTTCTGTGTAATATGTGTGGAGTGGTGTTTGAGGTGGTGTCAGCTCACCTGCGCAGCATGAGTTTGGGGTTTTTACTCTGCACGTATTCTTCCATAAGCCCGAGCAGCAGTGTCCTCATGATATCTGTGTAGTACTCCAGCTTTCCATGTAGAGCCACAGTCAGCAGAGACGCAAAATACACCTTAGCTCTTGCATTGAAGTCTGGACGAGCCTCCAGAGTCCGGATAAACTAGAGAGAGAGAGAAAAAGAGAGAATTTAGAACATCCCCCACCACACAAGATGCAGATAGATTGGGGATGTATTCTGCACATGCGCAAAGTCTAAAATCTCTTGCATGATTAAAGTAACTGAGCCAATTGTGGTGTCATTTTCATAACTGGCAGAAATGCTCGCTTTGAGCAAACAGTCCATCAGACAGTAAATAAAACGGACATAATAACAGTGTCAAGACTCTTTAATATCATTAAAGTAACAGGGCAATTTGTGTTTTAATGAAAGAGAGTAAAGTGTTTCCTATCTGTGTGATCACTTAATTACTAGCTTATGCAGTGAAGGAAGATGAAACTGAGAAATAATGAAAGCTAAGACTCACTGAGTAGGTTTAAGATGTGTGTGTCCATATTATTAGACATACAAAATGAGGTAAGCATTAATATGTAATTGTCCAGAAGTGAAACTGTGATAATTTTGTGATTTTACTAAGATAACTGCATCTCACTTTCTACAACTAAGACAAGCACTGCGCTTAAATGCGTTAGGATGGCAGGCCTGTTCAAAAGACTCAAAGGACATAATGATCAGTAATAATCAATACCGTTCACTTTACTGACTAAAAAAGTTTGCATCAATTGTGGTAACAAACTCCATTAGTAGTTTAATGAGGAACTTTGTTGTTGGAAGTATAGTGGTCAGAGAAATTAACTCATAAGGTCATGGGATTGAAACCAGTTTATGGCTACTGCCATTGTGCCCTTGAGAAAAGGCACTTAAGTGAGATTGCCCTAGAGAGACTGACCCAGCAGCTGGCAAATGTAAGAAGCTTTAGGCAAAAGCATCAGCTAAATGAGTAACTGTATCCTAATGTGTATGTGAGTTGTATTCTTCTATAATCTGTAATTTATAATGTTTCATTATATATTTTATACAGTACATATTATATTTCATTAAACCATAACATTTTTGCCTTACAATGCTTGGCCTATTTTTATTGTGTAAAGCACTTTGAGATTCTGCAACTAAACTGACAAATGTTATCAATATTATCGTTAATATTGTTATTATTATATCATACAGTGATGAGGAAGGTCTTGCTGTTGAGAAGGTTGGAGAACTGGTTGAGGGCCTGAGCCACTGTTGCCTTGCGGGCTTCTGGGATATCCAGCTTTCCGGTGATCATCACGTCATTGGCTCCATCTTTCGAGGGCAGGAAGAAGACGCGGTCTGTGTAGGTCTTATAGTCCAGGAAGGGGATACGTCCTTCACTCAGGTCATTCGTATGATCCTCCATCTCGATCATCAGATCTGCAGAGAAATACAGACAGTTACGGTGTGAGAGTTTGTTAAATCTTTTTCATGTATGTACAGTATGTGTATAATGCTGTGTAACGACCTGTGAACTCCTTCTTGCAGCGGTCACGCACGCTCTCCTCCAGATTCTCTAGCTGGTGCTTGACCTTCTCATACTCCCGCTCCGCCTGCTGGCTCTTCCTCCTGAGAGAGAGTGAAAGAGAGAAATAGAGAAAGAGAGATAGAGAGAAAGAAAGAGATAAACAAGCAGTAAATAAGATTTCATACTAGCACAGATGACATGCTACACAGATCTAACTCTGAGAGGTGGTAGATGTAGTTGTTTACCTGTAGCAGACTATAGAGATGGCTATGATCAGCAGCATGGGGACGACAACTGCAGGGATAATAATTTTATCCAGCTTCACCTCGTACTTCCTCTCATAGCGTACAGAACCAACAACCCACTCTCCATTACCAAACTTAATCTGAGGCAGAAAACAGAAACAGATCAAGGCTTTGATTAGCATCAACTCAAAACAAAGTATCTTTGTTACCCCTTTAAGACCGAATGTGTTGCTACCAACCAGTGCTGGGATTACGCAGAAGTAATGTAATGAGTTGTGAGATTATTTTTTCCAAAGGAAAGTAATCTGTAAACCATAACAAATGACTGATATTTCTTTGAAAAATTAAATGAGATTACTTCACTTTCTGGAAACTCACTACTCATTACTTGACTTCCAAGTTAATCTCTAAAATCCACACAAATACCTAATTAAACCTGATTTGGAAATAAACAGTCGATCACAGCAAATTCCATTTAAAAGGCATATCACTCCATGTCCATGTCTCTGCTCTGAAAAATCCAGACAGTTATGCTGGATTAAAATGATGACTGGCAAATGCTATTTCATAACCTAGAAACTGGCCAGTTCAAAAACAGCTTCCTCTAAATAATTTCTTTGTAAATAAACAAAAACTTTATAGAGCTGGTCCTGAATGAGAATTGAGTCTGGACTTTTTAGGTAAGGTTGTGTCTCTTTCTTGTTTAGCTAGGGGGTCTTTATACATCATCTTCATAGTAGCTGTAGGTGTGATGTGTTTAGCTGTTTTAACAGATTGTTCTTGGAGTTCACGCATTATGAAAATGAAAAGTCATTGTGCACAGTTAATATTGTTCTATTACACACATATGAGTAACCCAAGTCATTAAATTCTTATTGCATCTGTAACTAATGTGATAACAAGAACTGTGATGCACTTTTCCTTATACTCATTCACTTCATTACAGGAAAAAAATGACACATTACTGTCCTTTGTATGTCTTCTTTAAACTTAAATAACTTCACAACTTGTTTGATGTAAACAAATTCCACATTAAAGTAGAAAAGTGGAGCTTTCTGATAGACTTGTGTTATTGTGTGTTGTACTGTCCAGATAGAGATACAGGCTAATCTGTCATTTTTTCTGTCCTTGATTAATTTAATAGCCAACGCTTGAAAGCCAGTCAGAGGAATAAATATGCCATCTAGTAGGTCCATTTATGGTACAGGGTGTTATAACATTTGCATACTTTTTAATCATTTATATTGAATATTTGTGTTCAAAAATTGGTATAACTGAAAAGCTGAGTTTGCGCTGAATCAAACAACAGAACATATGATACTGTAAATCCTGCATATTACCAAATAATAGGGCTGTTAGGGCTAGGGCTAAAATGTTAAACCAAATTGTAATGCATGCAAACACGAAGGAATCTCACAACCATCACTCATTAGCACCGTCATATGCTAATCTGAACACCACAGAAATGGTCAGAGCGTGTCTGATACACAGAACCACTGAGTGATCAAAAATGAACAAAGGTCAGAGCTCAGGAGTGAGAGTCCGTGCTGGAGCAGCTGTAACTGCTGTAAAGCGTTGACCCACCAGGAGGTCGAGGAGCTCAGACGTGACGTCTCGCCGCTGTCTCTTAGAGCGTGATCTAGGCGTGGTGGTCGGCGGGTCAAGGAACAGCTTATCGTCCTGAAGCGTGTTCACGTTACAGGACACGTCGCCCAGAAACGCCTGCGCCTCCTTAGCAGTCATGGCTTTGGAAAAACCCCAGCCCTGGACAGGCAAACAAGCACCAGCTGGGAATCAGATCAAATATTCAATAATAAAAATATCCCCATAAGTTCAGGATCACGACTTGTGGAAATATTTACAGAGGTTGGTTCTCACTGTTTCATACCTATCAGTAGTTAAATACTTAATACTCAACATTAGGCTGAAATTGGTCAAAAACACACCGGAGAGGATAAATACTCAGATGACATATGATTTGCAAACAAAGTGACATCATCAGTCAAAGGTTTAGTGACAACTAGATTTTCAATTAGTATGTTTTCTTGTCAGTTTATGATAAATGATTAAACAGAATTTTGTTCAAATCTTGCCATTTGTTTTCATAAAAATCCAGCACAGTTTGGTGATTTTCCCACTCAAACACACAGCTCAGCACCTAATGCCAGGCTCAAATTGTGCTGGACAGCTGACCTCCAGGACCGGAGTTCGCTACTTCTGGTGTATTGTATCTGTGCCATTTCTAATGCTGCATTCAAATTCACTTCTAATTACAGAAACAGAGCACTATATAGACTGGTAGCCATGTAGGAGTGCTGTTCAAACTCTCTGACTAAATCTTTCAGCCATTCCATTATCATTTTCCAGTCAGTTTATTACATAGCAAACACAATGACACTAAGTAGTGAACAGAAAACGAGTTGATGAGTGAACCAATGTGAACGCAGTGTACATTTATCTCCTTGTTGTGATGTCAGCACTCATCAGCACTTAAACCTTTCAGCTGTTTAACCCATCTTTGGGCCAAAGGAGTTTCAATGTGAGCTTTTAACAATAGTTTGGAAAAGAAAAGGGGCAAATAATTATTTAGGCAAGTCTGCTGTTCATATTGAGGAAGACACTTTCATAAGCATGAAGCTGAGTGTTGCAGAATATACTCAGAATATATTCAGTATGCAGATACCTTTTCTTATTTGAAAGTGTACTCCACTGATTTTCTGCATAATTCCCTTGTTGAGAAGTAAACAAAGTCATTCAGAGTGGTTTGATGTGAAACGGTTCATTGTAGAGAAACTTACCAACCCAGACTTCTTTACAGTGCCGGTAAAAGGAACCAGGGGTCATGATGTCTACAACACAAATATAGCCATTTTATTTACTATCCATGACAACAGATGAATCTACACTGGTTTTCTGAGTTTCTATATGTAATGTTTACAATGGTAAACATTATAGATATATGTAACTTTTTTTTAATCATAAAACATTATTTCCAGCATCAGGCAGTGTGTCCCCAACCATTTCAGCAATATTTTTTTCTGTGAGGGAGCTTTTAGAAGCATTAAACTCTTCAGATGTCTGGTTCCTATCACCACCACTGTGATCAATTCTGACTTGGTAAGTTTCTCTAGAATGGGGCATTTCACACCAAACCACTCTGAATAACGCTGTTTGCATCTCAACCCTTTAATATCTTTGAGTATGTGTAATTAACTGGTGATTTAATTGAAAAGAGTGAAAAACAAACATTACTTGGAAAAAATTCAAAAGAAGGAAAGGTGTTCTCAAACTTTTTATGACCAGTGTATTTTGCATCTCTTGGGAAGACGCACCGTGACAATGAACACGCTGTTCTCTATGATGACATCCTTGGAGAGCTTATAGAAGATGGGATCTGTGTGATATTCGAATAGCTCGAGCTCCTTTGTGTAGTTGTCCAGGTGGATGGAGGTAAGCGTCTGGCTCTCAGACGTTCTATTCACGGCCGGCGAGAGGAACAGCAGCATGGAGTCGTTCATACTCACAGCCTCCTGAACAAACTAAGGGGACAGAAGAACCCACAGTAACGAAAAAAAAGAAATGGAGAGTAAAGTGTCTACGCACACATACACCCACTACAGCTGTGTGAGAACAGCCTCTGTTCTGCCGATACTGCCGAGAAGACCCTGAGGGCTATTTAGTCATGGCCTTACCAGCCAGAGAGGAGAAACAGAGAGAGAGAGGAGAGAGAGAGAGAGAGAGAGAGAGAGAGAGAGAGAGGGAGAGAGAGAGAGAGAGAGAGAGAGAAAGAGAGAGAGAGAGAGAGAGAGACGGCTGCCCTCTGTGTTAATCAAGCAGAACATCCAGCCATGTATTAATGCAGCTTCTAAATGAAAGTGAATCAGATTTCTCCACTTATTTCCCTCTACTGCTCTCCGAGTGTGACTCAGAGCACACATACTCGACATAGTGGAGACCTCCTGAACCTCTCGCAGTATACCCTGCATTCCAATTACACTCTTAATACACTTCTATATATTCTACATATATTTACAAAAGTATTCATTTTTCAGTAAGGTCTTGCAGAAGGCTGCAGAGCTTTTAGACTTATTGGTATTCAGTGTGGCTAGAGGGGGACTGAATGAGAGAGAGAGTGTGGGTGTGTATGGGGGGAAGGGGGAGGGAGGCGGCAGCTAGAGGAGAACAAGCTGAAGAAGAAGCGAGTGAGTTCAAAAGCTTATCCTCAGATAAGAAAGATTACATGAAACATTCATCAAGTTTTTTTCCCTTTTTCCACGAGATAAATGCTTGTTTAATCTCCATGTTTTGTTTATGACAGCTTTGGAATTACAAGTTATTAAGTGTCTGCCACATCAAATAATTGAAACTGTGATGTGAGCAGGAGAAACCCTTGCTACGATTCTTGGTTTCTAACAGGAAAGAAAACATACGGAAACAAAGAGCAATTCATCTTCAAGAGAGAATCTGGACCAAACATTTCCTCCCCTTTATGAGCTGATTTGCTAAAGTAAGGTGCACTGTGGATACCTCTACTGTAGCTTGATGCTTCAGCCCAGGTTAGAGCTGGGCAAGATAACGATATTTATCATTTTAAATTACGTGACAATATGCCTTTCTGAGAATATCATGGATATCCTTAAAAACTGGCCAACTGCATGTTTCATTAAAAAGACAGCAGAATTAGTCCTGCTTACGCGGAGTTAATGCAGCGCAGTACTACCAACAACTCATAGGTTTTGGTAGCATTTTTAAAAAGGGGCACTTTTTCTTTTCCTTTTTGTAGTTGTAACTTATTCAGCCTCAAAAACACTAAATATTGCAACATAACGTACAATAAAAACTTTTTTTGAAGTTATATTATTGCCATATCACCCACCTCTTGCACAGGCCCCTCATCAGCTTTAACCATCACTCTCATAGTGGCTTTCTGGATGAGGCCAAATCCTGAGCCCATCACCATAATCCTCCTCCCACCACTGAAACAGATAAGAATGCAGTGACTGTCAGCACTTGTGTAAGAAAAAATGATGCTATTTTTTTTATACCATTTAAAAACACCAACTGTTCTTTACATAGTGTGAACATTTCATGATGAACTGGCGAGTAAAATGCTTGCATTAAAAAGTTTGGTAACAGTCACTCGAGCCCTGCAATATAACACTGACATAATCATGCCATCAACACATCATGGCAGATGTCATATGCTGCCAGCAGTCATGACAGATTATGTCCAATAATACAACAGTGTCCTGTTACCATTACCAGTAATAGTCAGGAATGGCGCAACATTTGATGTCATGACAACTTACATCACATGCTCATTTTCGCTGTGTGTTCTCATCAGCAGTTATGACATCAAACATGACAAATTTTATGACAACAATGACCTGTAATAGTAACGTGACGCTGTTATATAACTAGACACAAACAGTCATGACCGCTCATGACAGCACATGACATCTACCATGACATGTTTATGTTAGTGTTATGTAACAGGGTGCAAGTAAAGCTTAGCAAAGTTTCTTGAGACTAAATGTGTTTTTTTTTGCAACTCATGATCATTCAAAAACCACATGAGCTTCTCTCACTTCTCTCAGGGTCCAGTAAATTAACAATAAGAGGTTCAGTAAAACCCACAGTGTTAAAAAAAATAAATAAACTTCTTACTCCTACAGATTAAAGCAGAAATGGAGCTTTTATCTGTAGGAGTTAATCTAACGCTGGCAATTTTCCTCTGTTCTTTGTTCAAGTACAATCTGTTTTTCCAAGTCCACAAGCATTCTGCATTTGCATAGAGTACATTCTAGCCTTCTAAAAAAGAGAAGAGCAAACTAGAAATAAGAGGCGGTGGGTGGAGGATGCAGAACGAACTTACCAATCGAAGCTGTTTTTGGGCTGGTACTCAGTAATCATGGGGTTGTTGGAGAACTGGAAGGCTGCAGAGACCTGAGTGCTGGTGTGCTTCCCATAGCGCACAGTAACAGGGAGGAGGTCAGAGGGCACCTTCTCTTGCAGATACTTTCCCACCTTACACGTGATCTGCTCTCCAAACTCCTCACTGACAGAGAAACAGAGAGGAAAATGCATTAAAGGAATAGTTCTACAAAGATATTATTTGCACAATTTTACCCTTGCACCAAACGTGGTTAATCAGCCAGGACATGTTTGGTGTTAGCATTGTGCAAAACACATGTCTAAATCATCCATCTGTCACTGTATGACCACACTGCCATTTTCCTGACTGGGAGGACTAAAACACCTATGTGCTGCACTGTTTGATGCGACAACAAGTACTGCAGTCAAGACCACTAGAGACGAGTCCAAGTCAAGACCGAGACCTGGCCACATCGAGGCAGAGCCAAGACTAAGATTTTGTAATAGTCGAGTCAGAGTCAAAACAAAACTGAGACCTGATTAAGAGTTTTTCAGAATTTAAAAATACAGAAAGTTCCCAGTTACCTCAGATGGAGGCATCACACTTAACTTGTCTCGAAAAACTATTTCCGAGTCTTCCTTACAGAAGACCAGACCAAGCCAAGATAATGTCAAGAGAGAGAGAGACCAAGACCATTAACTTACAAGACCAGTCTCGAGTACTAGTGACAACAGCTGACAGACAAATAAAAATAAAAAAAATCTTACTGTATTCTCATGTAAGCTGATTCAACAATGTTTACTTACTGTAATGTCTGGCAAATAAATAACTGATGTTATATTAAGTTAATTAGTTAGTGAATGTTTACTATGCAAAAGCCATCTGAACTAATTATACTGATCAACATAATCAGCATGCATAATCCTGCAGCAATGCTTTCACTGGCGTATTTCACCAGGATGATTTAGAAAATACACATATTTGTCTCGAATTGCTGCATTTCGTATTTTATTCTAGCAATTTGCAACAGTAGACAAGTGTAGTGTGAGGATTCATGCTCAAGTACTTTAACTGGAAAGTGACCACAGTGGTGTGCGTGTCTGAATAGGAAAATAAATTCCTCTCTGTCTAACATGTTCACTTGTCTAAAATGAACTTCAGCTTTCTGTCTAAATTTCTGCTTAAACAACCACAGCCACGGCAAACTCGTTTCACTCGTTTAGCAACTTTCTATGTTAATCCAGGTTTAGGTACTCAGGCTGTGATTAATCCTCATGCGTGCACATGAAAGCGTGATGTTTATGACGAGCAGCCAGTCACATGAAACATCAGAAGTAAAAAAGAATTCAAACTACCTAAATATGTACAAAGTACAGTCAGCAGGGTTAGAAACTACGCTTTAAGGTAGTTGGGCAAGAAAGAAATCATGTGTGGTGAGACAGACCCCCGGACTGAAAGTGCTGAGAAGGTTATTTGTAATCAAACTGTAATTTATTACAACCCTAAATGAGCTTCCATCATCTGCAGCACACAAATTAGCAAGTTTTAGCCAATTTCTATAATTAAAACAGCCTGTGTTGTCATTTTTATTAGTTAGCCTCTAATGTTACACTACAACAGCTTGTAAAATAGGGGCCTCCAAAAAAATCCTGCTTAGGGCTCCTAAAAGGCCAGAGCCAGCCCTGACAATATGTTAAACAGTGCCCCACATCACATTAGCAAATCTATTTGAGCTTACCTAAGAACTTAGTGGTTTAAAGCAAATGTGTCACAATTTAAGGTTCGTAGATTGCACAATTCAAACTGGTGGCTTTACTTCTGTCCATTACTTGTTAGCTACAGCCTCATAACTCCAGCGTAAGAGTAAAGTAGCTAACTTCAGACGCCAAACATGTAGCAGATCAACTACATTCAGGATAAGGGTAAAATTGGGTAAATTAGATTTTTCTCCAAACTGTGCCTTTAAGCAAGAGTGGCAAGTAACAGTTAGACTGAAATGAGTAAAAAGACAAGCAGGAGAGAAGAAAATTGAGGGGAGAGGTTAAGATAACTGGGACATTCTGAATGAGAGAAGAGGAATGTGAAATCTCCAAGCAGAGCATGAGAGCGCAGCAAGGCAAATAAGGTCACACACACACAAAACTCTGATGAGTTATGAGTTACGGGTAATTACTTTCCACCGAATCTGCCGACTCACTTTTATGTACAAGTACAGCTCTATGGGAAATAAAGGCAATTACACAAACTACATCCACCATGATGCAACGCGGCACTCACACTTGGCATGGCACTGCACCCACAGTGATGACAATGTCTTCCTTAGAGGCTGTGTGGAGTTGATTTCCGGTGATGGTGATGACCGTCCCTCCCGCTTTGGGACCTCGACTAGGGCTCACTGCTAAAGGCTTGGGGTCCTGAGAAATCAATGAGAGAGTGTAGAAAAAAAGTGGCATAACTCTGGCCAGCTCTGAAGTGCTTTTATAATACGACATTACAATATATTACAGCACGTTACGTCATTCAGCAGCCTCTCTTCCCCACAGCTACAAGGATGTGCAAATAAAAAGAAAGTCTTTAGAAGAAATAAGACGAACAAAAGTGCTTGAGCATGAGCGTCCAAAGCCACCAGGTTGTCTTACCACTGTTGTCTGTAATTTAGTAACCATTTGCCTCTTCCTAAGAATCTGCATAAATCACCTAGTATCATACATTTAAGTGTGCATTTAACCACACAGAATCACTTCCATTCATTTCCAATCTGGATTACATTCACATGCATTTCAGCAAACGATCACAAGCAGGTAGCTTGTCTGAACATACAAATCCGATTAGGTAATGGAAAAAAAAAGGACTTACAAAACTAAGCTGATTGAAACATTACAGCCTGCTTTCTAAATGTAGCCTTTGAATCTGAAATCCTGGGGGTGGGTATCAGTTGGGGGCTAATTGAGTGAGCAGTAGCTAAAAAAACTGGCAGTGAAAGACATTAAACTGTGTTACCACCTACTCATAACTGTATCATAACTCCCTTGAGTTCTAGTCTCATATCCCCTAGGCTGCACTGACATTGAGGCAGACTCACTTTCTCTCTCGCTCACACCCCACACACACTCACTTGCACACAAACTCAGAGCACTGTCAGTTTGCTGAGTAAACACATAGCCTTAGCAAAGCCTTGTGGGAGGGATAGAGCGATGCTAACTGCCTATAATACTGATGCAATAAAATCTGCTAATGCATTAGGACCAGCATGCACTGCTCACCTGACAGATTAAATATCAAACAGTGGGGACACTGCACATCATCCCACAGCACTAGAAGCTTTCACTGTTTAGTTTGTACAAGTGTAGCTTAAAAAAAAACACAGCATGATATTGCTAGCACATCCAAGCTCAACAATGGAAAAGAGGTGAGGGCTGGAATTTCTTTCACCGTCCGTTCACACATGGGTTTATTAAACACAGCCTTCACTTTCCTTTCCTTTACTAGGAGAGGAGGCTGCACAGGTCAGTTCCTCTGGGCTGAAGGCTCACGCACTGAATACAGTTATACAGAGTAAAACAGACAAGATGAGGAGAGTGAAAAAGTGAGTTCCATGACAGAAAGCAGGTGTTTCTGGACCTCTGCATTTCTCAGACATCACACAGTAGAAAAGGAAAAAAAGAGAATTTCTCTTCCTTCGGTGCTAAAAGTTCAATACAACTGCCATCATTCATAAAGAAAGAAGCTGAGTAAATGTGTTGAATTCAAGCCCCAGTGTGCTCTGCAATCCACCTACCATCATTACATAAGGATATAAAGGAGTAAAAAGTAGTGACCTTGGTGGCACTTGATGCTGCACTACATAAGTTCAGGGATGTGGAGACCTCTCTAGTGGAAATATGTAATTGCAAGCATGTTTGTGGATGATGCACGAACATAGCATTAAATGCCTCACCCAAAGATTCTTAATGGTATAGCTGTGGCATAATGGCATACCTCTGAACCTCCATCAGGTGATGGTGTTAGCCACTAAGCTATCATGACACTGTCATTCATAGCAGCCCTGAGAGCTATAAACAAAGGTTCATGAAATCATAAACATCTGACATTTCTTTGCCTTGTCTGTTGTAGTTATAACGTGACTTAGTAAATTTCATTGTTCTGTGTGCTGAGCAATGTTGTTATCCACTACGCTGTCACCAGCACTGCAAGCTATGCTCCGGTACTTTGGAATCCAGTCTGATCTGATTCCAAGACTGTGATGTCAATTCATAAAGACATACGACAGCATTTGAGAATGAATAAGAAACTTATATAGTGCAACATTATTTGCAATGAAGTACCTGATGTGTGAGTTTTGTGACCTACCCGATATGTAAAGAAGACAGATGATGTGCCTTTCTTCCCACCTTTGACTTCCACCTCCACTGCTCCTTCAAGCGGACTGCCCACTGCGCCGATCTCACACACAACACTGTGCAAGACGAACAGATACATTAGCGTTACTCTCCAATACAGAGTACCAGTTTTCATTATTTTAGAATCAAGGCCTTTAGTGAACAAGATGTGTGTGTGTGTGTGTGTGTGTGATTTACTCAAGACGCCCATGAATTTAAATAAATAACAAATTAGATTTTTGAATGGCAAAACTGCAACATTATTTTATCCACCTCCTGTTTAATGTTTGTGAACTTCTGCAGACACCATAAATTCACCTGACCAATCACTGTTGTGGCTGACGTTGGAACCAACACAAGTTTTAGTAAACACTTTCTATTTATTTGGTAAGTTTAACATATAAGATTTTGCACAGGCCACATTTCATGTTTTATTTTCCCCCCAGTATGTTACATTCAGAAAATAAACGGTAATTGTTTATTAAAATGTGCAGAAGTGTCTTCTCTGTAGAGGATGTGTTAAATTATTTTTACTCAGAAAACCAACAGAACACTTCAAGGGGTGTCCAGACTTTTGTATATACTTGTATGTGGCAGGGTTCAAATAAAGTGTTACAAAAATTGTAAATTGTAAATTGTATAGTTGCGGTGTGAAAAAATAATTGTGGAATATTTCATATTGTCACATTTTTATTTGTATCACTATTAATGACTATAAAAACTACAAACCCAAATCACATATGGAATTATACAGTGACCAAACATGTATTAAACACACCAAGACAATTCACTAGTTCCGTTTCCGCAAAGAAGCCCCCTCTGCCTTGATGACAGTTTTGCATACTCTTGGCATTCTCCCAAGCAGCTTCATGAGAAGCCACCTGGGAAGCTTTTCCAGCAGAAGTGGGAGAGGTTCCTACATATGCTAAGCACTTGTTAGCTGCTGAAAACTACTTGTTAGAAGGGATTTCCAATAAAGTTACCTTTGAAAATACCTTTAAAGGGCCTATATCCTATATTTTTCTACATTTCATTCTTCCTACATATATATATGTAAATGTGTTTGTTTTTATAACATCACAAAAAACAATGAATTAAAAACAGGCTGTTTTGCAGCATTATTTCTGTATAAGGACTGTAGGAGCTGTGAACAGTTTGAAATTTTAGCAGTGTGTATGTACATAGTATAAACACTTATTTGACAAAGTGGGGGGAAATTCAGTTTTCCACAATATGGGCCCTTTAAGATCATACATTCAATCCAAACTTTTGACAGGTACTGTACATCTACAGCAACGCTGCTGTGATATTTTAGAGGACACTGCAGAGGATGGCAGCAGAATAGGGTAACAGGAGTGTCATGAGGCAGCAATATAGTACTGAACTACAGAAGCTGGAGTTCTACTATATAATCCATTGTAAGGGTCTTCTACCTGCCCCTTGTAGTGAGACTATATAAGCCTTCACTAGCTGCAGGCTCTGCCTCCCAGTGCTGTGACTGCTTATGCACCACATTGATGCCAAAGCCCACTGTATTCTGCCTGAAGCACACACACACTCCACATAGTCCTTGGTGCTTGAGAGGCTTGTTAGCAGCCAGCCAGACACAAAGCTAGACCACCCTCCACCACATGCTGTACAAGTGGAGCTTAAAAGACCAGCGTGTGATCTTGCTAGCACGTCCCAGCTCAACAGTGGAGGAGAGGTGAGGGCTGGAATTACTTCCTTAGCTTTGACTGTATGCTCACAGTCCTGAGTTTATTATACAAGTCTTTGCTTTCCTTTACTAAGGGAGACGAGGAGGTTTACATGGTTCGATTCCTTTGAGCTTAACGCTCACATATTACACACAGTAACTACAGAGAAAAAACACTTGTCTGTTGGGGTTCCAAAGTTCATGACAGGCATTTCAAACATTTTTGCTACTGTAATATTTTACACACACATATATATATATATATATATATATAGAGCATTTGTGTGTTCAGACACTAAGGTTGGACAAGAGGGCCTGGCTCACAATCTCTGTTCTAGTTCATCCCAAAGGTGTTTCATGGGGTTGAGGTCAGGACTCTGTGTGGGTCAGTCAAGTTCTTCCACACAAAATTCACCCAATCATGCCTTTATGGACCTTGCTTTGTGCACTGGGGCTCAGTCATGCTGGAACAGAAATGGACCTTCCCCAAACTGTTCCCACAAAGTTGGAAGCATACAATTGTCCAAAATGTCTTGGTTTGCTGAAGCATTAAGATTTCCCTTCACTGGAACTAAGTGGTCTAGGCCAACGCCTGAAAAACAACCCCGTAGCATTATCCCTCCTTCACCAACTTCAGTTGGCACAATGCAGTCAGACAGGTAATGTTCTCCTGGCATTCGCCAAACCCAGACTCGTCCATTAGACTGCCAGATAGAGAAGCGTAATTTGTCATTCCACAGAATATGTTTCCACTGCTCCAGAGTCCAATGAAGGCGTACACCACTCTGTCTGACACTTGGTATTGTGCTTGGTGATGTAAAGCTTGCATGCAGTTACTCGGCCATAGAAACCCATGCCATGAAGCTCCCCAATTCACAGTTTTTGTGCTGATGTTAATGACTTTTATGCACCTCAGCGCTCAGCGACCCGCTCTGTAACTTTACATCGTCTGCCACTTTGCGGCTGAGTTACTGTGGTTTCTAAACGCTTCCACTTTTCAATAACACCACTTAGAGCTGATTGTGGAATATCTAGGAGGGAAGAAATTTCATGCATTGACTTGTTGCAACAGTGGCATCCTATTACAGTACCACGCTCAAACTCATTCATCTTTGTTTTAGGCATGTGTGACTTAATACATAATCAGAATGAATAAAGAAGCATAAAAGTCATTGTATACCTTTGTCAGCCTCTTATCTACAACTCTGCTTAGACACAGAGCTTTTGCTTAACGTGAGTCATGTCAGTTGCTTGTGTCTCAACATTGTCTGTGGTTCTACATTGTATGCACAGTCAAAATTTGTAATACACAATATACATATGTATGTTAATGTATGTTAATATACATTATCAATCAAGCCTCATGATTGTCCCTGCACTCTTGAACTATTACCTGGTAGAAACAGAGTATTTCTCCTCCTGCTGGATGCAGGGAACTCCTGCCACAGTGATGTTCTCAATGTCCTCCTTCTGAATACCCAGGTTAGAGCCCTTAATAGTGACAGAGATTCCTCCCTTCAGAGGACCATAACGGGGGATAATCTAGAAGGAAGAGAGAGAGTGAAAGAAATACAAACATTAGCGCAGATCCAGAATCACAAATATATTACTGCGCATACTATATATTATGCACTAGACGAGAAACAAAAAGTCTATTAAAGTGCACTCTAAAATGTCTTAGAGCTTTAAAATTTAAAGAAACTCCACCTAAAGTAAACATTCTATAAACTCTTAAACAGCACTAGTACTACGTAGCACTACACTATCTCTGTACTATAGTACTCTTCAGTTCTCTGTAAATAAGAATTAGCTACTTACTTGGTTAACTCAAATTATGCTGCCTGCATTACTTTACATTTAAAAATGTGAAACCCCAGCTTCGCTTCATTAACAACTACCTTATTCAACTTTAATGAACATATTTTGCACTCTTGTCAACTTAAAATTTAAGTGCCTTTAGGGGTGAACAACATGACAATATTTGTCATTATTGTGATAAATTACGCCATAATAAGCCACAATATGCTTTTCTGAGGATATCATGGATATTGTCAGTTCTTAAGGTTTGAAGTCCAAACTTTGCTTCTTTAGTTTAGAACTGTAGCAGTAAGGCTACCATTGCTAAAAAACACTAGAACTCTATAGTCACCCAAATAGCCCAAATATTTTCTGTTAAAATACATCACCAAAACCTCTCTCAATCAATTCAAACCAGGTGTTCATTAAGGTCACATAGACTTGTCAGTGTGATTTAGAACAAAGCATGACTTCCTGTGAAAATGAACTAAACCTAACAAGTGTATCTGAATGCTGCGGACAGCCACTTTAGACAACATGGTCTTTATTCACAGCCACTTTAGACAACAGGGCCTGTATTAACATACCACCGCATGAGAAGCAGTGCTAATCTAGAATCAGTATCTGTCACTGACAGTCATCTTTGATCCAAGATCAGTCCTGCTTTGTGAATATCAGCTTTGGTGTTGTCTAAAATGGCTACAAGTAGCAAGTTTGAAGTTTTGTTCATTTTTATAGCTCACAGTAAGTCATACTTCATTGTAAACCACATCAAGAAGTTTGTGCAACCTTGATTAAGAAGTGGATGTGGCCTGAGCAGATAGATAGAGGAGGACAAAAGTTTTGAGGAAGTATTTTCTAGAAACGATTTGGGTAACTGCTGAGTTCTCGTGTTTGTTAGCAACATTAGCCTCGTAACTCTAGTTCTAAATAAGCAAAAGGTAGACTCCAAGAAGCCAGTGTCATGGCTGACATACTACATCTGGGGTAAGTGGGGAAAATCTCATTTGGGGCAAATTAGATTTTTCACTTAACTACTTCTTTAATATATGTTTATGACATTCATAGTTTTTTTTTATGTTCCTATCCAATGATCCATCCATCTATCCATCCATCAGGTCCCAAATGGTTCTTGGCTTGGACGTGCAAGAATAATCTTTAATCTTCACATGTTTTTTAACCTGTAAACAGGTTCCAGAATGGTTCTTTCCAAAAAAATTACTCCAAAGAATCCTATTTTACGCTTTTATTTTTACTACTAAATTAACTACAGCAAATGTTAATTTTCTTATAATAGTTATAAGACTATACACTGGCATGACAAAACCTTATTGTAGAATAACAGTTTGAAAGTTAACCAGCAGAAGTTTGAGTAGAAAAGCAGTAAGTATTGGTACCTTCTCTATGAAGAGTGGGAATATTAAATGCTGTTTGAAAACACAGTGTTTTAGAGAATAGCTTACAGCTGAGATGCCAGGGTCCGGGCACTCCTGCGGCTCGAGGGTGTGACACACTTTTTCAAACACACAAGAGCGGGTCTGAGGACACCACACACACTGGTATTTCAGGTCTGCGTTCTTACACAGACTGCAGTCCTCCCGGCCCAATGAGCAGTTATACAGAGTGACTATAGAGAGAAGGACAAGGAGGTATTCATCATAATAAAATAAGCTTCACAAGAACAACATTGACTGAACGCTCCACTGTAGTCAGACAATAAAGTGCTTCAAGAAAATGCAAAAATAAAACTATCAAACAAAATCACTGAATACTGAAGAGAGAGTTACAGACCATATTGATTGCAACAAAAAGGCAAATTAAACACCTACCGACACTACACTTACCATTGAGTGTGCTGTCAATCTTCTTGTCAGTGTTTTTCTCCTTAATGTGGAATAAGATGCTGGCCTCCTGAGTCTTATCATAGGAAAACTACACACAACAGGTGACAGAGAGAGACCCAACCAGGCCGTTAAAAGAATTTCTTGCTTCTACATGAGGCCTGTGTTGTTATACAGTCACACTTGAATAAGAGTCTACTTCTCCTATATGCAGGCACTCTGCTGTTCACAGACCCCCTCTCACTTTCTCAACGCATCTGGCAGTAAGTCAAACACAGTTGAGAGAATTGATGGTGGAGGAGAGTAGCTGCAGGCCTGTTCTCTTGGTGTGTGTTGCTAGATGTTGTTTCCCTGCCGTGGTCAGGGGCTCGGGCAGGCAAAGAGCTGTTCACTGAGCAGAGCTATGACAGGCTGGTGTTTAACCAACAGGGGGTGCCGTAATCTCAAACTCCCCGTGGTGCTATTGCGGTTGGTGCAGGTGGATCCATCACTACTGAACCCACATCAGTTCTCAAAAAAAACATCATCTCACTTCAGCTGCACTCTCACAAATAAAGGTTCCTAGATGGTTCTTGGCTGCAGAACCTTTAAATTATGTGGAGGTTCTTTAAACATTACAAAAAGGTTCTGTGCAATGACGCATTTCATTTCCATTGAAATGTTCTTTAGGGAACCAAAAGTGGTTCTTCTATTGCAGGGGTGACCAATCCTGGTCTGGAGGTCTACCACCCTGGATCCAACACAGCTGACTCAAATGTTTCGCTGTCTCAGGGTTGGAGCTAAAGTCTCCAGGACCTGGACTGGGCTAAATCTAAATCTAGTCAGCTTTTTGTTTTCAGTAAAACTGTCTTCCATAAATAATAATCTACAATTTAGACCAGTAAACCCTTTAAACTCTCCTGGACAGTGGGCAGGTTCTGACTTCAATCCCTCACTTTAATAACTACATACCTTTCATATTACATATGGCAGCTGATACTGATTAATTTATTGTAGTGACTGATTAATAACTGAATAATAAGTCTAGAGTTTAAAGGATTGAGAGTGATAGGGTATGCTGAGGAGCTCCAGGTCAAGCTGAGATAAACCACTCTAACAGAATAATGATGACCACAGAGTGGAGGACACACAAGTTGAAAGTGACTGCCAGTTGGATTACTGATGACTAGAATGTCAAAGGTGTAGATCAACTACATTGTGACTGTATATGAGAGAAAGAGAGACAGAGAGAGAGAGTTAGGGAGAGAGATGTGTCTGTGTGTGTGTGTGTGTGTGTGTACCCACCATGTATCCACTGAAGGAATAAAACGGACCCTCTTCAGCCTTCACATCATCTTCAAACTGTTTCATCAGCTCTGTGCCGATGGTGAACTCTCTGTCCTGCAGCATCAATAATTCAGATGAATTAGTGAACTAATACTTTATGTAGAGTAGGTGCCTGTGGAGTGAGTGTGTACTGATGGTGACCTTTCTACCCTGGAACATCAATAACCACACAGCTAATATTGAGCTAATACATTACTCAACAGACTCCAACACCAGCAGCATTGTCAATGAAGCCTCACTTTGTACAAGAACTACAAAGCAGAAGTTGGTTTTACAATATTATAATCAAGACTGGAATAAACAAAAGGTAAATACTGATCTTACACCATCTCTCTCAGTCCTGAACTGATTATGTTCTAATGAACATCTTATGAACTTTTATTGGAATCATTGCATAATTTGGAGTTTACAGAGTTCTGTCACAGAGGTGACCAACATGAAGGTGGCAGAAATTGCTGTTAACTGGTATGAGTAGGTTTCAGATCAGCATATATATATGAGCTAAAGCAGTAGAACTAAACTGATAAGCTTGATGGAAGGGATGGGCAAAAATCACAATATTTAAAAACTTTTTAATGATACATGGCATGCATAATGATATTTTGTTTTTTTTCTGGACTTTTTCTGGGAAGTTGCAAAACAAAAGAGGGACATTTAAAAATGCAATTAAAAATCATGATTAAAGTGATTTTTTAAAATAAAATTTCACACAATGCATTTCTCTACATCCAGTTAAGCAGGACAATTTACTTTCTTCTGGACTTTTAGCATGATCAGGATTCAAACTCCGTCTCTCGAAAATAAGGCAAAACTTTAAACAGCTACACCACTTGGGAGACTCTTCTTAATCTCTTTTTAATGAAACATGCAGTTGTTTGGTGTTCTTTAAGTAATGACAACATCCTCAATATGCTCACAAAATCTTAGTGATGCAATTCATCACAGCAAGTGCCTACCTATATCTGGATGGCTAGCAATATAACAATGTCACAACTAACCTTGTAGGCCCCCAGATTTACTCCCTCAAAACTGATGCGAGTCTTATATCCCACTGGAATAAGGGTGGGGTCTGGGTTCTCAAACCGGGGACAGTTCTTTGCCTGAAACAGGTGGAAAAAAACACAGCTTTAAATGTTACTTTACAGAAGAATTAACAGCAAATATACAGTATGCTTAAAAACATCAAGATTAGTTTACACCACCTGGAAAAAGCTCTTAAAGCTCTCTATAACTTAAGGTTCCAAATTCCTGTCTAGATGTATATAAAAAATCCAAATTAATGATCTAATTGGTTATTAAACAGGAAATATATAAGACTGTACAAATGATAAACACAGTTGTATGCAAAAGTTCAGGCACCCCTGGCCAAATTACATATTTTATTGAACACAAGTTCTGCAGCAAAGTAATATTTTTATGATGATTTTACTGATAAAAAAAATAGTAATTGTGACAGGTGTACTGTCATTAAGACAGTTAAGTTTATGTAGGTCAAGAATTGCCATCAGGAGTCAGCTGATGACAATTACGGAGCATAACACATTCTTTGGCTCTTTAAACTGTGCTAAAACTCAACACCCATGAGCTCCTCTAAGCAGCAGGAAGACCATAAAAAGATATCAAAGTGCTTCAGGCTCACAATTTCCACTGTCTGAGATGTCATTAAGAGATGACAGTTGAGGGGAACTGTGGAAGTAAAGGCAAGATCTGGAAGACCAAAAAAAACACAGATAGAACTGCTTGTATTCTGGCCAGAAAGGCAGCAAAGAACCTGCAGGAAGGTTTAACTGACACAGGAGTGGTGGTGCACCATTCTGCTGTACAGCGTTGCTCACATAAACATGACCTGCATGGAAGAGTCACCAGAAAGATTCTCATAATCTGCAATCTTACCACAAAACCCAACGTCTGAAGTATGCAAAATAACATTGAGATAAGCTACCTGGAAACTAATCTTCGGGTAGATCTTAAACACGCCGTGCACACAAGATGGCCAAAAATATCAAAGAACTAGAAGCGTGACAACTCTTAATATAAGAATAGACAGATTCCCTGCTTGCTACTAAATGTGTAAGTTGTGATGTCTGCCAAATGGGGTTGTTATACTGACTTAGAAGGGTGTGTTTTTTTTTTGTTTGTTTGTTTTTAAATCAAGTACAAAATAACTGGCATTAACATTTGCAGAAAAATGTCATTTCTTAAAGAGTTTAAAAAGTTGTGTTTACTTTTTTCCCCACTTCAAAAATCAAGAAAATGTATAATTCAGCCAGGGGTGGCCAAACTTTTGCATTCAACTGTACACATATAATCATGTTAGTAATGATAGAATAAGGAGAGCAATTTTTCAGTTTGCAGTTCTGTCTTTTAATCTAGTAGAGTTCAGTATGTATATTGTCATTGTCGGCACAAAACCTTGTCTCTATAGCTCAAACTTTTTGACAAAATTTGTCAAAATTTCATGACCAAAGGATCAACAGACATGATCCAAAAGCACTTGGAATACATACTTTTTCCATTAACTTTCATTAATAGTTAAAAATGCTTTTTTCTCCTCCTGTAAAATTGTGTTTTCTGGAGATTAAAGGTTTTGTTCTGACAGTGACGATGTGTAGCTATGAAACTGGAAACATTGGGCCTCATTCACCAACTGCTATTCAGAAAAGAAAACCTTAAAACCCACTTAAGCACTTTTCACTAAGATTCTAAAATTCACCAATGTTTTCTTATTTGGGATTTGTTCTTAGGTAAGAACACAATTTCCACACACTTTTTTCACACATTTCTGAAGAACAATTTAATATAAAACTGAGAAAGAAGCTGGTAAATGAGGCCCAAATGTCTTAAACCTCTGACATGCGCTGATTATGCAGTTTAAGGTGAATTCACAGCAATATTCCATAAACCTCTGCAAGCAGAGTAAACAGTTGCCTTGCACAAAAGAATGAGCACATGAGGTTTAGTAGTTTTGCACCTGTCTGTGTTTGATGATGTTGGGTCCCATTTCAGCATCATTCAAATCCGAGCAGGTGTGGTCAGCAGTATTCCATTGACACGCCCACAGTCTGCTCACACACGCTGTACATCTACACAGCAAACAGCAGAGAGCGATTTAAATATACACCCACAGTGGGAAAGGAGAGCGAAGCATCAGCACACAGACCCCACAGATCTGTAATTACATTTTTCAGCAGTGTGTAAATGTTGAGGGGAAATAATACATCTTTGCAATTCCCAAGAAACAATGCACATTCATCAGATATATTCCACAGTGCCTTAAAGAAAGAAAAAAAAAAATCAGAAAAAACACTCTATGGGAGCAGGAAAAAGCACTAGAGATCACCTTTTGCTTTTGATAAATGAATAGGAAACTAAAGCAATTTCCTGCTCTTGGTGTGTGGGTGAAAAAAGGAAAGAGAAAACGCAAGGATTCCCTATAGAAGCAAATTCAATTTCAGTATAACTCATGCATCACAATTTATGAGTAAACCTTAGTTTCATCCATACAGATGCTCGTATTCATTACACACACACACACACACACACACACACACACACACACACACACCCCAGTGTCAGCACAAACGTGACACACTGGCCAACACAGGGAGGAGAGAGGAGAACCCACTCACGGAGTATTTTCCGCTTTGCGGATGGCTGCCGCACAGTTGTAGAACTCATAGTTGCGAGAGGCCACCTCCACACTATCATTCACAAAGACCTTCAGCGGCACTGCCACGAAATCTAGACAGGGAGACCAAAACATGAGGAGAAATAAATCACACTCAGGAAATGTGTTTTCACAATACCTTCACAAGCTGAACCATCACACACTGTAGCTTTCTACACCAGCTGCTAGTTTATTAGGTATACCCATAGTGTTCCTACACTAGACGTCTGCTGCCCGACTGAAGCCTGATGGAGCCTGATAAAATATCAGGCTTTTCATTCATGTACAGCATCGGGCTTGGGTCCAGCTCAGGACTGCTTCCTAATGACCGGAGTTTGAGGAGTTGGAAACTGTGAATGAAACCAGGGAAGAAGTTCAGCAGAACAGCAGTCGCGATTACACCACGGACAATGAGAGCGATGAGTTGAGTTGGAGAAAGGTCATAGTGGATCTTTCCTCTTGTTTATAAAGCCCAAAGTATGTTCAGCATTTCTGCAGTTGCAGCAATAGCGAGAAAAACATCGGCACAGCAGGGCTAACGGTTAATCAGAGGAGGTTGGATGCTGTTCTCCGCAGGATATGATAGGCAATTTCACAAAATATACTGATAACTACTGTTAGTGTACTGCAGATGTGTAAAGTACCAGTTTATGCCAGCATGACATGTTCTGTTGATGAAGCAATTGCAACAAAGAAAACCACTGTCAAACTGCGTTTTCAGGAACTTATCTCTGTTAGTCCATGCAAGCGAGTTTAAGTTCCAAATGTACCCGTAGCAGTCAGGCCTGGTCGGGTTAGGGTTGGGTTCAGGCTTTAATATCATGCCCGTGCAGATCTCTAACCTACAATCTTTGGCCATTTTCATTATGTACACCATATAAACAGTAAAACAACATGGTCATGGCACTGGTACAAGTGGACTGGGCACAGTGGCATTGCTAGAATGGGCCCATATCCAGGAAAAACTTCCCCATGCTTTTTTCAAAAGAATGTTGATGTTGTATGCAAACATCATTAAAGTTACATTACAGTCCATGTATGAAAAAAAGCAAAACAGCCTGTTCTGAATTCACTCTGTCGCATCTGCCCCCAGCAGTTTAGCCTCACCCTTCTTTTTCAACAAGGCACAAAACATGGCAGGCAATCAGAACAAAGCTCATTTACACATGTCAGTCTTAAAGTTACAGTCACAAAAACAACCTAACTGTAAAGAAAGTTTGAAAAATGGCCATGGCAAACAAAACTATACAAATGTTATAAATGGAAAATATGGGATATGAGCACTTTAAACACATCAGCGTCACTGAGAGAAGTCCACTAACCAAAACAAATTTAGCCCACATTGGTCTGTATTGTGTGCCACCAAATGGTGGTGAGCATGAAAATGACGTAAATCATATGCACGGGCCTTTAGAGTAATCAGATCTCAACCCAATTGAACAACTATGGAAGTTTTGACCAAGGTGTTAGACAGAGCTTTCTACCACCGCCATCAAAACACAAGCTGAGGGAACATCTTTTTCAAGAGTGGTGACCCATCTCTCCAGCACAATTCTAGAGACCTTGAGAATCTTTGCCAAGGTGCACTGAAGCTGTTGAGAAGCCTTACTTAGGCTCCACAGCGAGTAAAAGTGGCCCAAATCTGACCTTTTTCTTCATATGTGACACAGATGTGTCATCTGCGTGGCACTGTGAAAAGCAAAAAACACATTTATTCTGACCTTTTCAGTTCCGATTTGGGACACTTTCATATGTGGTACTGAAATGCGATACGTATCCAATACGCAGGCTTTTACATCAATCCAACTCGACATTCGCCATAACTTTGCACTACTGAGACCTCATAAACATTTGAGGTAATGTTTCTGTGCAAATAAATTTGAAGAGACTCATCCAAACCCTCATCCTTGTTTGAAGAGATTTTGAAAGAGAGAACACGACTGTAGGATGCAGTGTCAAACCACAGTTTGAAAGCAAAGTTTAAAGAATCTGAGGACATGAACCAAAGAAGTGACCATGCCCTTTTTACAGCGAGCTCGAACACATTCAGGGTGATGAGCCCAGCTGTCAGTCAGTGAAGCTTCACAATCACTTCTGTGATGCTGGCAAAGATGAAATTGAAACCTCTGGGAGCAGACCTGCATTCGTTGGCAGTCATAATTGTTTACCTCTGGCTGAGCGCGTCATGTGAAGCACATTGTTCTTTTGCACATGTGAGTCAGTTTAGGAGCGTGATCTGTTCAGACTAATGTCCCATGCAGGTCACATTTAAAAGATATTGTGAACAGCCAAACAAAAAAATCCGATTTGATGAGAGATTTGGATTTGGGCCACTTTTACCTGCAGTGTGAAAGTAGCCTAGGATGCTTTATGTTGTTATTTTCCCTTTATTTGTCACCTGACTGTATATACATATTCAATGCTTTTAGAGTCGTACCTTGGTGTGGTGGTGTAGCTGGCAGCTCATGAGGTGGAGGAAGGTGGCACTTCACCATGGAGTCGACCATCACGGCTTTACTTTGGAATGAGCCGATTCTGCACTGAATCCTGTCAAAATCTCTGATGCTGGGCAGGGATGGGATGTTGATCTCAACCTATTGGGAGATGGAGAGCAGGTTTAATGAACTGGCAATCTATGTGAGAGCCCTGACAAGCCCCTGCTGTCTTGAGCTCCAAAATAATGTCTGGGCTCAGTCTCCTGCAATTTCTCTGTGGAATGAACAAGAGTCAAATACTGATTGGTTGCACACATCATGTGCAAAAAAACAATGCACTAAATCCTGCCTCATTACAACTGAGGTTGCATAGGCTTTTCGTAAGCTTCCATTATTCCCCCTTAACAAATGGAGGCTTGATAGAATACTCCATATGTGATAAAAGACATACAAACAATGCATATTGTGTAAGCAATTACAAACGCAGTTTACAAAACTGCATTAGCATGCATTATATGCTTTCTGTACATTCACCATATGGCTTTAATGCGCAATAGCTAGGTAGATGCAAGAGATCAGCATGCTCAGCTTTTCTAATGATTATTTGAGTAGGGAAGTTTAAAAATAAGTGTGGTAATTGTGTCTGTGACACCTGTGCGCTCACCTGCTGGGATTTCTTGCAGCTGAGGTTAGGAGGATGGAAGGAGACTATTTTAACACATTCTTTCCTGGAGCTCCACAGCCAACCATTCTTCTCTTCAGCTCGACTGCACTCGGACCTCCTTGTACATCTACAGTGCAGGGATAGAACAGGCTCAACCCACGACTCACTCCATCATGGCAATTTGAGTTACGGGCAGTTTGCTGCCATATGGCATGCGTTAATTGTGTTTCATGTATTATAGTTGCACGTGGAGAGTCTACAAAAAAATGGAATGCTATTAAAAAACAACTTTCAGCTCTAATTCCTGCAATCAATATTTGTGGAAGAGGGTTAAATGAAATAATTAAAAGGGAAAGGTAAGTTTGAAATAACAAATAACCTTTAGCAGGGGGTCACAAGAGTCGGGCTGTAAAAAAATAATAATAATTTTGACGAGTGGCTGGCATTCGTGTCAGGTAAATGCAGAACAGGAGAATGCAAAAAACGTATTAGCTTGTATTCGGCAGTATTACATTTTGCTTTGTGACGAGGCGAACTTTAATCCCGCGAATTCCCGAACCTTGAAAGCGCTAGACAACAGAAAACAAAACGGCAAGCTGTGGCGTCAGTCAATATACTATCAGTCTTAGTGCTTACAGTTGCAAAAACCAAACCAGCGATATTAACTCTTTATGTATTAACTATACATTCCCTTCAAAAACATCTAAAACCAGGACTGCCCACACTCGTCTGACTTTTGCTCCACTTTACATCAATTATTAATTTCTACTGAGTGAGCTCATTCCTGAGGGAGGGTGATTGAAGTAATACACCATTGTATGCGAAAATGACAAAATTACAAATTTTGTTGATTTTCAAAGTGAAAATAAGTTAACACACCCTCTACAAAGAACACACTTTTGGACATTTTAATGCACAATTACTGTTAATTTGCTGAATAAAACATACTGGGAAAATTTAAACATAAAATGAGGCCTGTGCAAAAGTGTTTTTTTGTTGTTGTGTGTTTTTTTTTAACCAAATAGATAGCAATTGCGCACGAATGTTTCCCAGAAATTGCCATATTTAAGTTTGTCCCCTGTAGAGGATGTGTTATTTTCATTTAGAAAAACAACAAAACATGTAATTGACCAGTGGTATTCAAACCTCTGAACACAACTGTAAACGGTATGTTTTTATGGCATTCTTTAAAGCTGACTTTGGGGTGACAACAAATGGGACTAAGCATGGAAAGAACTAATAGAATAAAAGCCGGATTAACAAGCTTGTCTGTTTGGTGTTGTGTGTAAGCACAATAAAGAATAAGCAATATAGTCTGTAGTGTTGTGGTGATTTATTTTTGTAAACAGCACAAGTTCCAGTGAGAAACCCTTATTGACTGGCTTTGTACAACTGACCTCAAACTCAAACTTTCACTTTGTTCCAATCTACAGTTTCAGTCTGCGCTCACTGACACCTCCACCATTCACAAATGTTAGCATTTGAGCAAAATGTTCTCTAAATGAAGTCTCACTGTGTGACACTAACTTATTACTTGTTAAAATATATGTAAAATCACTGAGCAAAACACGTTTCTACTGGCATGATAAAATGTGAGGGATCAGTGAATTAAGTGCTCTATGAAAAGCCTGTTTCTGTACATTGCACCCGCGCTCAACACAAACCTTTCAAGAATCTCTCATTATGGGCTGTACAGAGTGTGGGCGCCTGCGATACCAAAAAAAGGTTTTCATAGACGTTTTCACATTCTGTGATTTCCCTCTATTATGGTAAAATATTCAGTTTGACACGCTTAGACATGCATGAGTATATTCAGAAATCTGCAGATTTAAATTCTAATCTAAGATCACACTGCAAAAAAAGGATATCTTGGCAAGTGAAAACACCTTAAGTCTAGTCAATGTATCTGACTCATTTTAGTACTGTAGTAAGAATATTACAAAATGCTTTGTTAGAATGAAAACCTGCAGCCATGCTGACTCTTTACGGATAAGATTGGACACCCCGTTCTATCTGATTTAACTTGTATTAAGACATTTTATGTAGAGAAATTATTTATTATTATTCTAGTGGCAGATCATTTTGTGTCTACAAATACGTATTTAAATAAATAATCCTAATGTACTTAGAACAATCCTAAAATGAGAAATATCTGATATATGAACTAGATTTAAGATGATTTCACTTGCCAGGATATCATGTTTTGCAGTGCAGGTCTAGTCCAACATATACTGACTAATAAGTATTGCAATATGTTGAGTATGTGTGACAAATGATGAGACTACATGATCATTTTTTCTGTTTGCGTTTGGTAAATAAATTACAACATAGAATTTGCATTATTCCTCACATTTAATGGTCAAACACATAATAAATAATATTCACCTGCCCTCCAGGACACACCAGCCACAGTAAGGATCTTTCTGGGCCATACAGGACATGCAGTCAGTCTTCAGATGGCATAACTGCACTGGCACCTTAGTGATCTACACACCCACAGAAACAGCATGAAAACCTTTGATTTAGTCTTACTTTTAGCCATATCCTTTTGTTTAGATATCATTATGGAACCATACATGCCGCATCAGCGGGTGGTGTACACAGTGGAAGACGACGGGACATATTCCTGCAGCATCGAACATTATGGACAGGCAAAGAAATTAACTCTTTCACAAACACACACAGACTTAATGCCATGATAAATGACTTTAGTGCAGCACCTTTTTCTCTGTAGTGATGTACAGGTGGCTCTGGGTCTTGTCAAAGAAAAGGTTCTTATTCACGCGACTGCCCATGGTGTCCCCGGGAACCCTGATGCACACCTCCGGATTGCCTGACAAATGAACCTGCAGAGTCGGAGAACAATAGACATGGAGCAGGTTACAATTATACAGTGCAGCATGGGACAAGACACATCCGTCATCCTTACCCACCACGAAAAAACCCACACACAGCATCCTACGCACCTGAGACACACCTGACAAAATGTCATTCCCAAACTAATGGTCTACAAGCAGTTAATGACCACAACCTCCAGGAATCTGCTCTAAAACTCCAAAAATAGCCTCTTGGACTCTTCATTAGGAGTAGTGCTATCAGTAAGACTTAGACGAGTGAAAGGAAGATGCCAGCCATTCCAATCTAGGCTTCTCTTCTTCATTCTGTCTGCCAGAGTTCTGTTGTTAATGAAGGAGAGAATCCATGTAAGGGAGGCTTCGGTACACTCCTAAAACTGATGGCTGCATGTGAGAAGTGACTCATCATCTAAAAACAAATTTATTGTAATTAGTTGGTGTCTGTACTCAGAAAGTGTCTTAGAGAAGCAGATCTAATCTACGATCACAATAAGCTTGTAGTCTTTTATCCAATTTACGTGTTTCTGGAAAACAAACATGGTAGATTTGTCTACAAACCAAATGCGCTGTGTTTACCAAGCCTGCAATAGGGCATCCCAATAACTGCAATACATGTGCAGTTCTTCTGGCAGGTAGATTAACAGAATTACTACACAGAATATCTCACCTGCCAAAAATCCTCCTTTTTTCTACCCTGTTGGATGCAGGCTATGTAAATCTTTGGTAGATGATCAATTAGACACTATTTTGTCACCATTCCTTGCATTTTTTTTAAAACTTAACCAATCGGTCTGCCTCAACTGGCTTTTAAGACCCACAATGTGCATTCCAGGAGCAACACCAGTGCTTTCACAAAGAATCTAGAAGTAAATGTTTACTGCTAATCTTTTACTCTCCAATGCCTACCTTTACCACCTCTCCCAGGCTGTTCCCAAGAAAGGCTATAGTGTGGTCGTTCTCCACAGCGATGGCCACTGCGGTCAGATGACCATGACCTTTTCTGGTGAAGATTGCCTCTGCCTGCAGGGCGAATTGTGGCCTGCTGGCCAGCGGGTATCGGAGAAACTCTGCTCCACACCTGTTCTGTTCCACTATGTCCTTCTGCAATGGAGGAAAGAGAGAGTTTCAAGCCTTATTAGAGTCTCTGAAGAATTCACCTCACAGCCAGGACAGTGGTCACATCCTTACAGGACTGACTTCTCTCTTAAACCCTATTCAAGCTGGATTAGTTTGACCTGGTGAAGTACTATGATTTAAGTGATTACCAATGAGATTTGTGATTTTAATCCAGTACAAATCTGAAATGTCTGTAGTCTGACAGTAATGAATCCGTACTGAATGACCTTCTTTAATCTGAGGAAGCTGGAGCATCTTCAGTAATAGTGGTCCTGTTCAAACTAATGTAATAATAAAGCCTGATAATACCCAATCCCTCCCCTTTTTGGCCTACTGTAAGCTACAACACTTACTCTTTCGCTGCTTCCTGTGCACTATTAGTGAGTGTGGCACCTGTTGCATAACACATTCTGGCTATTATGTGTCTGTTTGGGCTATCTGTGGTAATTTTGTAGAAATTAATTATACTTCATCCCATATGAATCATTCAGGCAGATCCCCTATAAATTACATTTCAGAGCCTTCTTGCTTGAATAGGGCTTTAACATATATATTTCTAAACCAGGTGTACTGGTTTGAATCTAAAACAGAGCAGAGTTCCAAACAACTAATCTTGATGATCACTTTGCAATAGTATGCGTGAAGACATCACTTTATTTGCTATGTCAGGTGTGAAATCAGGGTTAAAATTACACTCTGTAATGTGGGAATGATCTCCAGAGGCAACTCCGTCCTACAAACTAGTGTTTTCCCAACCTAGTCCTCATGGGCCTACAACCCAGTCTTCTATACCATCTCCCAACACACTTGAAACAAGCCATAAAGCATACTTAATACATGGGTTACAGGTATAGAAACCTAGAACCCGAGACACACCACAAAATGCAGACTGTCCAGTTTTCCCTGAGGACTGGGTGGAGAAACATTGCTATAACCTAATTAATTTCGGTGCTACTTACACTATGACGATTCTCACAAGGATTGTCTGTGATGGATTTGTAGGGACTATACACAGCTGGTTGTCCTCCAATTTTCCCATTTTCAGTATAACAGGCATTGAGGATGTCCTCCACCCTCTCGTTAATGCGCTTTAATGGATACATGCAAAGAGCGGAGTCTGTAGCATCCTCACCATCTCGACTGGCCACTATAAACAGCACTTTATCCCAGACTGTAACAGTGCCATACTGACCAGAATCCTGCATGGCACGAGCCAGCTCCTTTCCTGGCTCAGTTATGTATGCAGCCTGGACTTTGTTATACTGAACTCCATTTTTACTGCAGCTGAGCTGTAGCTCAGTGTAGGAGTAATAGCCCTCGTCCTTCTCGCACAGGCGCGACACAAAAGTGAAGTTGTCCGCTCCGCCCAGGGTGCGGGAGAAGAGGAAATAAACAAATCCAGTGTCTTTAAAGGCAAAGCGGAACTGGTGCTGGTACATGGGGGGGTAGGGGATGGCCTGCACCGGAGAGGCCTCCACGATGCTTTCAAACACCACCCACTCCTTATAATTCTCCAGGATGCGCGTGGTGATGAGTTTAGGGTTGTCCTCATGGCCACCGTAGCCCTTACCAATCAGGAAGACGTCAAATGGCTTTTTATCCGGGTCGTCCTTTAACTGGAATGTTGCCATGACGCCCACAACTGAGACGTTCTCGTCAATGCTGGCGGCATATGTCCTTTCGCCTTTGCTGTCGCTGTAGTAGATCTGCTCGTTTACATTGTTGAGGTTCAGAAGCGAGCAGATGCCTCTATACACGCTCCCACACACTATTAGAGATCTGTTCGTGGGGTGGACCAACAGGAGCTTGTTAATGTTGTTGGTGTCTTTCAGTTCGGTGGTCACGCAGGTAGAGACAGGCGGCGTGCAGGTACGAGCATCCTTCTTTGGCCCTGTCACAGCTCTAGCTTCCAGCTTGAGAGAAACATCAAGCTGGTAAATGGCATTAACGGCGCCCAGGTACAGGCGACCTGTTGCAGGATCCTGAACCACGTTGTTGATGGGCATATCGGTGGAAAACTCCGAGAACTCCCCAGAGTCCTCAGCAGAAACAAACCACACCAAGAACAGGACCATCTGCACCCAACGCACAATCTGCACCCAACCCGCCATCTCTGCAGGAGAGTGAAAGAAAGAAAAAGAGAAAAAGAGAGGACAAAAACATAAGATGAGTGAAATAAATGTCTTCAGAAGCAAAATACAGCAAACAGTCATGATAACTTTGTAAAATCACTCGACTGAAACCATTTCTAAGGTCAATGCTAGCCAGCAGCTTCTGCTGGGACAATAAATGATGTTTTTAATGAGCGGCTAGACCTACATCTGAGATTTGTACGGAAAGATGCCTACAGTGTTTCCCCTGGTTCAGACTCCAATATATTTTTAAATTAGCTTTCATCAAGGACTTTTGTATCTCTATTTTAGTATTCTCATCAAGCTACAAGTTGTTCAAGCTAAGCATTAATAGATTCCAAGGGAGTCTTTAGAAATTTAAGATGTCTGACTACAACATAAAAACTGACTAAACCACGAAAAACCACCACCCCCCCACACATAGACACTCTCTTTCTCTCTCTCTCTCTCTGAGGACATTAATCTTAGTTTGGTCACAGCTGCTCGAGCACAGTCAATCATCTGTTGCTTATTTCATTACATATAAATGACAGCAAGGCAATCTAAGTCACAGATACACACACACACACACACACACACACACACACACACACATCAACAAAGACAAACAACTGAGGGGGCACACACTGCCTGACTCACAAGAAAAACGTATAAGTGTACAACACACACACACACACATACACACACACACACAGTGCTCCTCTGGAGAACTCTACAGGTGGTGCCGTCAGCAGCAGTGGGGCCTCTGTTCTTCTTTCCAGTCAGACAGTTAAACCTAGAAGGCACACTTGTCAAACTCAAAATCCTGACGAAGTCCCACCCGACTGAGCAACTATGGGTGTTACATTATGTTATGCTAACCTGCCTTTCCCCCGCAACTTTGACCATGCACACGACTCATTACCCATTCACCCCCTAGGGCTCTGTTAATTTCAGCTCACACACTCATTTCCATAAAAACTCCTGTCCCTCTATTGCCCTGCTTTATCCCAGCCTCTTTTTCTCCCCCTTCTGAGCATGAAGCTCATTTATTTTAAATTCCATTTCTCCAGGTAAATGTGCCTGCCCTTTTTAATTCACCCCCTTAAACAATTTTCAACAACAGTTTGAAACAGTGATCCAAGGTAGTACGTGGAGTCTGTGCTCTTTACAGCAACAGCAATTAGTGCTTTTCTGTTTGTTTACCCCTGGAGACGACTGAAGACGTTCTCTCTCCAATTTAAAAAGTCATCGATTCAATTTTTACCTTCTCACTGAATTGACGATGATTAGCTGGCGATTTTCATGATGTGATAAAAAAACATCTCAATCTCCAAAACAGTACTTCTACAGGAGAAGGCAAAAACTCTCTTCACTTTTAATGGAAGTTCACGCAATGAGATTTGATTCCAGGTCATTTCAGAGTGTTTCTATTTCAGTGAAGCAACTATCACACAAGGTTAAAGACAGCTGCTATGTTCAAATGATCCAGGGAAAAAAAAAAAAACGAGATGGAGATACATTACCATTTATTTATTTAACAACTTCTTAAATGGGTCTCTTTTACGGTAAGAAACGTGATGGACACACCAATTCTTGTGCATTTTTGTGCCAAATAATGTTTTTACATTTTTTATGACGTGTTTTTAAAGGCTCCCTAATTTATCTTTTTCCTTAAGTACTTTGGGAACAGCCTATAACATACTGTCCCTTAATCATACATTTTTGGTCAGGGAGGCTGACCTCAAATTAATATAAAACGACAAACACACTTTGGAAAGTTCATGCATGGCTTGCTGTTTTTCAGTTAAGTTCATTTCAATTGTTTAGCCTTTTTTTTTTTTTAAAGGAATTCTGATTACTCAATCACAAAATCAATTGACAGATTACTCAATTACTAGTATTATCAACAGCAACAGCCCTTATTATGTGCAGTCACTTAGTGAATCCAAGTGGTGCAGAAAAGCGAGTCATTTATCCAGCACACTTCCATGAACCACTGAGTTGCACTCCACACCTGCTATTTCATACGGTTGTTAAGAAAAAAAGGCTAATTGCTCTGGATGAGGGAGGCTGATTTTACAATAACACAAAAAGAGCTAACTGCTTTTGAAAGTTTTTACATATTTTGCTGTTGATCGGTTAAGTCTATTTTAATTGTGTAACCTAAGAAACCCTGATTACCTGATTAGTCATAAAAATTAAATGATATATTACTCAATGAATAATTACTAATCAATAGTAACAGCCATTATTATGTGTAGTCACTTGGTGAGTCCAGCTGGTATAGCAGTTAGTCATTTATCCAGCTTAAACACCTCCAAGAGCCACTGACTTGCACTTCATACCTACTATTTCATCAGGGTGTAAAAGGAAATAACTTATTGCTCCTATAATCGTAAACCTGGGTCAGGGAGGCTGATCGTACATTAACACAAAATAGCCAACATCCTGTGATTCAGGTCTCAGCTGTCTGTGAAGCAACATTAATGATCAACCACTAATCTAAGAAGACAGATCAGGGATTTTACAGAGAGCATGAGTTAAAACCCAAGACACAAACCTTAACTCAATATCAACCTCCTGGACACAAAGGAAATGGCTCTCAGACGTATAGATCACTGGTGGTGACCTCACTTACAAATCACACATGTGTCTTCTGTTATCCGATTAGCCTGACACATCTCTTGTGTTGCTAATGCAAGACAAAAGGTCAAGACACATGGGCCTTAATCCATCAACTGTCTCATGATTCACAGAACTCACTGAGCTATAAAACAGAATGGGAAAAGTTAAGTCTATTCCAATTAACTAAATGACAAAAGGCAATCAGTGATGGGACACTAATTGGCTAGAGGTTGAATTACATGGCTAAGTCTGCAATGAAGATGAAGTTAATTGGCACTAAGCTTCAGTGAATGTATCAGAAACGACTCTGACAGAAATGCAGGCTGACAGACATCATATTGATTTGCCAAAATTTGCTTATACTTATGATTTCTTAAAAAAAAAGTGAACAAAAATAGAACACAGCTCAGGTAAGTTTACTTGCTGAAAAAAACTGTATTTTACCTCCTCCAATATACCTCAACACTGCCTTGTTATAAAGCATAAAGAAAGACAAAAGTCTCCTCATTTTAACATGTAGCGGGGAACTTTTCTCTGACAGAAACTTCAGGAAAGAGAGAGCGAATCTTATGATTAGAGCGACAGAAATTCATCTCTTCTCTCTTACTTTACAGAGCATAACTTCAAAGAATCATTTGCTTATTCATGCAAATCGCTCACTTCGCCCAACAAAGTATGCTGCTATACAAATTTCCTTCAGATGTTGGGTTGGGGGTCACTGAACGCTGTGAAGAATGAAAAATCCTGAACACTTTCTCTTTTTTCCCCCTTTTTCATTGGCACGCCTCCACTCCCCAAATGCTTTTCGTCTCTTTTCATCACTCTTCCACACTCCTAATCCCAGGGACTGGAGCTCGCCCGCCATCAAAGGCTTCAGGAGAACCAGCGCAACGCCGGCACAATGACACAGGTGTCACACCGGAGCGCTACACAATCCAGTCAGAAAGCAGGAAAACAGAGAGGCGCCATCCGCTTTCAGACTTCTCTACACTCTTCACACACACAGGCGTGCGTAGCTTTATCACCATCAGTAGAGCTCCTGGAAACAAACTACCACTTCTAAATTTAACTTTGGGCTGGAAAATGAGCCTGAAGCGAACACCGTCGCAAATTGGTGGCGATAAATAATAATGAAACGAGCCAATTGCTAATGAGCCAGGCACATCTGGAGCGATCCTGCCAGAAAGCCCATGCTGTTAAATTATAATCATCCTGGAGAACAGGAGGCGTACCTCCAGGAGGAAAAGAGAAGACACAGAGGGAGATAGACGGTGTGCAAGAAAAGAAATGAAAGAAAGAGCAAGGGAGAAAGAAAGCAAATGTGCGCTAATATAAGCCAACTCCAAGGGCAAAGAGAGATCAGGAGTGATGAATATGTGTAGAGATAGAAAGAATGAGAGAGAGAGAGAGAGAGAGAGAGAGAGAGAGAGAGAGAGAGAGAGAGAGAGAAAGAAAGAAAGAAAGAAAGTAAAGAAAAAGAAAGAAGAAAATGAAAAGGAGGGGAGAGAGAGAGAGAGAGAGAGAGAGAGAGAGAGAGAGAGAGAGAGAAACAGTGAGGATAAATTCATTAGCATCTTATTGCCTGAAGAGCTCATCTAGTCATTTTTACTGTTTTCTACTGCTGTAGAGCATACAGGATTTAAACACAAGACTGTATCGTCTCCTTAACCAGTCACTGCTCATCACTCCATATACAACCAGTCTAGACTCCAGACTTCACAGGGGGCTGCATGTCTAACAAATCACTTTTACTACATTACAGGGTAACTTCTCTGTAGCATAATGCTTATTTACACAACTGAACAATTTTTTTTTAATGTTCTTATCAGTCTGTAATATTCTGTATATAATAATGTATATAGTAATTATATATATATATATATATATATATATATATATATATATATATATATTTATATTTTTATTTCATTTGTCCTTTAGTTAAATACTTGTTAATAGTCTGTGTGCTTGTCTGTTCTGTTCAGTGTCTTACATCTCATACACTTCTCAAGACGTTTTCTTTGTATGGGTAATATACTTTGTGAAAGAAAGAGATTCTGATAGGCCTGCTTTCAGTGGAAGGCCTCACACATTAAAGCAGTGACAGACAAGGTGCAGTCAAATACGTATGTGCAAGGGGGCTTGAATGCACCTCTGGAGGCTGGTGAGGTCAGCGAGCTGCCTGAATGGTTGTGGATTTCTCATGTGGAAGAGACAGATGCCCTGGCATTGACCCTTGTGGAAAAAAAAAAATCCAAGCAGAGCTAAACTGGTGCATGCTTGTTTTTGCCTTTGTGGAGTCTCTGGGAGCGAAAACAGCTGCTGACAGCAGCCTGTGGAGGCAGGTGAGGGGCTTTACAATGGCAATGAGTCC